CCTGGCAATTTCCGGTGCATCGTTCTCTGCTCGGAAGGAGAGTACGGAGCTCGATGGCCATTAAACGACGTCATTCTGTCAAACAGATGCGCTTCCGCGGCTGCCAGCTCGCATTATGACGGCAACGAGCCGCGATGTCTAGAATATCTTACGACCATCCCGTAAATACCTTTCCGGACTTTCCCTCTGTTCAGGGAATCGTTCATTCCCGTCTGTCGTGAAGCAGCACAAGTGTTTCGACTCACGTCACTTCCTATCTCGCGAGTTTATTGCGTGGAGTCGCTCTAGGGAGCAGCCAGGGGATCCTACTCGTTGCCAGACAGAATTCGATGGAACGACACACTCTCGCATCATTCGATCGATGGATACTAGTCCACGGAGTCCGGCTCGAATTTCGGTCAAAAAGCTGCTCGGATCTCCAATTGAATCGAAGCGCGGATAGGAGAGGGCCGTGAGAAATCGACATCTTGGAAAGCCCCATATTTTCAAGGTATTGAGTCATTCAATGACTGGGACGCATGATACAATATCTAACCTGTGTTCGAAAACGACAGAAGGAACTGGTAACGCACCCGTCTTGGCGCTTCTCATTCGGGGGCTACTTCGCGATATAAACACGAACTGGAAAAATCTGGAACCCCAGCGAATCGACATGATCCAATTTTTTTTCCGTAGAGAAACAGAAGAATCCGTAGGACTAAACGTCATTTGGACACTCCGAGCTCATTCTGACCGGAAGTCGTGCTTTGTGAGATGGACTAATCGATCCGCAGTTTCGAAAAGAGATCAGAAGGACCTCTCTCGCGGAGAAGCCACGGATTTTTTTATATCGCCTCTTCGAAGTAATAATCAACCACTCGTCCCTAAGGTGAGGACGCTTCACTAGAGAGCGTGTTGATGTTCACGGGGCTGTCGAGTGAATCATCGCGGTTCGTGTCACATGACGTAGTTTCAATGCGCTCCTTCCGGAGTCCGATTCAAACGAACTGTGATGTCGCTTTCACTGCCTATCGAACTCTACGATCCAAACACTCTCGACACGAATGGAAACGACGTAGTCTTTATCGAAAGATCATCATCACGCCCATATAGCGTCTGGCTCGACAGAACACCCGTCGTCTCCGGCTCTCGAGGAGAAATGATCTCGAAGAGCTTATTCCCAGACTTGGACTGATCTGTTCTATTCTAATTCGGCGGATTCTTACCTCAAAAAAAAATGAACTCAGCGATTCCAGCCCCCGGAGTGAAGCCACGAATAAGTCACATTAAAACACTGACGAGCTACTCCTGCACGATGAAAACTCGCTTCCTTCACCGAACTCGGAGCTCACAGAATTTGCGTAACATACGAGCTGACGCCACAATCCCGCTCACGCAGTAGATGGATTCTACGACTGATTGACAGGCTCGCCCGATCGCTCGCTGGCTCATACGCGGAGAAGCGATACGCCAGCTCGCTCCTATTCACAAGTTGAATGATTCCTTCACTGAGATGCTCAGTAGAAAAGATAGACTCCGTTGATCACCTATTGCCAGCCTCACAACACCATCAACAAAGGAAATGTCTCTCTCGATGGGTCGACCCGTCTTAGTATCGAGGAACTCGCAGCGAGCACTCAGATGGTTCTGCCGCTGTTTCGACTGACTGGTGGTAGGTATGGCGAAGTGATGGCGCTGCTGGGCCGTCCGGAGCGAAAGGGTGCTCTGTGCAAGGTGCGAAGCTAACGTTCCCGCCGTCCGTCATTCTGTAGACGAGCAAATATACGATGCGATGAATCGTACTGCCAAAACGGGACGCTTTTCCGAAGAGGTCCAGATCCGAAGCGATTCCTAATGTTGTGTGTGAACAAATTAGGTGGAGGAAAAACGCCAGCATGTTCTGGGTCGCCTTAATCCGATAGCTCGGGAGGAACTCTAGAGTCGATTGGTTGAGAAGTCTAGGGCTTCCCATTCCTCTTGTGAATGCCCCCGCGAAATCTCAAGGAGCGTCACTCTAGCCAGAATATTCTGAAGCAGCTCTCTCCATGAGTCAGGTCATCTCTGAGGTATTCTCTTCTCGGTAGATCTCGGTAACGCTTCAACGAGAGGGGCGTTTCGCAGTACACTGATGACTGGTTTTCGATGGGTGACATTACCAAGAAGCTCGCTGAGCTCTCGATCTAGCCAGACGTGCACAAGGGGTCTCCGCGTACCGCTAGAGATCTGCATCGAGAAAATCGGAGAAGCGAATCCATAATTAGCTACGCCTCGCATGGCGGGATAATCCTCTTCGCTTGTTGCTGAATAAACTCGACTTGATCGCTCCCTCGGGGGAGTACCACGGAAAAGTATGTCAATTTCCGAGAGCTGACTTCGACGACGATCGGGAGAACTTTCTCCGTTCCTCTATTGCAACATTCTCGAATAATAATTAATTGGACTGCCCCCGGACATTGAGTCATTGCTACGGATTTTGCTTGGAATCTCCGCAACATGCAGCGCCGCGCGTAGATCATTCAGCTCCAACTTGAGCCTCTAACGCGAGCTCCATCCTCGACCTCCCACATGCATAATCCCAAACCCAATAGGGTTTGAATGCCCTGTCTGACAGTCATTGAATGGAGGGATAACTCTCTTCTCAACGACCAGAAGCAGCACTCAAGCACCGATGAGATGAACGAGCGCTCCGCACTTATCTGACGAGTATCCCGAGCCTTCATGTTGGGCGCAATCATCGCGTCCCCCCACCTCGCTGCTTGATGAGCCGGTGGTCGTAAAGCTCATCCTGGGCAAAAGACCTGGGCCATCGAGGAGGTACTCGGTGTGTGCATGGACGGATGGATACACACATCTGGCTTCTTTCTCATTAAGAAAGGCGCCATCGGTTGACAATTGTTTGACAATGATTAAGGTTGGCCTTCCGCCCTCATCACTCAAGAGCCCCCTGCTATTTTGACGTCGAATAGCTCTTATTGTTGGATATTATAAACACCAATGATCTGGAGGTTATCTTTCAAGCGGAGGTCCTTCGGGTGGCATACTGAGCAATCAGGAAAGCGCCGACCTATCACTCCCGACGGCCTCTCGGCGTAGAGCGTCAGGAGTGCAGCGGTGGCCGAAATCACCTCATCCGACACGAATTCTGGGGAAATCCAGCTATGGAAAGTTTGCGTCATCTTTGAAGCTGTTCGGATCGTAGACGCGGAACACGTCTACTATCTGAGGACTCTCGACGATCTATTCTTAGAGTAATAAGACACCATCATGACCGGCCCAAGAAACACTGATTGCGGCAGGATCCGGTCGGGCTCATCTCGAATGTTGTGTTCGAGACGTATCGGAGGCGGATGGTACACTCATTCAAGAGCACTTACATCGGAGAAATCGATGAATGAAGACCCTCTGAAGCGTCATGCCGGTTTTTAGGTTTCTTGGCAATCTTGTCTGACATGCGACGCCGATTGCGAGACAGGCTGCGATTCGGATTCGAATCAAGAACTTCGAATTGCCAACTGACGCCTGTCGCCTCTGGGAACGAAGAGTCAAATTTCAGATTTGCTCCAGGGGGGAAAACTAACGGACGAGGGGAGACTCAAGAGACGAGAACTTCGAGATGCTTGGCACGTCGGCCCCCGAAAGGGTCCGCCCGCACCATATGACCTGCTTCTAGGAGGGCATTATCCGTAGATCCTTCGTATATATTTCTAGTGGAAAAGAAACCTTCATTGATGAAAATTTTCGTCGATTTCGACAGCTCACTTCCATGCGATCGTATGCACGAATTTCCTCAGCCGCCTGGGCATTTCCAAGTTATCGAGGCGGCACAGAGGGAATTCCATTAGGGAACAAGTACCCTCATTGCTCGCAGTGTGACCCGGTCCGATGGTACTTAGCGAAGAATATTTCGGCAGAAAAGTTCCAGCTCACGCGAGGGCCAAGGAAGCACTTCCCCGACTATTTCTGTATATCGTATAGAAGGCCTTCCTTCATTATACGGGCATCTTTCAGAGTTTCCGCCTTGGAGTTCATCCTTACACCTCAATTGCAGGTCGGTCGGTGTTCCTGACGCCGGCGCGGCGCCGGGATGGGCGGGACATTCTCGTCTCGAAGGACGACTTGTTCGAAGTTCCCGCCGCCCATGCATGATCAATGATCATTGAGCCCGGAGCCGGAATGCCGTTCGCAGTCGGGATATCGCGGCGCTTCTTTGTCGCAAATCGCCAATTTTGTAGCAAAGACTGCTATTCCCCCTCCAGCGGTGTCGACTGAGCGGCCTGCGGACCTCGTTCTAGCCTCTAACTCTCACTTCTTTCTATCTTCGTGAACTTTCTGAGAGGAGACTCATCGTAGCGACACCGAGAAAATTATGTGCGTCAGATGGGTCAGGTTCTTCACGCAGTCAGTGCACCGGTTTTTCTGCCGGATCCCATTGTCCGAACGGAACAGTTGACCCTGGATTCTCGCGCAGTCTAAGCTGAAGAGCCGTCGGGAGCCGTGTGACATCAAGTCGCCAACAAGCGGGACTCCCAGGGCAAATCGAGCGCAGCAGACTCGGATGCCCTCACACTAAATGTATTCGTGATCTCCGAATGTGAACAATTGTTGACCAATGTGACGAATGTGAGCCTTGCCCGGCTGGAAAACCTCGCACCGCTCCGGTATAGATCCGAGAGAATGTCCGTGGACCCCAGCGGGCCCGAAGTATTTATGAGAGAGAGACACAGAAAAAAATCGCGAACACCGACAGCTTACTGGCCGTCGCTACAGCTCAGCGACGACCGCTTCGAGAACGGCGGTACCGGAGCGACTGCGGCACCAGTGGAGAAGCCGCGGGCGGCGGTTCGTGCCCGTAAATATACGAGAGCAGACGACGCGATTGTTGTGGCTGCTGTCATCTCACAGGCTGTCTATTGGGGCTGTTGTCATAGTTGTTCCGAATAGCAGCAATCCTTGGAAGTTTCTTGTCCACTGTGAGTGGTGCTCGTGGTTTGCCGTGTTCGCCCCGCGGGGCTCATCGAGCCATGTTCAAACGAGACAGAAACATAGATAATGTCAAAAAAGCTCAGGGGAAAGTCCTCGACGCAAAGAGAGACTCCTTCAACAGATTGAAGCATATCCGCACCTTTCTGGGTGAGTCGGTGTCGGCCCGCCGGTGGATTCCTCGGATGTGCAGCCGAAGCGCCATATCAAGCGACGAATTAATATCGATATCCAGTGTATTATCTCCACCATCGGATCATACCGAAGAGTAGACCCTGATCGAGTTTACTGTTCTGCGTTTCGAACGTGTGAATGAAGTCAGCTGATCGGGGTCAGCAGGTGGTGACGGGACTCGCCTCGGAAACCGTCTTTTTATGTGATCGGTCCCAGTGGGAAACCGACTCCGGGTCGGAATTACATAAACAGCCTCGAAGTCAGGTGTTTCTGGATTCTTTCGGGAGTTTCTGAATTCGGAAATGCTCCTGCTCATTGTAGATGTCGAAAATGTCAGATCCTTGGGGTTCCTGCTCCTTCAACTGCAAACGCTTCCCGTGATTCTACATGCTTTCATGCCAAATGATTCACTGGAATTCACTGATGGCTTAGAGCGAGAGTCCGTGTGACGGCTGGAGGTGAGCATTACGGAGAACATTCGTAAATCAAGCGACCCATTTCAGAGCATGTGGAGAACCATGAGGCGAAGGAGTTCTTCCAGTCGAATTATTCTGTTGTCTACTTCATCTTCCATGATGCCTTTTCCATCGTGGAAGGGAACATTCGCTCCAGAGGAGGTGAATATCAAATCATTCTTATGGAACAATCCCACAGAGATGGAATCGCTCGTATAAAAAGAGCTCCCGATGGATCGCTCCTCATTCGATCCCACTGCTTTTTCCTCCCATACAGTGCACAAAAGCCAGAGGGAGGAGTTTGAAAATGTTCGATACCTCTTTGAGAAGATTCTTGTCCTTCTACCCGAGCTGATCGCGAAAGGTTGGCAGGCTCACAGCATCAGGATCGTGATGAAAAAGCTCCTCCACCACGGGAACTCGCACAAAGTGAGTCCGCCTTCTTGTAGGACCGAAACAACTCGAATAGTCATACGGAGAATGATTTTATGCTTGAAAATTCTAGACGATTTGTGAGGCTATCCGTCTTTTCATCATCTGGTATCAAATTCTGCGAGAAGCAGCACCCGCGGAAGTCGATATAATGTTCGCAACGCTGATACCGAACTTGATACCAGGACCCTTGCAAAGACCTCGGAGCCCTCCACCGGAGGGTGCGCACCCTGCGAAAGATTATACTTTCTACACAACATTGGAGAACGAAATCGGTAATAATTGCTTACGGAGATTCGAGTATCCATCATTGACGAGCGTTTTATTTGCCTAATACGATTCGCCTCAAGAACCCCCTAATCTATCGGTCTCTTTTATATTAGTTCGCTGTGGCGTTTTTGACTCATCCCCTTCCACAGGACCCGTCGTGGCAGGTGAGCAATCTCACCTTTTCCCCCCGGTTCCGGGGGATATTCAGCCGGAAGACCAGAGCGCAGCTCTTCTCGAATTCATGTTGCAAGTCATGGTCACGCAGGTCACGAAGGTACGTTCCTCCCCTAAATCATCTTTCAAGATCGAAGGTTCGGGCTCCGAATATTTGCCTATCCTGCGTGATGTTCCGTGACCTGAGGCTCCATGCATTCTTCCCGCAGATTCAGTGGGACCAAATTATTGTGAATGGGGTTCGTCAATACGAGCGTTGCTTCTCGTTTTTGTTGGACAAGTTCAGAGCTATATATATTCCACATTTGTTCCCGAACATGTCGGTCAAGTATTCGCTTTATCAACCTAATCTTGGTAAGCAAACATCTGAAATTGGATCGGCTCCTGCGAAATGTGATTTTAGAGAGTCAGTATAACAGTCCAGAAACAATTTCAGACCTTCCGGCCGCGGTGCGCAGCGATTCTGTGCTGCTATCGAAGCATCAGTCCTTGGTTGTTCAGTTCTTGGTACAATACGTGAATCCGCAAAAGGGCGAACGTGAAGCGGGAGCAACCAGGAACGCTCAGAGGATGGAAAATCCGTGGACGTATTACGCGGCGCGTTCGGCATGGAGCAGCTTCATGGACGACGACATGTTAAAGGTGCTTGAGATTCGCCGATTGTCTCCGACATCCTATCGAATGCTGGGATTGAAATAACCGAGATGCTCAACTCTGTTTTCAGTCGGTTCCCGTTCTTCCCGACACCGACTTCTTGAGCGTCTATCACCGAGCCGTCGTGAGGAACGTCCTTTACGCCACACCGGCAAATGTGGATTTCGTTCACGAGATCTTCCGCCAATGTTTCGTCTCACCGCTCGGCCAAACACAGACAACGAAAAAGGTAGTGTTCCCGCCCAGAACAATTGGGGATGAGTCGAACGCGTCCATATTCTTGCAACCCCGATGCCTCATCTCCGAGATTCTCTCCACTAGGTGATCGCAGTCTATCGCGAATGGATTCACATGAATCTCCCCGACCCTCCGTCTTTCCTCATCGAGCAGCCCTCTTCGGAGCAGCCTCGAAACCCGGTCTTTTGTGGCCAGCAAAACCTTTACAAAGTATTCATCACGAACGCGTCCAACTTCTTCTTGCTGTCCCTCCCGGTCAGCGAGGAGAAACTTCTGGAGGAACAGGTTGACCTATGCAAGCGAGTGATTAACATATACCGATTCATGGTGATGAAAAAGCTCATGGAGCGAGCAACCTGGGAACAACTGCTCTATGTGATTCTACACGTAACGTCTCAGGTAACCGGCAGTCTTTAAAGTGTACGCCGCATGGGGAAAAGCCTCGCAACCATATACGAATACGGATACTTTCGTGAAGTCATCAACGTAGAGTTCCGTTCTTCCAATTGCAGGTGCTATCTAATGACGTTCCGCGAAAATCCGGTGACTCTCTCGGACGGCAACTCGCACCTCCCCTTTTTCAAACGTTGATCGTGACGTGGATCAAGGCCAATCTTCATGCGACCATATGCGTCGACCTCTGGAACGGCTTCGTTCGGGTGCTATCCACTCTTTCACATTGGGAACCCCTGATCGACGAATGGGCTGTAAGTAGAAGAAAATACCTCATTCGAGCCCGAGCCATTTCTACCAATGACTTCGTTCACATACGCTCATTCGCCCGTAGAATCTCAACAAGAGCAGCGATACGCTCTGGAGAAGCTTCACTCTTAGGCAATTAGGGCATATATATCCCTATCGGGTGCAGGCTCTCCCACCTGAGGGCTCCATTGATTCCTCGAGTGATTTCTTTCCATCCCTCAGAAAACCATGAAAACGCTCACAAGGATCCTGACAACCCGCGTTTACGGCCTGGATCTCGACAATTTACCCCTAGCTAGGCTCAGTGAGCAACAAACGAAAAGAAGAAGAAACCTCAAAGGCAATGTGAGAGGAATATCCGAGGGAACGCCTCAAATCCGAACCCCTCAAAGTCGGCAGCAGCAAAGCTCGACCGATATCGATGGGAAGACCGGTAAAGCCCTCTCAATTCTGGCTCTCTCCGATGAACATACATATCGCATGGAACGCCCATCTCGACGAGTGATACCATCTGAAACCCATCATAATTAATATTCTGAGCTTCTGTGTCAAACTCCGCAGAGAAATCATCGCCCGATTTGCTCGCACAGTCTTCCTCTCTGTACACGGGCCAGCTCCAACGACGACTGTCGGACTCCCACCTGCACACTTATCGTCAGTTACGATTCCGTTCGAAACAGCCGACGAGGAGCTGGTCGTACCCATCGGTGAAAAACCTGGGTTGTCCACTACATCAGGAGTCGACAAATACCTCACCTGCCGCCTCGAGCACAGCCTTGGAGAGCAGCTCAATGAAAGACCATCAACTGAATCAAATGATGGACTGCACATCGTCAGAAAACGGTAGGCATCTCGCTATGAGACGATAATACGAATGCCCCAATAATTCTGGAAGTTCGCTTACCCTACGGTAATGGGACGGGGGTCCGACTGCGGTGGCCCGAGCCTCTCGCAAATTCGAACCTCTTCCGCATGGGGGAGGTCCCTAACTGCGGTCCCACCCCCGCCGAGTCATGCCGTCGGATCCCCCTCGGCGTCGTTGCGACTGTGACACCCAGAACCTTTTGTCTCACTACAATGAATACACCGGCGACGACTCGAATCTCAAACTCGCTCATTCTTATTGTTAACCCTCATGCAGCGGCCATCCCGATGCATTTAACCCAAGAGGTGTTCATAAGAACCGGCTCGAACGCCTCAGAGTTCGGAGAACACCGAGCATCGGTCAGCTCGCGCTTCGATCTAGTCCGATGTGATTCACAGGGTGAAAGCGCTCTGAGGGAAAGCCATCACATGCTAGCATTCGAAGAAGCTAATACTGCCACTAACAACAATCAGAACAAGTGTGAAGGAAAATCCGCAGATGACAGTGTTGCGGACGATTCCAAGGAGAACAAGGATGCAGACGACGAGTTCCTTGGTGGGTGCATGCAGTGGTTGAGGACTAATCATCAAAGGGTCCATTACACAGCTCGACAAAAAAAACTTTTTTCGCGTTACAAAGAAAGCGAAAGCTATTTCGGGGTAAACCGGGGGCGCTGAATCCGAATTTCTTAACAGATTTTCTCCATCAGGTCCAGTTTTTTCGTAATTTCACTTTTTTGATTTTTTGCCATTTTTCGTCTTTAAAAAATTCTAGCTCCGCCCCTGAGTGGACTAGATCGATGAAACTTCGGTGGCGGATAGAGCTCGGTTGGGGCTATACCTGGCCGAGTTTTGGTGCGATTCGTAGCAGTGGTCTCTGAGCTAGAGCCATCGGAAACTAAAGAAAAGAAGAAAAAAGTGGGAGAGGGACCTCTTAGAAAGCACTTGACGGAAAAACTAGGACCTTTGAAGCGGTCTGACCTAGACAATTCGATAGAGGAGGCTTTGACGAGCATTTTGAGACCAAGCAGAGCAAAATCGGTCGATCCATTTAGTTTTTATTCGCAAAAAACATTGAAAATTTGAAAACGCCTAAAAGTCGGAATTCGCCTGTTCCGGCTTTTAAGCAGAAGCTTCGACCGTTGGGCCGTTGGAATCTTCCGTAAAATCAGCGAGGTCGATCAATCCGCATCAAATCGAGCCGTCAGCGATTGTCTGGAATGTGGTCGATCAGGGGCTTCCCTCATGAGGTTCCAGCAATAGTCTGCCATCATAGACTCATCCCACCTCCCTTGGTATCGCTCCTCCATGGTGCTGATGTCTTGATGGAACCTTTCGCCTTGCTCGTCGCTCATTGACCCTAAATTCTCAGGGAATAGATGAAGGTGGGCGTGGAGAGAATGAACCTTGATACTCATTCTACATCCGAGAATGCGGAAGCTTTCTACAAGTCTCTGCACCAACTCCACGTAGTTGGAAGCTCTCGTGTTCGCCAAGAAGTTCGTGGCGACTGAGACGAAGGATTCCCAGGCGGCGGCTTCCTTCGGGTTGATCGATTCGATGAAGTTTGGGTCCTTCATGAGTCCCCGGATCTGCGGCCCGTTGAGCACTCCCGCTAGCAGTTTCTGTCTGCTCACGGGACGGAGATTCTGGGCTATGTATTCGAAGCTTAAAAGTCGGCACAGACGAATTCCGACTTTTAGGCGTTTTGAAATTTTCAATGTTTTTGCGAATAAAAACTGAACGGATCGACCGATTTTGCTCTGCTTGGTCTCAAAATGCTCGTAAAAGCCTCCTCTATCGAATTGTCGAGGTCAGACCGCTTCAAAGGTCCTAGTTTTTCCGTCAAGTGCGTTTTTAAGAGGTCCCTCTCCCACTTTTTTCTTCTTTTTTTTAGTTTCCGATGGCTCTAGCTCAGAGACCACTGCGACGAATTGCACCAAAACTCGGCCAGGTGTAGCCCCAACCGAGGTCTATCCGCCACCAAAGTTTCATCGATCTAGTCCACTCAGGGGCAGAGCTAGAATTTTTTGAAGACGAAAAATGGCAAAAAATCGAAAAATCGAAATTTCGGGAAAACTAGACCTGATGGAGAAAAACTGTTATGAAATTCGGATTCAGCGCCCCCGGTTTACCCCGAAATAGCTATCACTTTCTTTGTAACGATTTGGCTGTCGAGCTGTGTTATCGATGATTCAGTGAGATTTTAGAATTAAAAAAAAAACTTCCGAGCTGGAGGGTTTGTCGAGCTCTCGCGCTGGGCATCTACCTTATTGAAATTTCCCGAAACGTCCCCAATCCTGTCGCCTTTAGGAGAAACCCCAGATCCTGATGGTCGTAGCGTCCTCGCCGGAGGATCTCAAAAAGGCTGGTGTCCTGAAGTTGCCGTAGTCTTGTGGCGCCGTATGGTATGTTCCCTGGGGAATGTCAACAACATCAGAGACCCAGCTATTCACGCTAAAGTCATGGAACAAGTCGCCGATCTCTGTGAAACTTTGATCAAGGTATTTCCAGAACCCTGTCTAGTCCGTGAGGAAATTATTTGATCCTGGTAGTTGAGTCCATGCGACCCACATCATGCTCAGGCGTAATTCGGATGATGATTTAAGGTGCGAGAGAATCAAGGCGTCTCCGAGGATAATCTCAGTTCGCCAACGCCTCCTCAATTCATCCCGCCGATTCATATGCTGACGCCCTGGTTTTTCGAAGCCACCATGCTGTCTGATGAATATGAAAAAGGCAAACTGATCGCCTACCAGCTTCTGTGTGACCTGAGCTTCAGAACGCACGACATTCCCCTCAGTGCGGAATATGTCACGAGGTAGGCGAGCGCAATGGGACTCGTGGAATTGGGCGAGCTCGCTATCCCGATGTATCGGAGGAAGACGAGTCCATATTCCGAATCCTCTCAAGGAATTCTCACATCCCCACAGACTTTACGACGTAATGCACAGAGGTCTGACCAGTGATAATCAGAAGGTTAAGAACTGCATCATAAAAGCCAGTGGTACTCGATTCTTGGGGACCACGCTTCCTGGATTTTCCTTGCTCATCATGGATTTCGTGCAAGCATCAGGAGAAATTCTGGATCAACAGACACTCAAAGCCGTTAGTACCGGAAGCAAGGTATCGGGAGCGAGAGACCACAGAATTGCGAAGCTCGAGAGATCACTGACGGCGTTCTCTTCTTCTTCTTCTCCTCCTCAGATGCCCAGGGCGGAAGCTGTGATGACCCTCGGCGCTCATCTATTCATCGGCACTATCTACGGCGACCTTCAGACACTGGACTCGACCTATCATCAAGGTCATCGACTCGTTAACCTCAAAAATCTGGAGACCGCGGTCATGGACAAACTGCTCTTGGCTGCAAAGGGTGACCCCGATTGGCAAGCGCGCTGTACTGCCATTTCGGCTGTAGCTGTATATTGTTATCAGCAATTGGTGTATCGAAGCAAACACGCACATTTCCTACCTGCCTTAAGAGTTCTGGTTCAATCGCTGAAACCTTCGCCACAAGCGCCCAATCAGAAAGGTGTTAAGTTCTCGAAATGCAATCAGTATACCGTTTGCCAAACGGCCGCCGAATGTCTTTCGTTGCTAGCGGAATTCGTTGACGACATGATACGGGATCTGCCGGATATTCCCGAGATCATTGTCAAGAGCGTGGCCGCGGTTCTCGGTGAAATCTATCCTCCGAAAAACCCGAATCAGGAGCTCAATGAAAGTTTCTCCAATGTGAGTCGTAACAACTGTCCTCTGCTCATGCATGCGCATTTCATGACTATCCAACGAGCCCGAATGAAAACCCAATTCCTTCGTTCTTTTGCAGTTGATAATTTCGCTCATGTTCTGCCTCGCTGAGTGGTCCATGAAGATCCCGCTTGACGAACTGACGAAGTCGAAACCATCGAGTCTTCATTCAACTCTGTCGGCGTTGGATTCTATAATTAAGGGAGTCAAGAGCGAGAGTTCAATGGACTCGACCGGAGCCTTGCTGGATAAAATATTCTCAAGTCAGAAAATCTCCAAGGCGAAATCCGCTCTAGAGTCTCCGATCGAGATCCAGAGATCACTGCACGCACCCCTGACGACTTCGTTCAGCGATCCTCAACATCAAGAAGCCAAATACGCCGGCGAGCAAAAAGCAACTTCCGCGATTAAACTGGCCGCCAAAGCGGTTAGTGCTTGTTACAGGGCATTCATTTGGATAGTTTTCTCGTTTTTCCTTCATTTCTCTCTTGCCTCATAGAGGGAGAGCCGGGCCACATGGACTCAGGCGTAGAATTCAGATACCGGATTCGAGTTGCCGAGGGCTGGAGGAATCTTATCCACCATTCGTCTGGAGAGGATGGAAGCTCTTTGTGCGCGAGCACGAATCAGACTCGATTCCCATCCGCAGATCCTGTGCCACTTGATGAACAACATAGGACACTTTCCGATGAATTCTGTGGGTCTTACAAATCCATCGAGCTTGACCATCGAGAATGATGATGTTCCCGGACTGAGTGAAGCTCCTGAGATTTCGAAACAGACCTTCAACGCTCCCAACATACAATTCTTCGCGGTCAACGATTCAAGCATCGTTTCATTAATCGAAATCCCACCGAACGTAAGCTCCTCGCGCAGTGGATACATGTCGAGGCTGTTCCGGAGACAGACATTTCCGGAGAGAGTGTAATGCAGATTGATTTTTTTCCAGGATAAGTCTTCTGATCTCACAACCGGCAAGGCTCGTACCAGAGTCATAGTGAGAGATCTGTGTGGAAAGTTCTCGTGGGAGTGCGTAACAGTATACGGTCCACTCGGCTGTCGAGCCGGATCCTTCCCGCCGGGACCTTCCCCCGATCCATGCATGTTCTATGCGGGTTCCCCGAAATCTTGCGTGACACCAGAGATTCCGCTCCGCATACCCACGAGCGAACTCGAGGGACCCGCTGGCAGGTTCCCAGTGTGCGTGGACGACGGAACCGCCCGGGAGAGCCTCAACAAGGTACCAAGGGCGGGATCTGCGAGACGGAAACGTCAAGATCCATGGAAAAGTATTCCAAGAAAAAACTCATGAATGACTCTCATTATCCAGATGCTCCGTTACATCGGATCGACTTCACCGGAATGCGCTACACAGCTGCCTCTAACATCACCGCCGAGAGCGCTGAATCAGCAGAGCAGTCTAGCGGAAGCAGATCAAATCAACGAGGTGAGAGTCGGTACTCGAGATCATTTCCGAGAGCTGGAGCGGAGTATCGGTCGACAGTCTTGGGGAGTTCGAGATTTATCGAACATTCGCTCATTCCGCAGATACTCGGTTTCGCCGAGGCGGAACAGGAGGAAGTGGCGAAGCTTCGATGGAGTTCGAGTCAAAGAGCTCAAGCCCTGATGCCGCCTTGCGATGCTGAGACCGCCTCACAACACAATGGCACCTCTTCTGGCAATGTTGGACTACAACACGGATCGCTCGCACCCTTCCAGTATTCTAGGTTGGATTCCATGGAACCAAGGGCTCCTCCAGTCAACGAGATAAACCGAACAAGGTGGATTCCCTTAGTCGAATGATTCACGAGCCCTCTCTCCTTCCCCCAGACTGCTCCTGAACCAGCTCAACTTCCTCGGCTGGGAGCGAAGGTCTACAGTGGCCCTTCTGCAGAAAAACGATAAGCTTCTCCGTGAGGTCCGTTATCTCGATCAGCAACGGTCGCGAGAGACTCATAAAATCGCCGTGATATACGTTGGGGCAGGCCAAGAAGATAAGAACTCGATTTTGATGAATCAAAGTGGAAGTCCCGAGTTCGAAAACTTCGTGCGCGGTACGGCATCAGTAATTTTATTCCACTGTAAGCGTTCTCAAGGGAGCATGCATGAGTGAAGCTTAAAGTAATACGCGGCTTATGATTACAGGTCTGGGTTGGGATATCGATCTCAGAACTCACACTGGATACCGCGGTGGATTGGATCAAAACGGAAGTACGGGATTGACGGCACCGTATTTTGCCAATTCGTTCATTGAGGTACTGTTTCATGTCAGCACAAGGATCCCGGCGATGGAGAAAGAAGCTATGACGAAAAAACTGCGTCACCTCGGGAACGATGAGGTTCGTATCTTACACGACTGGGATTCAGAGCCTCGATCATAGTAGTCTCGAGCGGCGGCGCGCAGGCAGGCCCTCGTGAGACAATCGGTAATGTTCCTACGTGCCCTTCGCCCAGGTTCATGTGGTATGGAGCGAGCATCAGCGGGAGTACCGTCGGGGAATCATCGCAACAGAGTTCGGAGACGTCTTCATCGTTCTCTACCCGATGCCCGACAACCTCTGCCGAGTGCAGATCAACGCCAAACCCGACGTAAGAAACTCGATCCGCGCGGCTTCCGAGGCAAGCTGACATCGAGCATTTCGCGACAAAACGACGAAGGCATCTCACACAAACCCTTGCCCCTTCTGTCGGGATTGCAGGTGCCATTCTTCGGACCACTCTTCGACGGTGCGATTGTGGATCAGAGAATCCTCCCGGCGCTCGTCCGTGCAACCGCGATTAATGCTGACCGAGCTGTGAACTCACTGAAGATGATGTTCCGCAACTATTACGAGGTGCGGTCAGAAATTATCGAAAACATCTGCAGTAACTTCAAGGAGCCAACTACTTTCGAGGAATTCGCGTGCAAGGTTTTCGCTCCGTCCGTACTGAAGCTCTCGAAACCGTCGAATAAAGGTTTGTTACAATCGTAACGCTTCCGGAATTCGTCTATTGTAATTACATCTGCATTAGCTTCTTTCGGAAAATACAATTTCACTCCGCCGGGCTTGTCGGAGCCTCACGTTCCGCTCGTTCATTTGATTTAGGAGTGGACATCGTAGACACCGCACCTCCGACTTTCTCCCTCGATGTGGCCGCAGGGAAACCACGTACAGGATCTGCCACAGATTCACCGTCTTCTCCTCACGCTCCGCCAAGATTCCATCGGACACCACCCGTCGCTCAACCCACGTTACAGCATTCGCAGTCCACAGTGTGAATCGCAAGTATTCTGAGCTCTTCTGCAGATCCTCGCGGTCTACCGAGTCTCTATTTCCACGGAAAATTTGTACAACAGAGACTGGTCGCGGAATCCTCAGCTCGAAATCAGTCGTCAAACGAATGATCGCCGCGAACAGAAATGAGTAGAAAAGTCGCATACAATAATTCGAGGATGGGGATATACCGATACCAATCTTCGTTCGACTTGGGGACGCGAGGTGTTACATGAGGTCCGAGCTATTGGTCACACGTCGTAAGCGACACGCCATCAGGTTCCACCACGGAATATTTCATTCCTGACATTAAGGTTCTGGTGACGCCGGAAACTCTTATATCGCGGGATTCACTGTGCTGTACCCACTCATAATCGTCATACAATTAGACTGAGAGGAGATCATATGCCACTGTCTTATTTTCAATCATCATATTTATATTTCTATCGCATCATCCAGCGAAGCGGTCAAAGGTGCAATATAATAAATTATGCCGGATATTTATCTCGTACGGTGTTCCTTCTCTTTTTCTCGTCCCTTCCCTTTGAGCGGCAGCGAGGCAGGGAGACAGCCGACTTTTCCATAGATGTGGGCAAGAATCATCGAGCAAACGGTTCTGATCCAAAAATAATCAGAAAGACGTTGTTCCTCAGAGAAAACACGGTGGCGGTTGGCTGCAAATTCTCAGATCATCGCCGAGTCACCGGAGGGAAGAATTTCGGATCCATAGAATCAAAGTGCGAACTATTTCTGCGATGTGACACCAGGAATGTTCTTACACGCCTTAGGACCATTTAAAAAATTATCATAAATTGCGGTTCACGGGGATGATTTTCATTTCTACCGCTCCAGTCTAGACTTGATTTTTTTCTTCTCGCTGCGAGCTCTCCTCATGGCACCGATAGCGCTACAGGGCATGCTGGACCGGAATCATTTTCATACCCAAAATCCGACTTACTTTTCCGGGTTGGGAGCGACATGCGAAGCGGTTCGAATTCGTTGCTCGGATTTTCCAGGAGAGCTTTGCATATTTCCGAATGCGATAAATCTTCTGGGTGAACGTTTGCTCTCGTGCTTTCGGCCGGACTTCGGTTCCGTCGGATAATTGAGTTCAGTTGCGTAACCCTGTATGAAGCGTCAATCATCATTCAAAGCTCAAAGGAATGGTCCTCTTCGCCGGGGGAGTAGGCAGATATTCTCTCTGTCTTCGAGCGTATGAGAATTTCGATGTGACCTGATGGATCATTCTCTGTTGCTTCTGGCGTTTCGTGGATCGCCGCCTCGAGGTACACGTCCCATTCTAAAAAGCGGAGCTGGCGCTTTATGAGCTCACAATTTATAGACGAGAGATTCCGTCGGCGAGGCGTGCAACTCTGATCATTCGACCCTCTATACAGAGAAGAAAGGGTCGATGGGAATGTTTTCCGGCGAAGTAAAATGGCCCATGTTCTACGTTTCGCACGAGACTCCATACTCGCCACCGATTATTGGAGCGCAGCTCTGCCCACGACGCGGTCGAGGTAGCGCCGAAGAAGGGAAGCTAGATGCGCGAAACATTCTCCCTGTCAATCCACGAAGATGTCAAGATTTTACCCGGACGGAATCTCAGAGATTTCCAGAGCCGGAGGACAACCTCCGTTGCTCCTGGGAGAGCCGATATACCGTCGTCAGCCAATTTCATCTCAGTGCAGTAGATGAGCGCGGGAAGCTGCCCGGGTTACAGGACGAGAGGAGATCCACGATCATATCTGATGGACGAAGTTACTTGCTCTGAGTCACACGCGCGGCAGCTTCTCGGACCATGGTAATCACGATCCTTCCCCAACTTCTAGTCCCGGGGCATCCCTGCCCGCTTGCTTCGCTCGATACGGATGGCAAAAAGATGATAAACGTGATATCGTACGTAGCGTGATGCCCGAAATACGGAGCAGAGGGCCTTGTCATTCGCGATTTTCAATCCGGAGGAATAAGGATACTCTGCTTGAGGGGCGCTGTCCGAGAATTGAGCTCTAGGTGGCATGAATTTGCTGGAAAAGGAAGCCGCGGATTTCGGAAAACTCAGGCTTCGAGCCGGGAACATCAGAAATTATTATGATGCGAAAATGTGACAGGTTTGTGCGAATATCGGATTCTGATCCAATTCCCTAACAGGACAAGAAGTTGTCTCCGCCAGAAAACTATCGGGAGAATTCCGGGGCAGAGCCTCCCTCGCAAGGCCTCCCGCGAGCCAACTCCTCTGGCATTCCAGAATCTAGGACAGCGCCCCCTCCCGCCCCCCTGAATCGTGAACCTCTTCTTACGCCGCGATGCGATCTCATTCGTTCGCTTCCTTGCCTGAGGCATGATCAGAGAGTGGCACATCGGGCTTATCCTGGCTCCTGGGAGTCCGCTTTCTTGACTCGATAGTAGAAACGATCCCGGCCGCCTACACGGTTGCATCGGCTCATTCCTCGAAATCTGGATATACTGTAGTCATTCTAATCTAGTCATTTGAAGCTACACATAAGGCCGATTCTCCGATTCATCTATACCTGACCCGGATGGATATAGTCGGCTTGAGTATCGATGCTGGAACGAATCGATGAGTAAGGGTTTTGCCGTCATTCAGAGACCAGTAGTCGAGTTCGGACTCCTTGCTCGACGGGAAGAAAAGGGTTGTCCGCTAGCACGGAGGATGTCTCTTAGCGTTTTCCGGATGCTTACGCTTCCGAATACCGGCATCGTGAGCCCTATCCCGAACGGAGATCTTCGCAGAATCGTAATGACCGCCATCAGCTGAATCAATCAATGCCTGCGGAGAAATCGAAGCAGCAATCGAGAGGGTCCGGTCCTACAGCATTATCGAACTCCCGCCTCGGGTGAGGAAACCTAACTTGCACGTCATCGCGGAATTCAGTTCGACTGGAGACGAGCAAGCCTCTAATGTCCGGAAGAAGAATATATCACTTCTGTTCGATCAATGATTTCATTCGACGCTCCTGGAGAAGAAATATTGGAGCGGAATTCTCGAGCAAGGGATTAGCTTCGTCTCAACGGGATGAATTATTTTCCGAATGATTCTGCCCTTTCGTGAGGATACGGCTCCTGCACTGTGTCGTTTTCTCCGATTTTTCCAATCTTCGCCGAAATAATAAAAGGAGCATCGCCCGAAGTCTAAGGAAAGGTGGACATCAACACGTCAGCGACTTGACCGCTTCCTGCTTCTGAACATCAGATAACGTAATGAACTGATTCTCGCGACACAGAGATTGACCGCCCTTAATTATTGATACGTAATTTCTATGTCTTTTCAGACAGTCGAGCCAGTACCACGTCTATTCTTGACTTGATTGACCAGAGAATGAGAATCCGTAGCCGGCCAATGAGAAATCCCCGCCGCTCTTCGCTTCGACGTACATAGTCTATGTCTGTAGTCGCTAGCGGGAGCCGTGAATTTTTCGAAAGGGTGATGCACTAAACCTATAATCTTCCATTATCCCTCAAAAGCGTCTGACCTTCCTGCTGGTCGCTTGCCATAAACTGGGAAATTCGAATGGTCCGTACCGTCTCTAGTCCGGTCGCACCTTAGCGTTTCTCATCAGCATTCATCACGCGATGCGTATCCGGAGACTTGACAACGGTACCTACGGGACTGCACCCAGAAGAAGTGGTGGTCGTATTGAATGCAAGATTCATCGCACCCGTTCTATGATATCACATCCTTAATACGGATTAGGATTCCTAAAACGAATGAATCAGCATTATAACGAACGGTGGCATTCGGTCACCTCAGTCAGATCAGGGAGCACTCTCCTAATCCTCAGACGAATTGGATGCCCCACGAAAAGTAGCGCATTAAATGTCAGGGAAAATTCAGAAATCCGGTCAGACCGAGATATGATCAGTGTTTCTCCAAAAAAAGGTAGAACACTTTAATACCGTTACTTTGCTCCGAATGGGACGATCCGAGTGACGTCAAAAAAGGACTGATGCTCTTGCCACTGTGAACGGCTTCAGTTTTGGATCCTTCTTCTTTCGATTGAAGGGTTGTGCACCCTTTCCTCAGCGCTTGGGGCATGTCAGCCACGGCTCGTCACATTAAACCTGGTGGTGATTCGATATGAGGTGGTTCCGACTGCGGTTTCATTTAATCAGTATGCATCTGTTGATACCGATATTACTGTTTCCAGCCGCCTCGACGGTGGAAGCGAAACCAAGCCTCCGCGCCGGTTCGTAGACAACCTAGCAAGTGTTTTATGAGTGGAATATCTTCCGTCGAGCCGCTCCGCTTCATTCATCTGAGCATCTTCCGCCCGCAGCACTCTTGAATCGTCAGGCATGGGCGCCCTCGTGGAGTTCTCTGAGCTCGGGCATGGCGACGCTAGCGTCTTACCTGCCCACCATGAGTTTTTCACCATCTCTCGGAATACTTCAGTCACCCGCTTTCGCGGACCTAGGAGCGTACCTGGCTGATACAATGCCGGCATTCAGTGACGTCTACGCTTCGATACCGTCGTGGGAACAATGGCAACAGTAAGTCTCTAGGCTGAATGATTATCAGAATATAATGAGAAGCAGCTATGGTGGAAAGCGGAGTGCCATCGGCTGAACTCCAGGGATCATTGTGATCAATACTCGAAAAAATCGATCCCCGTGACTGCCTTTGTGAATCGGTCTCTTGAACTATGGCAGGAGTCGCTCACAATCTGAAATGGGATGGAAATTCCGGACCCATAATTGGGATCGCCGCAGAGCCCTGCTGTATTCCGAGTTTGCTCGGGCTAGGAGATTCCCCGAGTCCCGAGTTTTTGAGGTCTTCCGCTCCAGTCTTTGCTGATATTGATTCTAAAGATCCCCACCTAGCCCCCGAAATGTACGTGTCTTCACGGGCTGTAGCGAGTGCGATGCGACGAGGCGTCGCACAGTGGGGCCAAATCGAATTTTAGGTGGACAAAAGTCCATGGAAATCGATCCCGGAATTTTGATCGGTTATGGGTTCGAAGATGTTCGTAAGACTCTGAAAGTCGCGGGGGAACCATGATTACCGCATTATCCGCATCCCCCAGCCACCCTGGCACGTGCGAGAATAAAATTGATTTTCTTATTTTTACGACGATTTTCATGAATTTCTCCCCCCAATCGGTGATGCTCGGGAATGAACATACTTAGTGCCCTCGCATTGGGGGGAAATTATTTTCTGCGCTCAGTTCCTATCCTGATCTCGCAATCCCACATGATTCCGGTCGAGTCAGCCGATTCTGGACTTGCTGGGAAGACTTTTTCGCCGAGACGAAAAAGTTCGGAAATTCGTTAAATTCTCGACGTCAGAAATGCGGTGTCCCCACGTGTCCCCCTCTGATTTTTTCCTTTTGGGGAGTTTCGGACCTCTACTGGCCGCAGGAAAAATATTGAGGCGCGAAACCCAGCGATTCTCGAATACTGTCCAGCCAAAGTTGGGATCTGATCTCGTGGATGGGGACCATTCTCATGTAGTTTTTCGAATCCAAATCAGCACCAGCAGTTGGAAAACAGTGTCGCTCTCCACTTAACTCTGGGAATGAATCAACGCCGCGCCAAGACGCGACGCCTACGTCTCGGAACGGAGAACACGTCAATCGCCTCCGACATATGGACGTCAATCTCTTGGTGCTGATTTGGACTCGAAAAGCTACATGAGAATGGTCCCGATCCACGAGATCAGCTCCCAACTTTGGCTGGACAGTATTCGAGAACCGCTGGGTTTCGCGCCTCAATTTTTTCCTGCGGCCAGTAGAGGTCCGAAACTCCCCGCAAGAAAGAAAATCAGAGGGAGGACACTTGGGGACACTGCATTTCTGACATCGAGAATTTAACGAATTTACGAACTTTTTCGTCTCGGCGAAAAAGTCTTCCCAGCAAGTCCAGAATCGGCTGACTCGACCGGAATCATGCGGGATTGCGAGATCAGGATAGGAACTGAGCGCAGAAAATAATTTCCCCCCAATGCGAGGGCACTAAGTATGTTCATTTCCGAGCATCACCGATTGGGGGGATAAATTCATGAAAATCGTCGAAAACATGAAAAAATCAAGTTTATTCTCGCAGGTGCCGGGGTGGCTGGGGGATGCGGAAACTGCGGAAATCATGGTTCCCCCGCGACTTTCAGAGTCTTACGAGCATTTTCAAACCCAAAACCGATCAAAACTCCGGGATCGATCTCCATGGACTTTTGTCCACCTAAAATTCGATTTGGCCCCACTGTGCGTCGCGTCGCCCTCAGAAAGATTTCTGTCGAAAAGGAGCCGCTGCTTGACCTACGCTCCTTTAGAGATCCTCGCCGATATCTCCCAGGCCCCACCGAATCGTAGAGTAAATAATCCCGTCTCTGTCGAAATATCGACTGATCTTAGATCATTATTGGCTGGGCTTCATCAGTACGGGGGGAGGGGTTTAGAAGATATGCTCCCGATAAATATTCGAGTTTCTGGGTCGCTCCGCACCAAGCAGTTGATTCGATGTCATTCGGAGTGCTTGGGGAAAGGGAGTCATTCCCGGAAATCGAAATCGCCCTTTTTTCGAGAGAACCATTCTTAGCTCGGTGAGGCTCCTCGCGAACCTTCTGAACACCCTCATAGAGTGAAATCCCCTTACAACGAAGCTCGCGGGACCGAACAAATACGCATGTTCGTCGTGATGAAAGTTCGCTGTAACGAAGGTTTCTCATCATGATCTCTATGGCGAGCCTGCCAAGAGAAGAGGAAAGTGTGTTCGTTCCACTTCGCCAATTCGCCGTTGATTCCGCTGCATACATAGCTACGATATGCGTGTGATTCTCGCTTCCTTCGCGCGGCTTGTCCGCATTCCGAAGGTCTGGAGCCAGAGTTTCAAGAACGTACATTTCTCATGCGCGGGTTCTTTCCCGAATCGATTGAGCTCTGCTCAGGAACGTTCGAAGACCAAGATTTCTGGTCAATCCGTCGAGCTCACAGGGAGTTCAATAGCGGAATAGAACCCCTAGAGTTCTGATCGAGGCCTTCACTCTGGGCCTGGGCTGCGAAGTGAGCGCACCACATTCTCCGAATCACATGGTCTCGCTCTTCCAGGATGATGCCGAACCTTCCCAGACCCAGCTCACTTTTCTCGCAGCTGCCTAACGAAATCCAAAGCGGGATGCAGCAAATGTGGTCACAGATGAACCCGCTCGATGTCGAGCAATTCCGTCGGCGGCAGTACAGACGAGGAGCTCTCATGATGCTTGGACTCACTGGATACTATAACGGCTATCAAGGAATGTACAAACAGTACCGGAAAGGGATAGAGGCCTACGTCGAACCGCATCGTAAGGCGCAACTAATTACTCCGATAACGGAAAAAATTCTTCATCTTCAGTCTCGACCACAGTCGTGCTCGAGGAATGAATCTTGACCACGTTGATTCTCTATAGTCGATGAGGAATGGAGTGCTTTCCAGAGCGTAAGAAGAAATTCACTGAAATGAAACGTGTATGTTACTACGAGCTGCCGCGGGAGGGAGCCGAGGATATCCTTGAACCCTCGAAGATCAAGCCCGGAATGTGCTCTCATATCATACTCTCACATGCGAAGGTCAGTCTAATTAATTCCGCGATCTATTCAATGGTCTGGGTCGAGAGCTGACACCCCGGCGATATTTGCTCGACTCGAACATGACACTCAACTTTCCTGCTTATCGAATCCTGATCTCAGATGGGCGAGCATGGGAACGTGGTCGTTCCCATGGACCAAACGGACGACAACCGGCTGGAACAGATGCTCGGAGATCTGAAGAAAGCCGCCCCTAATGTTCTCCTCTGTGTGTCTGGGAGATCGAGAGGAGAGTTCTCACCGATGGCGGGACTCAAAGCGCATCGTTTAAAGTGAGCGAGAATCCGCATGTCAAATTCTTCCAAAATCTCGGCCTACCATTATGATCCGGGTCGTATCCTCAGGTTCATACGCTCGTCGATGGGAATCGTCCGTCGATATGGCTTGGCAGGGATCGACCTGGACTGGGAGTTCCCCGGAATGGATGCGGTGAGCCCCCAAGACGCAGGAAACATGGCAACTTTAGTGGAGGAATTCAGGGACTACATGGAACCGTGGAACAAGAAAGATAAAGACGAGGTGACTAAAACTGGCAAATCTCGAACGAGTATAGGAAAGACAGATCTCCGGTTTTCCTCGGCGGATTTTCGATGCTCTGGTATGCAGTCAGCAGGATGTGTCTCTGACTCATCATTTTTTCCACCCTCGGAAACAGGATTCGAAGAAATTCATTTTGACCGCCACCGTCTCCGCGATGCCGCAAATGATTTCGAAGAGTTACGATGTAAAGCGCTTGGCGAAACATTTGGATTGGGTAAACGTCATGGCTTATGATTACGCAATGCAGCACAGCGGTTTCCGTATTATGGAGCACAACGCACCTCTCTTCGAGTGAGTATTCCCGAATCCGTCGCGCGACATCCGAGCTGGAACCCGTCCAAAAATAAGACGGCTGTCTCGATTTGAATGTATTCTCCCCAAGGACTCATGTCAAGGTTCTTCTCGAGCAGTCGCTTCGGCAGATCATCCGGTCCGAGTGTGGCTGCCACAGGAATGAAATGGACACAGGAAGGCATGCCTCATGAGAAAGTTGTCATCGGTTTGCCCTTATTCGGTAGAAGTTACGTCGCCCCTTCGCAAAGCATCAAGAAACGAATCGGGGATCCCACGTCGCTGGGTAACGAGAATCTCGCGGTCCGGGGAGACTACAGCGTCTCAGCTCCCCTTTCGAATGGAGCAGAGTCCTCGAAACAGCATGTCCCTGATTTTGTTCAGTTGGACCAAGATACGAATTTCCTTCGAACTCCACTGTCCACCGCGGGAAACTCTCGAGATGAAACTTCCTCTCAAACAGAGAAACTTTCTCCGGATTCCTTCATTGTCGCAGATCACCAGAGTCACGAGGTCTCCGGAAGTGAAGAATTCAATCACGCGCTGCATAACGGCGAATTCACAGACGTCAAGAACGCGGTTCTGGGTGCTCAAGCGGTAGCTCCAGGATCCATCAGCGCCTTCTCGTCTTTCGCTGATTCCGTGGGTGATGCGGAGAACACCATCGGGGGTCTCTCGCTGGGTCCAGGAATGGACGGAGGTTTTGTACCCTACGGAAAGGTAACATTGCGAGTCGAAGCTCGATGCTCTTCAGTAGAATTTGGAGTTCAGAGAACAATCGACAAAGCCGTTGTATCCACAAATCACGCAGCTGTACGATCATGAATCGCGTGAAAAATTCCCCCTTTTGCAGATTTGTTCTATGGTCTCTAACGGAACGCTGCAAGTTCACATGGACTCAAACGCGAAAGTCCCTTTCGCCACTGATGGCACGAATTGGATCTCGTTCGATGATACCGTTTCGGTTTCTATCAAGGTATCGTTGATCATATGTTCGGCAGCAAGAAAAAATTCTCCCTCTGGGAAATGTTGAGGATAATCCCGTTCATGCATCACGGCTCTTCCGATCTCGAACCCGTCCAAAATTTTGCAGTCTCGCTGGGTCGAAGACATGGGATTCGGTGGAGTGGCCTTGTTCAATCTGAATATGGACGATTGGAAAGGAGCCTGCGATCCGAATAAAACACCATTTCAAATGTTGAGAGCAGTGTGGAAGATGCTCGGATGAAGAAAGTCACAGAGCTTTACTCGCTCATCGTTTTCATCGGAATTTTTGAAAGGATTCCAAACTCCGTCTAGTCCTCGAGGAAAAGTGTTTTGTCTTTTTTTCGCCCACAACCTGTAATTTATTAGAAGACAAATAAAGACATATGTAGTCCGCATGAATTTCAACGGAGCGACTTCTGCATCGATTGAAGGAACAGTGCTCCCGAAGATCGACTCAATCGGAAACATCTCGGAGGAACTCAATCGCTAATGCGGATGTCGTGGGCTTCGATCTCTACTCGAATTTTTTAGGAGCGATCCTTAGTGAATCTGGAGCTCCGAGCATGGATTAATTATCAGCGAGTAATTGAAGTTTTTCATCAGAGTCATTCTGTCGATGACATCGTATCGATAAGGAGCGACACGAAAGTGGTTTTACGTAGCTCCAGGTAGAGCAGATTCCTGCCCTTAAGACACAAAAATGATATTCGACTGCAGCCCCTGTGAATTTTAGTCCGAGCAGAAACATCTCCCCGACAGGATGCCGCAATTTCAAGGAACCATACGGGTGGTCTTCATGGAGGTCCGTGACTTGAGACCAGATGATTCTCCCATTGTTTGGTAGTTTTCCCCCTGTCGTTACCTCGGGGATGATCAGGGATGGGAATGAGTCCTGTTCCGGATTTCAGTTTCATCCTTACGTGATGAGATACACCGGCGCAAACGGAGAAACTCGCCTCCACGGACTCATGGCTGGACTCTTCACGAACATCACCGCTTCATTGAACCTCTCTTACATGTGAGTTGAAGCAAGGTCTCTTTTCCTTGAGTGTCCTTGGAATGCAGGTATGCGGGAGATCGATTCGAGGCGGCAAAAGAAACCAAGGCCAAGATTATTTCTCCTTAGCGCTTCGACGGGGGAAGACGGGGAATGTGGGATGCCTCTGCCGAACGAAACCTTCAATGGCGGCTTCCTCATGCTCCAGCAGAATAAAAGCGACCTAGGTCTTGGTAGGGAGATTCTTCTTCGGACTATCCCATGAGCCTGCGCGGAAAATCACTTTTTGGGAGCCAGAGATCAATATACATCAATATAAGTATGTCGAGTCCGTGAGGCTATACGCATTCCCTGTTCTCAGCTATCATACGATGAGATCACCTCCGTAGGTCCATTCGTGTCGGAGGAGCAACCCTTCAGGCACTTCGCGGTCATGCCGGCGCTGCATTTCACCCGGGTTGCGGTTTTGAGTGGCATGGAAACTGCGTTCGTTACGGAGGTTGGCCCTATAGCGATTGACTCCGGAGAGGGTCTCGCTCTCGAATCCCAGCGCGGAAAATGCTCATCAGCATATTCTTTCGAGCTCATCTCCGCCCCCTATAATAAACGGACGGGTGTTCCCAGGTCGCCAACTTTATGATGACGATCGATCTGTATGTTTGGGCGCTGCTGCTCGTGTGTCCATTGATTCTTTCGTCCCTCATGAGCTTTCGGGACTCGTTCCGGGCTAGAATAGACCATCGAAAAGAAACCGTCTTCTCTTCATACCTGCTCAAGCTCGTCGAATGTCTCCTCCAGGAAAGTCAGTTCTTCCTCCTCTACCCAGCAGCGGCAGCGTTCGCAAATTCATCTCTGATTAAAACGAACTCCATTCTATTTTCGAAGGTTGTTCCCTCCCGCACCGCGACTTCTTCCACCGATTGCTGTTTGCTCCGTGGATTCTGGGCGCATTCATCGTCATGCAGACCTTCGCCGGACTGCTCAAAGCGAACACTGCGGTGAAATCTCCGACGAGCAGGATCGATTCCCTCGAAGATCTGATCGCCGACGAGAGGGTGTCGATCTATTATCCGAGGAACATGATCATTGACACCATCCTACACGTGCGTATGCAAGGTGCTCTCTTCCTGGAGCGTTATGTAAAGCGTGGGACTCGTCACCTCATTGCATTTTCGAAAACGATTTCTTCGAGGGCGGATCTCGATTCCCTCTCTCCGGCAGTCCATACCCGGAGAGCGAGGACGGAAGTTCAACGAAGTTCTTAACAAACGCGGGCGGGGCGTCACCGCGGCCGAGCTATATGCAGAGTCCGTTAGACTAGAGACTGTGCATCGGAAAGCCGTGAGTTCGCTTCGAGCTTCGAAGCGAAGAATGAGCAGAAATTTATGCCCGAGCACGAACAAGTTCAAGGAGAAGCTTCCGGGAGCCAACTCGAAGCTCAATTCAAATGTTTCGATCAGGTCATCGTTTCGGACCAGGCATCTCTGACGGGATGCGTGGGTCACTGGTGCACAACGACCCCGGAGTTCTATTACTTCGCTGGAGAATTCATCTCCTTCCTGCATGGGACCTGGTATACCAGGAAAGACATGAACTCGACGTGGCGAGAAGCCATCAAGATGAAGTAAGACCTTAATCGCCTCCATTCCAAGATAGGATCGAGGATACACTCTTTGAATCCACCTAAAAAAACGAACCTGCAGAATTTTATGGACAAATGCCATGGGTGTGGAATATATTCGCAAGCATCTGCTATTCCCCGGACATATGGGCTGTCTCACAACCAATATGAGGTGGTAGGGAATTCTGGGAGCAGCAATATCTGCCGTGCGATTACTTACAATTGTTCTGATATAGATCGAAGTTTGACCTCAGCCTCTCCGGTACACTTCCAGACAACGAGTGGACAAAGCGGAAGCCATGTCACTGGAAGATGTAGTGATTGTCTTTGCAACGTTACTCATCCCGTTGGCTTTCTCCACCCCCGTGATAATCCTCGAATTCGTCGCAGAACGCTTAGGAACGCACTCGAGAAGCGAGAGGAAATTGCACTCATCGAACAGTCATCGGAGGGTTCCGAGGAGTGAAGTCAACTCGATCGACAGGCTCCGAGCCCAAACCCTACCGTCATTTGAGGACTCGAACCGAACCAACACATTTTCCCTCCCTCATATGGTCAGGACACGCGTTGAGGAAGGCGGGAACGGGAAGAGCAAATAACAGATGTTCTCCCCGGGAAGGTCACTGGTTTACTCGACGAGGATGTCTTCGCGTCTACTATCGCCGATAATTGTTGTTTTCCGCAGATCTGATTCCAAACGAGAGAGTTCTTCGAGGAAACTACCGAGAGAGAGAGAATTCGAAGGTCGTCTCCAATATTCATTGAGCTTGTCCAATAACATATTTGATATCGAATCAAGATGGTTGTATGCTCAACTTCCTAGTCAGATGGATTCGCAACCCCCGACCCGAATTGTAACGATCACGAGGTCCGTGAACGTCTCATTGGCCCCGGTTTGCGAAACAGTACGGAGTTGAGAATCAGAGCAGCTCCGCGTACGCTTGGGCATGACTACAAGTGCCGACAAAGCGCTCGGCTCGTGAGAGCCCAGTGTTCAATTATGGGGACCCATAGTGTGCGGGGGTGTGCTCATCAATCAAGTAGAAGGGGTGCCGGATCGGCGCCTCGACAGGGGTTCCCCTTTCTCATAGACAATAGTATAAGAAGCAACCTTTCAATCAATAAATACACTGTCTTGTGGAAACTCTACCCGAGTGCTTCTTCGATTCTCCACGAGTGTGGTGGCTGAGCTTCAGATTCGCCTTGGTGACGCTGAGCGCAAGCGGAGACGACCCTACTGCCTTCGACCCTATCTCACTGACCAATCTTCTGTGCCAGTACAAGCTTTCCTATTCCCCGTTCATCAGATTCCAATCTATTTTTATCGTAGCTGCTGGAAGACCCGGAAGGAGGCGATCCGGCGTGTCTGTCTCCCCCAGGAAGGAGTCACAAAGTCTCTGTCTCAATTCATGATCTCCAACGTCTTATAAGCTCGCCGGGGGTAAGAGCGGAAATTGATTGCCACGGCAGATACCCTCGCTGACTTCTGGCAGAGAACAAGCCCTGTTCTATGCTGCTAGGCTCCTGTGGAGAGATTTGAAGATCCTCTGGAGAGGACCGGCGAATATTTCGAAGCCCTCGCTCGTGAGTTACCCACCGCTCCAGCCGCCACGAACGACGACGCTGACGTGTGGCGCTGGTGCGGCCCCGCTGGCGCTCTTATGGGGTCACTGACAACAGCACCGCAAACGTCTCAAGAACAGGTCGGCTCGTAGTCAGCTGTTCGCACGAAACAAACTCAGCTATGCCGTCCGAAGACTCTCTGAGCAAGCGAGTGAAGATGGCAGCCGTTGACTCTGCGTTCTATCTCCTTCAGGTAACGTTGAGCGTCGATTAGAGAGTTATCAAATATCCTAAAATCGGAATCTGACAGTGCATTCGGTCAGCGGAAGTGGTGTTTATTAGTCCATTTCAACGCGATTGAACTTCGGACTCGTCCCCTCGCATCACTTTCATGCACGCAGGGGGTCAATTTATTTTTGGTTCGGAGATGGTGATTCAGTTCCGGAAAAAAAGTCGTTTCGAGTTGCCTCTCCCAAGTTCGGACGACGAGAAGCGGTCTGACGACTCTCTTAAGGATTTTCCTCATTCCGCGAGAGTTGGCTCACAGATAAAGACGGAAATTTCTCGCTTGCGGCTCCGGAACGTGCGGCCTACCGAAACTTCCCGCTTCTGGAGGGTATGAGCAAAACTGTGTGCATTCCAGGAGGCCGTCTTGGCAGCGAACCGGTACAGAAACTATCTTGCTCTCATCGGATTCCTATACTGTGGGAAACTGGGATGCGCCGTCACGTCACGAGTATACGAAGCATTCAAAGTGCACATGCTGTCCCGGATCTGGAAAACCGATCTGAAGAAATATGGACAGTGGGCTCTGGTCACTGGTTGTACCGAGGGGATCGGGAAAGAATATGCGCGACAGTTGGCCGCTCGAGGCATCAATATTGTCCTCTTGAGCCGTAATCAGACGAAATTGGAAGCTGTCAAGAACGAGCTCGGTGAGTTCTAAAAACCTAATTCCCCACGCTCATAGCTCAAATAAAAGCTCGTGGGCTCCGCTCACCTCTCGAAACTTATCGCCGATGCATGTTCTCGCAGAAACAACCTACAAAATCAAAACGAAAGTTGTTGTCGTTGACCTCTCCGACGGCTTCGAGGTGTGCAATACCGTTTGGCCGCAGATCGAAGGACTCGAGATCGGAATACTCGTCAACAATGCAGGTGTCATGTATGATCAACCATCTCGGTAAGTTCTATCCATTGTTCTCTTGAGGGAATTTCGAAAATTCGTAAGCATTGCCGAGCGAATGAGAATGCCAACCCTCCGTGAAGGAATTTTACTGACCTCATCGTTTTTCGGAAGATTCTGCAACGTGCCGGTCAAGAAACTGAATGAGCACATTACCATCAACATGCAAGCAGTCATGTTAATGACCTATATGGTTCTACCGCAAATGCTTGCTAGGTGAGATTTTCAGCAGACGGGTGAATAGTTCGGCGAATCCGGGAATCATCGAATCTACGCATGACTCTCATTCCGAAAGATATCCAGATAGAAACGAGCTCTCCTCTGAGAAACCGTCGCTTTGCAGGAAGAGAGGATTGGTCATCAATATGTCCTCGATTGCGGCCTTCTACCCCCTCCCGTTGATGACAGTGTATTCAGCGTCAAAGGTTAGCGCCTCTGTGGATCTTCTCTCACGAAGAATGATATCATAATGAAAATTGTAGAGGATCCATGGGGCCTAAAAGCGTGAACGATAGCAGCGCGAGATTATTTTCGGCTTTCCCCCGGCAGGCATTCGTCGACTGGTTCTCACAGGGTTTAAATGTGGAATACGGCTCTCAAGGCATCGAAGTGCAATCGCTTATTCCATCTTATATATCCACAAATCTCGTGAGATTCTCGAACTTCTTGTCGACGCCATCGTTCATCGTTCCCGATGCTAAACGCTTTGTGAGCTCAGCTCTTGACACCGTCGGATACTCTAAACGGACCACCGGATTCTGGTCTCACGGCCTGCAGGTAAGGTGTCAGATAATTAGCTTCCCGTTCGTGTAACATACGACCGTAAGACGCTCGTCCGAAGCAATCGCCGGAGCCTGAGCTGATTCCCATCGCTTACAGTATTGGTCGATGGAGCACATCCCACAGTGGCTATGGAGCATCAATTCTCAGCTGATGTTCAGAGCAATCGACAACTCTGCTGAAAGGAAGTTCTGAGAAGACATACGCACACCGATGGACCGCAACTCTTCTCGGAATGTAATGACGCCTCAGTCATATATAAGGTGACGCTCTAAGAGCACGTGATTCGAAACTCTTCAATTTATTGGATTCCATGCAGCGGACGCAACGGATGGGAATCCCGAGGTTAATTATATTTATGCATGGCCGGACTAGTGTTTAATCCTCCTATTCTCTCTGAAACTTAGCACTCGATTCTACGCTGCGTATCTCTGTGACAAAATGCGCATCAGAGCTGTGCATCTCGGATTCATACAAATAAAGGTTCAGTCTAAAAAGGTAAAGCGTCTGTTCTTTGGGATACTATCCGATCTCGCGAAAGCATGACTGGTTCCGATCGACACCTACAATATTAGCGGAAATCTAGTGAGATCTCGGATATCGATGATCGCAGATCAAGTTGTGCGCTCCGATAGCGGCAAAGGCGGCAAGAGTAATTCCTGTCGAGTCCGCGAGCGACGTGACCCCCATCGAGAATTCCTTGTATTGAGGTGCCACCTAGGGTAAGAAACGGTTCATTACAGTGGGGACAGGTATGATGAGATTCTCCTCTTACTCGGGCCGATGATTGTGAGAAAGCATTCAAGTGCTCGGCGGTTCACGAGGCAAATCAAGCAACTCACGTCTTGGGAAAGCTTGTAAAATGTGTTGACATAACTCGCTCCTCCGAGCAATCCTTCGTACACGATCAACACGACTACAATCCAGAACGAGGGTATAAAGCTGAAGAATGCTTCGAACGTGAAGAAGACGGCGTTGATGATCTGGAGAATCGGCATTATCCACAGATGCCGTATGTGAACAATATTCACAGATGATCGAGATATGAAAACGCCAACTTGATAGCACGTTTGGTACCAAGTGTACTGGGTATTCGGCGTGTAGATGTTGAACGTTATGATATCGGTCTGCGGAGGATAGGCTAGTGAGCAACGCAAAATGATCTCTCATAGGGCCCCGAATTCAGAGATTCGCACCCACCAGTCCCTGATTGATGAAATATTCTGCGAAGTACACCAATCCGAGCGGGATCATGTACTTCAATAACGGCTGCATCAGTTTGAGTTTTTGCGAAAAAGACAATGTGGGACCAGATTGCGTTGAACTGGGAACGCAGCACACGCTGGAAGATTCGGCGATGTTCTCATGGGACTCGCTGCTGGGCTCCCGAGGATGTTCGAGGATCACCCAAAAACTGGAAGGTTCCAAAATTATTGACCTGGTCACCTCCGTAGTACATTGAATACTCGGGCTCGATGACGTCGGTGTAGTCTATGGAATGAGATCGTTCCGAAATACGATAATCTGAACTTACGAAACAGCCAACAGAATCGGGATCGCTATCATCAACCTGAGAGTGAGCTCATCGCTCAATTTCAATATCATCAACGCGTAGGCTCCTGCGCCAGCGACCCCTGCCATTCCTGTACCGGACGACCATGCTGACACAACATTCCTGCGTGGAACAGAGCGCATAAATTGAGAATTCGAGGCTGTAAATATCCCTCCAGTTCGCCGACTAAGCAACCATCGGCATTGAGTCGTTGGATCGGAGCTCCTACTCGGAAGTCTGCTCCTGACGGATACTCGACTGACGAAACTGACGTTTGGTAGTGAGATGAATACTTCAAGAAGGCGATTTCACCGAGTCCACTCCCAATAGATCCAGCTACAACTCCACTGTAGCCTATCCATTTGACATCCGGGTTCGTTGACGACGTCAAAACGAAACTCGCGACGTCGACGATAACAACCAAGAGAACTTGCAGGCTTGAAGAGACGAATGATAGATGTTAATTCTTTGAAAGCTAAAATGTTATCGGGGACTTGTGGAAGAATTCGAGTCTTGCCAGACAGGCCTCTCGAGCGATATGACGGGTTGGGGAAAGGGAAGGGTGATTCTCTCAAAGACTTATTCGGAAGTAACTCTCCGGTCCCCTTTTTGAGACTTAGGTGAGGGATTCGAGCGATAGACGGTACTTGGTCTCCCTCCCGACCGTTCCGTAGCATCATTCACGACGAGTCGGGAGGAGATGGCAATCAGATTGACTCACTGTATTTTCAAATTGATGAAAGGTCCGATAATCTTGATTATCAACGCTGGAAGAATATTGGCTAGCAGCACATTCTGAAAAGCGATTTTTGAGGTATGCTGATGTACGTCTGCTCAGAACGATAAAGCAGCTCCATACGAAGACATGATATAGGACGGGAGAAGAATTCTTTCTTTCGAAGCTCATCCTTCTAAGAAGTAGCCTAAATCAGCTCGGAGCGGTCCCTCAGCTCAAGAAAATCAAACTCACCCCAGCCGATGAGGGTTTGCACTTGCCGTCCTTCGAGCCTGAGCCTTCCCCCAATATGTGTCCGGCCGCTGATAACATGACAACATATCCGAAGTTGTTACAGAGCCCTAAGAGCCTTGAATCGATTGATTCTTTAAAGATCTGTGAGCTCATCACAAAACTCATGCATAAAGATTACGTTCCAGCGTCGGCGGTGTGCAGATGATGACAGACTCACCAGAAAGCTATCAAATTCCGTCTCTTTTCCCTGGTCGAAGTTTCTGCAACAGAAGAAAGAAATGCTCGTCACCGATAGCTCATCACTCATCAGACTCCGACGATGGCACGGAAGAAACTTGAGATGAAATAACAAGCGAGAGACCTCGACAGTTTCCGGAAGTCAAAATTTCACAGTTCTACTATCGTGGAGAGACCCAGTGCACTGAGGAGAAGCAGTTAGATTGCATGGCGAAGACACCCCAAACTTCGGTACCTCGGATCTCGCCGGATAGGAGTCCTTCCTGCTCCTCCCCCTCCATTGTCGGCCTCCTCCGTCACTGCCGCGTCATTCTCCCCGACTGAACGACATTCCCTGGCTAGTTCGAGTGTACTGGATACAACTACATCGAAGCAGCGTAAGGCTAACACACACGGAATTTAGCGTCTGCTATTTTCGCGTTACGCTGTCTTGCGCGTGCGCTGTAACACGGCCAGCTCCCCGCGAGGGCGAGCTAGACTGCGATATCAAAGAGGGATCGTGCGGACTCCTTTCGCGGGAGCTCCGAGGCCGACTCAATGTGGCATTTTAATCGATGGGCGGCCGTGGAATGTCTCCATCCGAAAAATTCACGGAGAATACGCTCGAGCCCGCTTAGGACCCTCTCGTGTCCTCAAATCACATGACGCCGGAAATCAGGATTCGTATCTAAGAGATCGCCCTCGCTCGAATGTAAGCTTTCATAAAGTTCTTTACCGGCTTGATTGTCGTCGAATTCTCGCATTTCGTCCATCGTTCCATCGTTCGTCATCGTGGCGCAGAGGGTGGGCAGCCGACAGTGAGAAGGAGGAGCACCGAAGAGTTCTAGAAAATAATCCAGGGAAGAAACATGTCCGGTCTCCGCAAGCGCCGATAGTCTCAAGGAGTACAGTAGGTGCAGCTGCTGTAGCGTAGACCACAGGAGTTCTTTGATGACCTTTCTGGTTCTTTACTTTACGCCGAAATGACTTTACGAGGACCGGATTACCCCCTCTCTCTCGAGGCGATTGACTTTTAAGTCCACAGATCCTGCTCTTTCGAGCCCTTCGAGACGCCGGGACGGCTCGATCACGAATAAAGATTTGGAAAAACGAACCTTCTGGGGGCACGACGGCCATGGCTAAAGTTTCAGAAGTCATGGTCAAGGGCGAGTATTCGGCAATCGCCGTCTGAACGCGGTTTTCCTCAACGAGATCAACTTTATAGGCTGGAGGACTCTCTCCGAAGACGAAACTTCTTTGCGATTCAGGGCCATCCGAAGGCAAGCGAATTAACGACCGTGATTCGACATTTCAATTTTCGGAGACTGAAATTGTTCATGGAGTCAATATTCATAACACTTTCTGATCTCGAAGACGCCAGACAACTGAGATACGAATCATATGCTCCAAGCGGTCGGAGTGGAGCGTTTCCGTTCTGTCGGTTCTTACGGACTAGGGTGGACGCCTGAAGACATGTGCGACTATCTAACTCGACTTACAATGATTGAAGAATTTCGGGATCGTTTTCCGGCACCGTCTTCGATTCCAGGCAGCGACAATCCTTATAGTTTTGGGACGCCGTCTACCGATTGTCTTGATCTGTAGGCGTCCAGGTGTCACTACCGTCAAATTCTGTTATAGATTCGTCGTTCGATAAAAGCACTCGATTACCAGGCCATCTGTGTATTCCGTGGAGCGGATTGGATCAGAGGCCATAGAGCGCTATATATTCCGTGTTGGCTTGTCAAGTGGCTCCCTAACCCCGGTAGCCCTGACCAGGACAGTTCCTGAAATATTCCAGACTTCGCCGGCTCAGGTCTCGCTTGTCCCTCGCGCCCTGGGCGCGTGCATGAAGGCAGCGACCCCACGTTTTTTCCCCATTAGAATATATAGTTGTGTCGCCATATCGAGATCCATATCTTATCTCGGAGTTCAGGGCTAAAATTCGTGGATGGTGCCACTCTAGTGGTGCCGTAGAAGCCTCGCCAGATGTCGAAGCAAATTCGGAGGGCTTCAGTGCTCGGATCTGTGAAAGTGTCTGCCTCCTAGCTCCGTGTGCCTGGAATCACGTCACGCCGACAACGGTAGGCCTCTCATGGCGTTCCGAATATATTCAGTATCAAGGGGGCGACAGAAGCTCCAATCGTAAGTGAACGAATGACCGAGGACGAGCAATTTTTCGTTCCAGCAATTCTCCGGCACCCGAGCGCTCTTCAAGGGTTTTCCAATATTCCACGGACAAACGTCCCCGCCGACTTCGGATTTATGACGTTCCAATTATTATTCGTCGCAGATAAAAAAACGATTTCGCGACTCTTCTAATAGAATGCGATCTCGATTCCACGAGGGAGAATTTAGAGAACATGCGTCGTCATCCGACAGAGAGCTCTGTCAACTCGAGGCAAGAGGAGCCGCGAAGTGGTACCGCGGAGAGGTCCCACGAAGTTTCAGGGCACCCCAGCGTCGCTCACTGACGGTCGTCCGAATACGACTTTGGTCATGTTCGATCGAAAATGTATGCATTGTATGAATCAATTTGAGGGCTCTGTCGATACGGATTCCCTCCCGGATGCTCTGAGGGATGCCCTTACCGGACCTCTCCCACAGCTGGACGCCAGGAGGCTCGGGGAAGCTTGGCTTTTGAGAAACCTCCGAGGACCTGCTTCGGAGTTCGGACGTTGGCGAGCGCGCTTCGGCGTAAAATCGAATTCTATCCCTCAGCCTCGATGCCGAGCCATGGTTTCAGGAAGCAATTCCCCTTTCAGAAGGGAGCTGAGGCTTTCACCAGTTCGACGCACTGCAACGGAAGCTTGAAGGGATCACGGGAGCCTCATGGCACCGGGAGATCATCTGTCGAGGTCGAAGCCAAGGAGAAACCTCCGGTGTGAACGAATCACTTGTAGATTGTTCCAAGGAGAGTATCAACGAGAGAAAGAGCTCAGCGCGTTCAGTATCCCGGCTCGGAGTTTCAAAGCTCCAGGAGGCGATCAGTACCTCCGCTGCTTCGTGAACCAGCGAACTAGTCGAAGAGCTTTAAGCTCCCTGCCTGGAGTCCTTGATGAGGCCTGCCTCGCTAAGCTGGCAGCGGAGGAGAGAGTGCTCGATTGAGGCCTGGAAGCTCTCGTTGAGGAAGAGCGATTGAGTCAGGATCTTCCTTTCCCTCTTTCCCTCTTACGAGAGCATCGGAAAGGTACTCGCTGAATATTGTTCGTATGGTGCTCTCGAATGTAACGTTGAGGTCCTTCCCTCGAGCGAAATTTGGCCGGGCTGCATCGGGAAACAAAGGCTCCCGAAGAGAATTCGGAAGCAGAGATGAAGATAGTGATTGGAGAGAAAATCGTTCACTTTTATTTACAGCTCTCATGCTCTATTTTGTAGAAAAGAAGGCTCGGCCTGCTCAGGTCGTCCTTAACACCATAGCCCTGGGCTTGCGAGTCACCTCGGTTTGATTTTCCTCTATGAACAGGACGTTCCGGGAAGCGCGGTCATCTACTCCACTCGGTTTTCTTCGGGAATTTTCGCTTCGTTGGCTGGATCGTCCTTGTTGTCTTTCCATTCCTGGATTTTCTTCAAGATCTCCTGAACTAAGGTCCTCGTTCTCTCTTCAATTTGACCGACCTGTTCCACGGCTTGACACATTTGGAAGAGTTTCGAGTCTCCTTCCATTTTAAGAGCCACATCCTTCCTATACGCGACCAGATTGTACAGGATGCAGAAGCCACTGTAAATGAGATTTGAATGACATCAGAAAATTTACCGCAATCGCTCCCGCACCGAGCAGCCAAGCGCTACTACGCGGATCTACGCGCAGGTGAACATTTCCGATCGTTTTCATCATCAAAGTACTCACCGGTATTGGAGCTCAACGTTTTCGGTAAGGCACGCGGCTCCGATTATGTCCTCCCACGCTCGCACTCCGACGATCTTTGCGCACGCTATTTCACTATTCGAAGTGAGAATTGCTAGAGCACCAGCTGAGGCCATCCTAGTATCCATGTCCTCTTCGCCGAGAATCAAGGTGAACAATTTCACTCTCTCTCCGTGCTCGAACATTCTCTGCGTCTCTTCCAGAACCATAAGATTGAGCAGACATTGCGTAGCTGCTCTGCGGAGCTGCTCGTGATCTTCGAAAACATAGTGTTCAATTGGATTGAGTCCGTCTTTGACGATCCTCTTGCGGACCGAATCGCTCACGGCCGCCAGATTCGTCAGAGCCATCAACGCCTCAAAGTTCTGAAGGCCGGTATTGCTGGCATCGAGCAGATCCATGAGCGGCTTCACGGCATCGTAGGCTCGCTGTCCCGGGAACGCGATTTCGGGGTTGATCGTTATACCGATTCTGGCCAGAGCTTGAGCCGCGATCACCTTCCCTGGAGCGGTGTTATTCTGAGTCAGCTGCAGGAGGCAACGCGCCCCACCCTGCTGCACAACGATTCCGCGGAGTTCCGGAAGTTCACAAATTGCATTGAAAATCCTCGAAATTATCTCTCGAGAATTCTTTGAATCTGTCGTCGACAGAGCCACGAGGGCATGCGTGACTCCGTTCTCCGCCAGGATGCGTGTCCGGTTCTCGACGTGCTCCTTCGCGTCGAGAGGATGCTCTTCAGGGATGTGTTGCTTAGCGAATTTGGCCAATTCGATCATTTCGGGGATAACCTGATACGGAACACGACGGATATAATAAGCGGAGGCTGCTGCGATGCATAGACTATAGCGTGCGGGGATCCATTATGGAACAGATTCGGAGCTAACACCCACCTCTTGTTTTTCGTAACTGTTGGTGAGATTGCACAGGGTAGTGACAACACCGTAAAGCACAGTGCTCTTGAGCTCCTTGGCGAGATTTATCAGAGCCGTGAGCGCAGCTTTGTCGTCGATGAGGTCCTCTTTCACGTCCGCGTCCAGCGTCAAATACGACAAGCCCTCCGCAGCCCATTTGCGTATGTCTTTGTCCTTGCTCGGATTCACCTGAGAACAAGAAGCAGAACGATGCAAAGGTTCATCTCGCGGAGGATCTCGGATATTGCGCGCAGATATAAACGAGCCACCACTCCTCAGGGAGCAAGCTCTCCGAGAGCGAACCGTACCAAGAATTTTCTGCAGGACTGAGCGAATTTCAGCGATGCTCCATCGCTGAAAGGTCTCATGGCCGCGTCGTGGCCGCCGAAACTGCCGAGTTTACACAATCCCACGAGGGCGCGAACACGAATGTTCTCGTTCTGACTCTTGTATAGATTCTTGAGGATGCTCGTACCCGTCGACAGTATTGAAGTGCATTTGTCTTTCTTGGAGGCCGCCGCGATCAGTGCCTCGGCGGCGACTCTCTGTTGAACCTCGTCGTCGGATCCCGCCATGGCTATCATCATCTCCACGACCCCGGATCGGGCTAGAACGCTATTTCCCGCCTCCAGAGGACCCAGGAGCAAGGCCGTTATGGCAGCGGTAGCGCGAATCTGAAAGACGGAGAGACAGCGTCCAGGATGTAACTTCTCGCTCGGAATCAATTTAGAGTGTGAACCTGGGCGTCATTTCAGCGCGGGAGTCGGAGTTCGCGAACCCACCTTCGGCTCCAGGGCGTCGCCTGTAGTCAGCTTCTCGTCAACGAAGCTCATGACCTTGTCGCGGTAGAGATCTTTCGCCGCGTCGTGATCCATGCAATACCAGAGACGATCGAGACAGACTGATACTTTTGGCTTCGTCTCCGATGTGACCTCCATCGATGATTCGTACCGAACTTCGGGTAACTCCGAAGCGACGTCCATCAATCGGTACAGGCCGTCGCTTTGGACCAGTTTCAGACCCCAATCCAGCGCGTGATAATCGGCATTCTTCGTGAGCAGCTCGAGAATCGCGTCACGGCCAATGCCGGAAATCACTCGGGAATTTACGGTCTTCACCAGCGTCAGCATCACCTGGGAGGGAGAGGATTCCATGAAGAAAACGAGTGTTGAGGCTTTGAAGAGGAAGAATTATTCACCGAAGGCAGCAGTTGGGTGGATACAAACCGAGTCGATTTCTTTGCTGAACTTCTTCATTATAGCTTTGTCGCCTTTGCTATTCTCCAATGTCATTCCGGATATGGAGTTCATGATCTGCTGAACCATGAACTGCACGGAAATGATGAAAGCTGGCGTTTTTGAGCAGAAAAAGTCCAGCAGGTAGGGCAAACCTGTGGAGATGGTAATGGATCTCTCATGAGAATAGCCGCAATTCGAAGCGGATTCGACACCGACTCCGAATCGCTAGATCGCCGAAGATCAGCATTCGACGACTCCTTACCCAGAATCTTCACAACCATGAGGCTCTGGTCAGGTCCCCGTTTACAGATTTCTCCGAATATTCTCACACCGGCGTGATTGAATTCCTCGTTCTTGAAACTCTTCATGGCCGAATGCAGAGTTTGAACACCCTGCAGCTTCGTTATGATATCGGCTCCGACTCTCTCTCGGCATATGACAATTAGATTGTTGACAGCTGCCATCTTCTTGTCTAGGGGCTGAGATTGATCTTTTATAACGTTAAGCATGCTTTCAGCTTTGCTCTTCGTGCTAGATTGTTCTTTCGCGATATCCTGGAGTTTGGCGCTGAGTCGTTCCAGGAGTGGCAGGACGGTCTGATTCTTCGGTTCCAAATGCAGGATTTGTCGCGCATCTTTGAACGCAAGATCCGTTTTCCCGAGAGCGTCATATGCCTGCGCTCTTCGGAACAGCGCCTTCACGTTGCTCGGATCCAGCAGGAGGACAGTCGAAGCCTCTTCCCGGGCATCTTCGAACCTTCAAATAAAAAACAAAAACCTGCAGTTAGAGGTCTCGATTGACTGATGGCTCCGAGAATGATGTCAAATATTCTTTGTGGAAATAAGGAGAGACTTCGTACACCAGGAGCTGCATACCTGTCAAGTTTCAAGTACGCCATGGCCTTGTTGTTGTGTAGCACTGCTTTGTTGGGCAAATCGCTCTCAGTAGTGATCTTCAGGGCTTCCATGTACTTCTCCAATGCGGCACAATAATCTTGCTGACGGAACAATTGATTGCCCTCCTCTTTTAGCTCGTCCACACTCATCGTGACCATTTTCTTTCGTCTAGAAGGGAGAAAGTTCTCATGTCAAGTCACCAGATCGATGTTACGAGCTGCGCCCTCGAGGAAGAACACGGACTGATTTCTAGAAACGTACGACGGTCTCCCAGCCTTGTCGAAGAACACCTCGATTCTTCGAATCGATCTCTTTGCGTAGCCCCCAACGATGCCCGCCTGCGATTCCTTGAATCCTCGTCGACCGCGGGTGGCTCAGGACGTCACAAGTACTCCGAGCAAGAACTCTGTGTTCCGAATGACGGGAGCCTCCGAAGCTAACATCGAAATCTCAAACAAGGAAGTGACCGGCACAGGGTTCGCGCTGCTTCTCCCGGCAGAGAGGGAAAGGAGGTGCAGTCTATAAATAGAACTGGATGGGAGGGTTCTGGAGAATGGAAGAAACCTCTGGAAAACTGGCGATCTGTTCGAGCACATGCTCGCTCCCTGTCAGAGCCCATCCCCCGGCTGGATGATCGCTTGGAATCACGCTGGGATCGACCGGAGGCTAAGACCCACATCTTGGAGGGACACAGGGAACCCCGAGTGAGAAGTTCCCGTGGGAGTACCGCGTCGGGATCACGCTCATGTCCAGCCTATGGTCAACCCACCTATCCTCTAGAGTTGTATCGAAGTTCTCGAGGACGAGCGCGCCGAGTTGATGCTCCTAGCTCTCTGTCAGTGACATGCGCTCCGATGAACTCGTGAATCCCATTAAGGAATCGATCGCTGATCCAGAGACATCCTGAAACAGTGTCCGCACCATAAGAGTCGAACGTTCAAACCTCTGCCGCCACAACATCCTATCGTCCCTCGAGAACGTCAAAACACCAGAGTGCCGCACGCTACTGATCGGGAGGTCTTTAGTCAGCTCCGAGGTATGCGCGAGCGCGCTCCGATCCCGAAGCGTTCGAATGGAATGAGCTTGAAATCCGAAAAAGGAATTATCGAGCTCGCCGGAAACCCGAGCTCGGTCTACTGATTGGGAGATTCCCCATCGTTTTCGTGAATGCTCGCGTGAAACCACAAACGCTCGAGACTCAAGAGCCTAGCCGCGGGGACTCGCTGACGGCTCGGATATTCATTCGGTTCTGTGTGTCGTCGAACGGAAGTTCGGTCAAAAAAATGAGATCTCAGATTTCGAATGAAGCACAGGAATTTATTTACATGGAATGAATTCCTCTCTCCTCGTTAGTCCCGCCTCTATAAAATTCATCATCCTCATGGTGCTCCATCATGCTTAACTTCCATTCGATTGAATTGCGGAGAGCTGGGAGGAGCTCAAGCCGATTCCGGTTTGGAGTCACCGGAACTCTCTTTGTTCGTCCAAACTCCTTCCTCGGGCTTTTCCTCCTTGTCATCGGCGCCCGCCTCAGACAGCTTGGCAAACATGTTCTTGTAGAGATGCTTCTCTTTCTCCAGTTGAGCTCTCCGCTTAGCTTTGGCGATTCGGAGTTGGGACTGCGCAGCTTTGTTGTCGGGTTCCAATTCCACACATTTGGTGAAGTCTTCGACGGCATCATCGTACTCCTTGATGGAGAGTTTGGCCTGACCGCGACGGAATATCGCCTTGACGTTCTTACCATCCATGGCGATTATCTCCTCACAGTTGGCAATGCATTTCAGATGCTCATCCATCTTCAGATGAGTCAACGACATGTTGAGCAGCGCCGACAGATGAAGAGCATTCCGCTTGGCAAGCTTCTCTTCGTCAGTCGGAGTTTCGTTCTTCATGAATTCGTGAACCCGCTCGTAGTACTTCAGAGCTTGATTGAAGCGACCTGCCTTGAAATGCTCGGTGCCTCGAGCTTTGTCCTTCTCACCGGTCTCGAGCTTCTCATCCAGATCCATCTCCCAACTCTCTCGGGCTTTCTCGAAATTGTGCAGAGTCACGGTGTACGAGACTTCCTTGAGATCAGCGGGGATTTTCGGACCGGACGCGTACTTGCCCTTCAAGATGATCTCAGCTTTCTCGCCTTTCTTCATTGTCTGAACGGCTATCTCGACTCCTTCGGGGACGTCCTTGAGAACCGCCTCCCCTACAAGGAAGGTCACATCGCGTTCATCGAATACCTGTCCGTTGTGATGCCCTCTGAGGTGCAGCGTGCACTCCGAGAGGTCTTTGGGGTTCGAGTACATTTCCCCCTTGGTGATGATTCTTTTCTGGATGGATTCGTCCTTATCGGGTGATATGTCCTCGAAGGACCAGCGGAGAAGTTCGACTTCGAAGAAGAGAGTCGCGTTCGGCGGAATCTTCGGGGGGGATCCTTTTTCGCCGTATGCGTACTCGGACTTGCAGGTCAGCCGGCACAGTTCGCCTTTTTTCATCGAAGCGACACCGATGTCCCAGGCTTTGATCACCTGCGGAGCAAGCGACACTTCAGCCAACGGCTGCGCGGAAAACCACAAATAATTATCGAATCATGACACTTTGCGGTAAGGAGGTTCGAGCTATGACCTGGCCGACTCCCAACTGGAACTTGAATTCTTCTCCGCGGTCCTTGGAGCTGTCGAAAACTGTTCCATCCTCGAGAGTTCCGTGGTAGTAGACGTACACAGTGGAACCTTCGCAAGGCGACGAGTCGCCTTCTCCCTCTCGGAGAACCTCCTTGAGAACTCCTCCATCCTTTTCCTCAGTCAGGTCGACCGGGGTTGCCATCTCCACTGCTGCAAGGAGGCAAAAAATACCTCAGAGTTTCAGTTTTCCGATGAGGAGCTCGAGACACTCATCTTCCGGGTGTCCTTCACGACTTCGACGTTTTGGGTGGGGAAAATGGATACTCATCCATCAGAAGGCGGAGGGTAGAGCTCTCTTTGAAAACTTATCAATATTCGACAGGGGTGGAGGGATATTCAAGAGTTATTTCGATCGAATGCCTCGATCGAGCTCCGACATCGTGCTCGCTCGAGGGTCCCCTGGGTTCTATGGAGCCTTCTAGCGCTCGGGGACTAGGTTTAGGCAAATATACGACAAAATGTGTAAAGGTCTCGGGAGATTCACGAGCATATACTGATGAGGGCTCCCGGAGCCGGATTCAATTTCAGGGGCTCTCGCGAGTCTGGACGCTGTCGTGCCCACCGTGACTGACAACGCCGGTTCCGGGATTTGACCGGGAACACGCGCGCGAGAGACTCATTTTCCTCTCCGTATCCATTGTACCAGAATGCTTCACCCGATCATCGAGCTCACCTACCTGAGATGATAGTTCGTAGGGAAATACGCGCTGAGGAAAGTCGAGGGACGCACACGAGTCGCGACACTCCGGCAAACTTATCGAGAAATTTCGAGCAACTTTTCAATACCTTCGCCTATTGCTCGCTAGAGGGCGCTGTTGCGAGAATTTTTCGGTTGAAGTCCCCCGTAAAATCGATAAGGAACACTGCATGGGACTCGGAGAAGTCGAGCGTGGTGACTTTCAGAAGCATCTGCACCCTGACGTGAGCGACAGGTCGCCTTGGAATGAGAAAATGTTCCATCCGGAAAATGGCGCGCTTTTCGCGCGGTCAAACTCAAAATTTCAATGATCGTATCGCTCCTGCTTCTGGATCCTGAAATTCGCATGAAGTGAGAACTGCTCCAAAACATTCCGGTAATCGAATGTTCTTCCAGCCCGGGAATCTCGTGAGCCGATCCTGCATCCGGCACTCAATCGCGCGTCTGTGATGGAAACCCTGTCCGGCTGCCGTGCCTAGGGACGTGGATGAACATTCACTATACCACGCAGAGGATTGTCGCCTTACTTTCGTCGGTGTCTGAAACTGGTCCAGGGACTCAGCATGGCCAGGGAAAGGACCGCAGAGGATTTAGAAGCGAAGTTGGAATTGGCGAAACTCTCCCGCAAGGATCTGGCGCCTCTCAGTCAGAGTCTGTTCTTCCACCCTGAAGACAACAGTGATCTCATACTGATTGAGATGGATTCTCATCTTATGGAAGAACTCGGGAAAAACTTGACGATACGTGGTGAAGCCGAGGACGATCTGGTAGTGTGTACCGGTAAGCGCTCGGTACGCTTCTTCGCAGACTGACGTCAGATCGATCCCGATGCACGAATCCAGCCTACTGTTAGAGAAGCTGCGAATCGATGACAGAGGGCTCCGGCAAGGAATCCCTAATTCTTATTGGTTCTTTGCAGAGTCCCGAACATACTCCGTTCGTGAGGCCGAGATTTCGAATTCTTTGCTCGTGGTCCCTCACTTGGAGATCTTGAGTAAAGAAAACCCGGGAAGCGAAGGACTAGAGTCGAAGCGAGTCATCAGAACTTTTCATCATTATTGGGAGCCGAAACAGATGAAGCCGTCGGCAAGGAAACTACACAGGTAAGATCCGGTAGATGCCGAATTCCTCGAGAATAAATTGGTAACTGCTGTACGCGACCCGTCCGATGAGTCAGCGCAATCTTCTCCGTCGAAGTTAGGCTGTGCCGTCGCGTCGGAGACCATATCTCACCGTTTCTCATCGTTTCAGGATCCTCGAGCGCCGCATGTACCGCGGAGAGGTTCTCGATGAGCATGATGAGTCAGAATCCTCGAAGACTTCCTTCGAAGACTTGTTGGATGTTGTGCAATCTTCCCGAGGAGAACTTGAGGCGATGCTGGCATCCATCGGTGCGATCCCCCACCGAGGCAAATACCGTCTACTCGACTTCGAATATAAGTGTCGCGTCTTGGAGTTCATCCTCACGTCAATCGAGAGCAACTCCATGGATCTCGGAAATTTGAACGTCGAAACGATCGTCAGCGAAGTTTCCGACCTAGAGCCCCGATCTATCGTCGAAAGCATACTCAACATGTATCTGAAGCCTGGTGGAGCTTGCCTGGATAAGGATAAAGTGTGCCGAACTCAAGCCGAAGCTCTGTTGCGCAACGGCGAGAGCTTCAAATTGACTGACTTTGTAGAGACTTGGAGACAGAGTTTACCCGAAGGTTTCGATCCGGATCTCAGCTGTCTGTACGGGATCTCGTACACTAGTGATGATTCCAACCCTGCCAGGGCAACGATACATTACTTATCATTTTGGGATCTTCCGGAGCAAGAATCAGCACGGCTGCAAGCTTTACTACGTCTGAAGAACGCCTGGAAACTAGATGAAATCAAGCCTTACATCGAAGATTTGACTTTGCAGAACGTCAACTCCCTGCTCCTGAAATATGCACGAGCTTTCAAAGTTGCCGGACAAACGTTTTATTCAAAAAAATAGACCCTCGAGACTCGTTGAAGCATCTAAATGGCTATTATTTGTAATATACATACTTCAGCGAATCGGAAAGTGCAGTGAGTGAACGCTTCACTGAATAAATTCCGTCGGCGGAGCAATATCAAGTTTCCACGCCTTTCCTCTCTAGAAGACGGCATGTGGAGGGGAACTTGGAATTGAAGCCCCAATGCTGGAGATTCGTGCAGATTCCGAGGTTTCCGGGAGTCGTGGGCTCAGTGGACCTCGCTTTGAATTCGGTCACGAGTCACGCCATGGAGGCAGCGACAACCCGCCTTCATCGTGGAGAAATTTTGAATTCGCGCGCCAATGCCACCCGAACAGCTGTACTGAGCCGCATCTCCGCTCTTCTGTTGTTGTTTCTCCTTGGTGTGAGGGCTCTCCCTGCAGCTGCCAAAAGGCAAAATGTTGATCCGACTTCTCACTTCGAAATTGCCCGAGAATCTGAAGAAAGTACTCTACAAGGCTGACCGGTACCACCGGCTGGGCTGCCTGCACGATGATATGTGGAGAGATTCACCTCTGATTGATGAAGCCGTGCGTCGTCTCCCGAAGAAGGTGAGCTAGCCTCGTGCCCTTTCGCCCTTGATGTGAAGTTCCGAGCGAAAACGTCCTGTCGCCCAGATATCCGGATACCGTCGGGAGTGGAAGCTTCTACGGAGATTAGCGGGAGTTCGCAGAACGTAACTTCTTCCGGGCTGACCCGCGGTGTTCCAATGTTCGGGGCCCGAAAGAATACATGGTATCAAAAGCCTCTAAGAAGTCGCGAAACAGTTCGGGTAACGCACTTTGCTACGATTAACAGCTGAATAATATACTGATAGGTCTCCGGAAGATGGAGCCCTTGAAAGTAGGTTGGTCGGCATCCTTGGGAACAGTAGTTACCTGGTCGAAGCTCGGAATCTCTACAAGTTGACACATTCGGGATCCGGAGGATGGACGGATGGAGGGTCAGGGGATTTTCGGACTAGATTTTTTCCCGACGCGGTTCCCTCATGAGTTTCCATTACAGGTGCAAGACGAGCGGAACTACCGCATCGTGCGAGCCTTCCAATTGAGCTTGACTCATACGCTGCTGCCGGAGAAAGAGTGGACGTCTTACGATGCTGACCATTACTACCTTGAGCCGTACATCAAGGAGGTCGAGGAGGAGATGGAAGAAATCAAACAATGGCTTAAAACTCATTAGAAGCAGTCCTAATAAAGTATATTAAGTTTTAGTCCATCACAGTCGTCTCGAGCTCAATATACGGATCTAGACATGGCTCCAAGATAAGAAAGAGAAGTAAATAGAGTAAGCAGCGGGTATATCTCGCCACGAACGCGCGGTAGAGGAAGTTTCGAAGTTTTTATTCGAGTTCATTGCTTTTCGTAGATCTACAAGGGTCTCCGATCATGAATGAGCTATCGCCACAGTCCAAGTTTGCCTATTGTTCAAACCACCCCATATTCTTTGAGGAGGTTGCTCGCTATAACGACTCGTTGGATTTCACTCGTGCCCTCGTAAATCTCGGTGATTCTAGCGTCCCTGTAATGTCGCTCGGCGGGCATATCTCTTACGTAGCCCATACCGCCCAAAATCTGAATCGCCTGATGAGCGCAAAACGTGGCGGCTTCACTGGCGGCACACTTCGCCATCGCCGCCTCCTTGGTGAACTTCTTGCCCTGGTCCTTGAGAAAGCATGCTTGGTAGGTCAATAAGCGCGCCGACTGCAATTTCATTTCCATGTCCGCGAGTTTGAACTGGATTCCTTGTAGCTTGTGGATAGGCTGGTTGAAGCATTCTCGCTTGCCGGTGTACTCGATGGCGCAATCCAGGGCCGCCTGGGCGATTCCCAAAGCCTGCCCTGCGATACCGATTCGACCACCATCCAAGATGGTCATCGCGATTTTGAACCCTTCGCCATCCTTGCCCAACCGATTCGCTGCCGGAATCTCAACGTCTTCGAAAATCAAGGGTCCGGTCGAGGATCCCCGAATTCCCAACTTATCTTCTTTCTTAGGGCGTGAGAGGCCATTCGTTGGCATGGGAACTAGATACGCGTTGATACCCCTGTGTTTCTTCGCCTTATCGAATGTGGCAAATACGACAGTGGCCTCCGCCTCGAAAGCGTTGGTGATCCAGGCCTTGGTCCCATTCAGGACAACTTTATCTCCACTGACTCTCGCTGTGGTGCTCGCAGCTCCAGCGTCCGAACCGTTTCCGGGCTCCGATAGTGCAAAGCAGCCGATGTGGTCACCCTGACGTGGAGAGAAATTTCGACTTCATCGCAAATGTCCTCATGTGGCATAATCTGACCTCTGAGTACTATCATACTAACCTTTGTGAATGGCGTGACCCATTCCTTCTTCTGCTCCTCTGTTCCGAACTTCAGGATGCCGGCTATGTACAACGAGTTGTTGACACTCATTATGACTCCGGTTGTGGCGCAACCTCGGGAGATCTCTTCCATAGCGATCGCATAGGACAAAGTGTCGAGCTCAGCCCCTCCATATTTCGCTGGTGTCATCATCGACAGCATTCCCAGTTCGCCAAGTTTCTTAATCTGGAGAATTCCATCAAGTCATACGTTTGAATGACATGGAACACGAATGAGGCGTCGTGAAAACCATCGATAGGAGTAGACCTTCTCTTCTTCTCCGAGAATCTGAGCGATTCGAAATTTATTTTCCGGAGCTCACCTGTTCTTTTGGGAATAACTCCTCCTTATCGATTTTACCAGCGATCGGCTTCAGTTCCTTCTCGGCGAAGTCTCTGCATGTGTGCCGAATCATTTCATGTGTTTCTGTTAGACCGTAGAAATGGGTGCCTCTCTGTTGCATAGCCAGAGGCCTGCTCATTGTCAGTACGCGTCTGAGCATCATCTTGAGTGTACGAGCAGCAAGACGATTGAATCAGGAAACTTTTCCGAAATTCCACCTGAGGATCGACAATCGCTCTATAGCTTTAAAGCTCCGATGTATCCTCCTAGAAACAGTAGTATCTTGCCAAGAGTTGCCGAACTTCGACCGGGCGGACTTTGCAATGCATTCCAAGGACCGATGGCGATATTTTTGGTGATGCTTCGGTTCCCTCCAGTGCTCTGCACCGACGACGACAGAATCACCTCAAAGATCACGGACTCCGCCTCTCTCTCCACAGAACTCACGGCGTGATCTTCGCGGATTTGTTTCAGGAAGCGCCAGCTGGAATTTGATTTCCCGACACACACGTCTTATTTCCGACTCGAGAGATGATCACCGGCTTAGAGACGACTCGTTTTGATGAGAGAGCACCATCGTCGCGATATGCCCAGTGAGAGGAGGGAAAGACGATCGTCTGCTGCGGTGAACCTAACTGTAACCATTCGAAATCAAAGCCTCTGCGATGAAATGGAGGGCGGATCTGTTCCATTCCCGATGGAGTACCTCCATTTGTATTTAGCTTCGAGCTCCCTGAAGAATCGAAGAGACCTCCAATATTATCGTGATATGGACGGAGCTCTCTGCTTCAAGAACCGCCGTGTTTGGAAAACAGCTGACTCCCCATTCTCTGCCGGCAGCATCTCTCCGATCAGTTCACCTCTAGCAGGATGTAATTTTTGTCTCGCTTTAAGCATGTCAGACTGTTCGAAGCGGATATGCATATGAGCCCGAATCTACTTGGAGCGTTGCGATTCTCCAACTTACACCTCGTGCGACGTCGAACAAGCTTCCCCTGCGGATATCAGGCAGTCTCCGATGCGTCTCTGAGAAGGAGAGATGGATCACGCAGCTCTATTCCGACGCAGGAAAAGCATGAAACGCGCGGACGAACGATCAAGAGATTTCCATATCCGCCGTCTCGACAGGATGAACTCTGTGAGCTTGCAAGAGGCGAAAATTCTGTTCGCTGATGCGAGAGTCCGCGAGAAACCCGGATCGTACTGACTGAATATCCACGCAGGCGACGTTGGACGGGGGAAGACCCATCGCGAAATTACTGCGAGGGCTCCCGAGAGGCCTCGCCAATTGTCTCTCGGGGATCCACTCTCGCTCGAGTGCTGCGGACGCACTACCCGGAGTCCACATCTCGACCGCTCCTCCCTCGCATGGCCCGACCTCATGATTCGGAACAGGTCTGGGTTGGACTCATGCTGTCTCCCGTTTTTTTGAAGAGGTACTCGGATGCTCGGCGGAATCGGAAATTTCCTTCCCTGAGCCTCCGGAGGCTCTCGTGGCTATCTGTGAATAAGCGTGGCTCCTCTTCTCGGGATTCGCTGCTGTCCGTGTCGCTCGGAGTCATTCGTTGAAAGTCCTCGGGATCGGAAGCGAGAGCCCTATAATATTGCCGAGGTTCTCTACAAGGTCGAACCCATGCTTCCGCTAATCGCATTTTCGATGCCGCTGCGGTCATCTATGAAATCCTTGCCTAGCCGCGCCGATTCCTTCTGACACGCGAGAGACAGGTGCTCGCGCTAGAAGTTCCCAGAAGAAATACTCGAAGCAATCCTTAGTGAATTATTTTTATTAGAGGACTCGCTGCACACTCTTCGGGCCCGTCTCCACGAGGGATCCAAGAACACCTCAGGATTCCGAATCCTCTGCTTTCTTGAGCCTCGCGGTGACTGATCGGACTCTGTGGAGCTGAACTTCGTAGTACTGTAACATCAGCCTCATGTACTGTCTGAAATTTTGTTTGTACTCTATCCTCTCCTTGGACGAGTCCAAATCCTCAATCGACTTCTCACACAGTTTTTCCCGGAGACGATTAATTTCCATGAAGAAATTGAAACACTCGTTCAGTCTTTCCTTCAGATTGTCGATGGAGGGTAGTTCCTCATCATCGAAAATCTCATTTTTCAGGCGGAATCGGAGAATCCTGCGATAGAAAGCGATCGCGGACGTTTCCGATCTTGCCCAATCATTCTCCATCTCGGCTTTAATTTCGGATCGGATTCGGTCCTCATCAGAGAAGCTCTCGATTGACCCTATCTTCTTTTCGAGCCTCTTCTTCAGATAGAGCAAGTTCCTCACTTCGTAATCAACAAATCTGATCTTTTCCTCGTCGTTCGATCCGGACGATGCGCGTGGCTTTTGATTTGCGAGGTACTCGGCGAACTCCTTTGATCGCTTTTTGAGCGCCGCAACTTCTTCGCGAAGATCCTCTTTTCTCCTCTCCAACAAGGCAGCGCCTGAGGGTTGCTCGCCAGACACATCTATCTCGGGGATGGCGCTCGAATCTTCGAACGCCGGCTCTGATTCGTAATCCATGGGGCTTGTCACAACTTATCGGGGCACGGCGATTACGGTCAGGAGTGGACTCTCCTGCTATATTCACACACACACAAAGAACGACAACCTCAGAATGAAAGCTTGGAATAGAGACGAGTCCCGTCAAGCGCACAAATAATATATTGGGCTACATCGAACATTGACATTCCACAATCCTTCGGAGAATGTTCAATCGGAGAGGATCTGCTCTCGCGGGCAATCAGTCAGAAGCTCAGAGCCCGTCTCCTCCGCGTCTGTGTATCCAGCTTCGCGTTCGATGGGCCTTCCATGTGTATATGGCGAGAAGAAGCCCATTAGCTCGACTGATCAGCGTCATCATACTCGGGAACACTATGTACAGGCGCTCATCAGTAAGGTCTAGACCGATTCTTCTTGATCCTCGCTTTCGGCTCCGATTCCATCTGCGGAAGAGAGGGGTTTGAATCGGAAGCGTCAAGGATGATTTTGTTCTTAAAGAAAGGGAACCGACAGGGAAAGGGGCCGATGAGAATCTTTAACTAACCTTTCTGTCTTCATTATGCTCGGCGTCTATCTGCTTCGTCTCCGAAAGCCACCTACAGATTATGCCGTCATCGCCGGACGTCCATACGGTACAGGATCCATCCGTTGCGTGAATAACGGCGGTTTTCACGAGATCCCTGTGTCTGGAAGATTTTTTCTGAGACCCATTCCCCAGGGATGAAACGTGTACCCCGGTAGCGCTCCAAATGTCGACACAGCCGTCATTATTTGATGAGATGAAACCGATATCGGAATCGATGTTGCAAGAACATACGATGTGGTCGACAGAAACCTGCGAGAGAACCTTCGCATTGAAAGTACCATGTTCGATACGTTTCTCATGGTGTTCGGATGCTGGAAGGAGCTTGAGCTTACGTCAATGTTTCCTTTCTGAAGACTTTCCCTGTTGTGCCTCAAGGAAGGTTCGGCTTCCTCGGCTTCCCACAGCTGAAACTCTTCTTCTGTGGTCGTCACCCCTAGACGATCGACTCCCTGAGATGACTGTGGAAGCCATGAAAGGTTGTCCTGAAGGAGGAGCGATCCTTAGAATGATCCGTCAGCCTTGAGATGGATCAGTGGGAGGAGAATACCCAACACAGTTTTTCGATCTCAACGGCGCTGCGACCTCCACGACTTACGACGGCGCATTCAACATTCAAGGTGTATTGGATGGCATCGTCTTCGGATGATTCTTCGAGGTCGAAGACGTTCACGAGACCATCGACTGCCCCCGTCGCGAGGACGAACTTCTTTTCTGGATGAAACCTCACCTCCAGACGGAAGGAAAATTAATGTTAGTAAAGTGAGCACTGATTCGTGCGAGCTTCACGGGATAGAATTCACAGCACCTACTTGAGTGATATCCTTGCTGTGGCTGTCCCAGTATCCGCCCATGAGCTGTTTCGACATCCTGATGTCCCAGAACAGAACGAAAGCATCCTCCTTGACAGCCTCGCTCCCAGCAGCCACCGTACATTCGTCCAAGCTAGCATCGCAGCAGAGCAAAGGTTTCAATTCCTCGTTGGCTTCTGGTCGTGTGGCTGGAATGGAATGGGTGTAGGATCGAGAAAGATAGATCAGAAATGGGGAAACCTATCGGAGATCCGAATCGTCTGAATCCCAGTTCTCGCTCATGGAGTTTCCTATCTATGTATGTATTCAGAAAGCCGACGGCTCTGTCAGTCTCCCCCAGGTCAAAGCTCTCGCCTCGGTGGAGCCTGTTTATGGAGCGAACTCAGCTTCATGTAGTGAACTCACTGCTAGCCAGAGTCAGGGCGGGTTCTTCAGTTCGTTCATCCCACACCCGAATGTATCCGTCGGCCGCGCTTGATATCAAGCAATTCGGATTGACGTACCGAATGCCGGAGGGAGCGTTGTCCTGAAATGTGACCAATGTCCAAGCTTCTTCCTACGGTGCAGAAATCTGTGATCGCAACCGCAGAAGGCCCTGTTCCATCTTAAATTAACTCACCACGCTCAGCTTCTTCACAGTGAACTCTCTCTTCGAAACAAGCGATAGAGCATCGAGAACTTGTAGTTTCAAGGCGACTATTGCGCTTAGACTGTCATGCCTGAAGGAAGGAGGTATGGATGATGAGTGACGTTGCTGAGTCTCTGCTCCGAGTGTCAGATTCGGGAGATTACCATCAATCGTGGCTCCGCAAATGACTCGAGCACGCGCGTATATAGTGAATAGCGCCAGCGTGACCCGACAGGAATTCCTTATCTCGGTCCATCATTGTTGGCAAGTGTCAAATGGTGGGCTCCCTTTGCGATCGATTCCGACTCACCCATTGAAGTCGATCGATCTGACGAAGGAGTCATTCTCGATCACTTTACGGTTCGTCAAGTTCATTCGCTTCAGTTGATCGAACATCCTGCGTGTGGAGCTCGCAATGACGACTTTCTCGGGACGGCGGAGACCTCAATAATCTGTCCTAGAGTAAAGCTTCTTCGGTCGCCTCCATAGTTCCATGTATTCTCGTTCGATCGTTCATCTCTCGCCCGCCAAAACGGGTCGAACACGTGCGCGACTCGACTCTCCGTGTGCGGCCCTTTCCACTCCAGCAAACCCCACACGAAAAACTCTCCCCATGCCCAAAATCTGAGCAGACGAATGCACCGGTTGCAGCGATCGCACAGCTTTCTAGAATCAGGCGGAAGCTCTACCAGAAGTTGCGCCGAAACGGGTGCATGCGGTCTATGGCGCTGAGAACGCTTCTCAAATCCAAAGATTACTTATAGGCGTTGACAATGAATCCGATGATCTTTGCCTGCCTCCCGATCGGGAGTCCACGCGCGCGACATCTCCTGGTGCGCCATGCCATTGGAACTCGGATATTGCGTCGAGAAGAGAGCATCCTTAGATCTTCGCCCCCGGGATCCAGTCACTCCCCCCACCGGTGGCGAACTCGTGCACCGTGTGATTCGAGCACTGGAACAACGGAGGGCGGACGAGCCCGCCGCCGTCCCGGACGCCGCCCGCAACTATTCCTCCTAGAAATACCAATGGCTATTCGCCACAGGAGTCGATCCATACCGTCTCCAGAGATACTAGAAATTAACCTTACGTCACAATAGTCGAGTGAAACGAGGAGTTCCTCAACAGCCTCGGACGTTTCCCCTTTCTTTCAGCAGGCACCAGAAATCTCGCAGATAGCTTCAATCCCCCTTCGAATCCCCGTCGAAAGTAATCCCGCATGAATGGGATTGAAGCGGATTTTGAGAACCCGATGCCTCTGAGCGAGCCTGGGCTGAACCCCGTACTTTTCTCCGAGGTCGTCAGTCGGGATCAGAGATCCGACCCCCAACCTTCCGACGCCCGATGGGTGCTCAGCCGCCCAGCGCACAGGCCGTGAAGAACGCTCTCGTGCAGCTCGAACCCGATAAATAAACTCAGATGTGCCTCGGGACGGAGCCTTGTGAGCATCAGAAACAGCCTCAGAGCACGCTCAGTACTCCGATATCCGAGTCAGGTGAACGATTTACGCATTTGGAAATTGGAAATTTAGTTCCCTTGCAATTCCCTAGACTTTTTTCCATCGATTTCGGAATATTTACAGGTTCCAGAGACTGTCGCAATCGAAAACTTCTACACGATGTCGGGCGGAAATCAAGACACGATGAAACTCGTCATGGAACTCCTGAGGGACATGAGAAAGGTGAGCTCAATACCGTCTCCTTACGATGAAGACCGAGTGTCGATAGATATCGGCTCGTCATCCGTCATGAAACAGTGTGGAAGCCGAAAGCAAACGACTCCCCATTCAGAATGCTAATCGCGGATTCCAGGGGATCAAATCTAACTCGCAGAGGTACCTCGCGTTCCTCGGCCTCCTCTACTGCGGGAAAATTGCGGGCGGCCTTTCTGTCCGTCTATGTGAAGCCTTCAGGGTGCATTTCTTGGCTCGCTTCTGGAAGACCGATTTGAAGATATACGGGAGATGGGCTCTAGTGACTGGCTGCTCCGACGGGATCGGTAGGGAATACGCGCGGGCATTGGCTTCCCGAGGAATCAATATTGTCCTTGTCGCTAGGAGTCAGGAGAAGTTGGAAACTCTGAAGCTAGAACTCGGTAAGCTCCTTCAAACCATTGGATGCCCCTCTAACCCGCAGAGAAGCATCAGAGCCTGACCGAACCCTCTCTACTCCTAGAATATACCCACAATGTCCTAACGAGGGTAGTGGTGGCCGATCTAGCCAGAGGTGCCGAGGTCTTCAGCGAGATCCGGTCCCAGATCGAAGACCTCGAAATCGGAATTCTGGTGAACAACGCTGGTGTCATGTATGACCAACCGTCGCGGTAAGTCTTCTGACTCGCTCTGTTTCTTCCATTCCTCTCGTCTCTCAATTTTCGTCAGCCAACGATGATTGACGTGTTCGGAAGCCCATCAATGCATTTCCGTTCTCAGGTTCTGCGACGTGCCATTGAAGAAGCTCGAGGAGCACATCACGGTCAACATGCAAGCGGTTATGATGCTGACTTTCATGGTCTTGCCACAGATGCTGCGAAGGTGACTAAGCAGACGGCGTAATGTCTCTAATGTAAATCGAACTGCCCATTAGGGATGGATCGTGACCAGCTTCTCTCTCCTTTTTCAGGAAAAAAGGTCTGATCGTCAACATGTCGTCGCTTTCAGCTTTCTATCCGCTGCCATACATGTCTGTGTACTCTGCATCCAAGGTAAACGAGAGCTGCTCTCAAATACGCGAGAGCCGATTCGGAGAGAGGATTAGACACGAGCTCGTCCCAATGTGTATGTGAACCACAAATCTAACGAGGGAAATTGCCACAGGGTTTCGTCGATTTGTTCTCGCAAGCTCTAGCTGTCGAGTATGGATCACAAGGCATCGAGGTGCAAACGTTGACTCCATCCTACGTCTCAACGAACTTGGTGAAATTCTCTGATGTCTTGTCTACGCCTTCCTTCGTCGTTCCCGACGCGAAAACCTTCGTCGATTCGGCGATCAGCACCGTCGGATACACCAGGCGCACTACGGGCTATTGGTCGCATGGCCTCCAGGTGAGCTCGCCAGTACAATCTTAGAGCTTGGTGAGATATTCAGGGCTTTTGGAAATGGGGAAAGCCATAAATGATTTTCCGCAGCACTATTCATTCTCTTTACAGTATTGGGCGATGGAGCACATTCCACAATGGCTCTGGACCATGCAATCCGACACTTTCTTCAAAGCGATAGACAGTTCGGCAGACAAGAAACTCTAGATATAGGGTGTAGGGGATCCCGAATAGAGTCGCTGCGCTCACTGAGTGGGAGCCCTCAGCTTTCGAAAGCCAAAAAATGCTCTCCACCTTCTTCGAGGAACAGAACAGACCCATCATCGAAAACGATTCGACACTGTTCCGATCGACGTCACGAATAAATCAGGGAGAGGAGTTCTCGATTTCAATGGATGAGTCTTTCTGTGAAGTTCGAGTCCCCTAGCATCTTTCCTTTTCTCCGATAAGAGGAAAGAAACATATTGTGGAATGTCGCGGATGTTGAAGGACCACGCGTCTTCGTTGGGGAAAATTTCTCTTCCTTAACTTTCCAGCTGGCTTTCGAAGTAGCCACCGTCCGCGCCATTCAGCACGAATTCGACCCATTTGAAGAGTGAAATTTTTTCTTCAATCAATGTCTCTGGAAAGTCAAATCGTTGGGTCTCGGAGCGCACCAGAGCGATCCTCTCGTCAAGAAACTGGACCGATCCTGTTCGGCCCTCAGCCTGGTGCCCTTGAAGAGAATCGATGTCGCCTGCTTATTTGTCGATGCGAATTCTCCCCCTGCGGACCACCCGGCGGACGAGCGCGTGGAAGCTTCCAAATGATATGTAATCCGAAACTGGCTCTAAAATGCCTCGGTTCCCCCACGGAGTAGTTGGGATCACTTTGGCAATTTCGGCGCGCGCACGACGCGGGGGCTCGACATGGCGCCCTGAGCGGTACTATCAGGATATTTCCGAGCTAATCAAGTTCTTGAAAAAAAGAGGAAGAAAGTGAAAGGGCGGGTAGGCTCCTGCTCCGAGCTGGACGGGCCCCGCCAAAGCTATCGCTTGAGTAAAGGATCCTGAACGAGCGTTTGATGCGTCTGGAAGACGAATTCGAAACGGCGCCGGCAACCCTGATGGAGCACGCCATAGGCGTATATTCTATTTCAAACAGAAGACACAGCAGGCGACACGTGACTGGAGCGTCGACTTGTGTGAGTTGAAAAGGCGTCGGCTGTAATTCGAGCGAACAATACGAAGGGGTATGAGGTCCCTATTCCCTACCCGCCCCGTCCATCTGACAGTTTGTTGTTTCCCTCTGCCCCTCAAATCCGAGCTCCCACGGATTCGGGCTTCCACGATTCCCCTTATGCGGTCGCGCATTGCAGATGACGATCGGTGAAAAGTTCACGGTGAGCGCAGCAGTAATTCCTTCGTAGCTTTCGAGAAGGATTCTTCCGCGGAATCCAATTCTCATGCCTAATGCCGATCGTGGAGCTTCTGTCGGCAACGGAAAGCCAAGTAACAACAGGGAGTCGGCCGTCCGAGGAAAGAGAGCAACTCGTTGACACAGACCGCCGCCCGTCATCTGTTGGACAAGCAGCGTCGAAATCTGTCATTCTGCAACAAGGTTGATTCCCGAATCGACCTGTTCGACTCGTTTGCTGTCAAGAGCACAGAAAAGCCTGCGTTCGCCTGACCTGAATGAGCCCGCCTCTCGACTGAGGTCCCGAGGCATATAACCCAAAGCTTACTTGAGTGGAAGCAATCAATTTCTAATTGACCATTCGCAGGCAAATATTTCAAGCCATGGTCAGTGTCTTTATAGGTACGGGTGGAATATCCTACATGACGCATTTTAGCGAAACAAAGTCGATTAACTGGGGGCAGTCATGAGGCTGCCACTAATGGATTAATCATGTACGTATCGCGTATCCCATGTATCGTAACGCATTTCATACTTTCAAGGGAAAATTAATAGATCCGCTCCGCTTTGCATCAAAAGCACGTGCCCTGCAACCTATGCAGGTATGCGGGAGGAATCGTTTGGCCAGGGACTCCAGTACACATGGGCGCGTTCCCCACAGAACCCCGGAAAGTCGGAAATCGACACGCTCCGACTCAAAAGGAGGAGCGGTGTGGGAATTCTTCGTCATATAACCTAGGTTCAGCATCAGATCCAGACTGAGATCAGATCTGATTTGATCCAAATGTAATTTGAGGTGATCCGACGTTTTCTGTCCCTTGGAAGAGCCTTCCTTAAATCCGGAGTTCAATGCGGCCAAATGTCCGAAGGATGAAGTGAGCACAAGAGGAACCGAGCGGATTTTTCAGCAAAGATCATCGACATCATTGTCTCCTTTCTCTTTTTGTGCTGTCGACAAGCTTCATCCTTGTGGAGAATTTTATCTCGCGATCTTCCTCCATACATGCACTCAAAAACTCAAGGTCGTACAATCGCTCGAGTGATACCGGACGAAAAACGCTGTTCCATCGTACGGGCTGGATTTGACGCTTGCGCAAAACCATCCGTCCCGGCTTCCGTAATGCTCCGTCGTTTTTTTCACCTTGCACTCCCGTTCCACAACTATTGAGCCGCTCCGCGGAAGATCTCGCTGGATGTGAGCGATCTCTCCTCTGCTCGGAGAGTTCAAGACTTGTTCATACACTCATAAGCCAGGCAAGAGCCTGAATCTTTGGGCTCTCGTCCTCCGACTCATTCTCGCGCGCGGCCGCTAATTTAGCGGACAGCATACAACATTGAGTGTTTACATCCGCGGCGGCCGCCGTGGAGGTTAGTCTCGTTCATATTCTCCTTCTAGAGCTCGTCTCTGGGAGTTGTGGGAGACGTTCGTCAGGAGCGCTCCGAAAATAGCTCATCAAGGAGTCCCTTCGATTTGTTGAGACCTGAGAGCAATGGGGCGCGACAGCGAGCGTGACGAACGACGAAGGTATATCCATCGTACTGAGTTTTCCCGAACAAGTTGGCTCCAAAAGTAGGTTCCTTCCAGATTTCAATTTCTCCCTCTGCTTCCAGAGACCATCGCCACCGGAATCACTCGCGAGATAGGTCTCGTAATAGACGTCGATCGCGATCCAGATCTCCTGGATACAGCCGAACAGGCGGCCACACCCGGGATAGGAGTCGGGAGAGAATTCGTGAAGATCACAGGTAAGTTCTCGGGTTTCTGGAAACTCCTTTCCCGTTCACGAGAGCTTTTCAATTTTATCGGTTCTCACTCATCCTTGGTTTGCCGTAGGAGGGAAAGCCGGCACGAGCGCGTTGATCGCGACCGACGACGGGACAGAAACCGGAAAAGGAACCCGTCGCCTAAAAAGAACAAGTTCCTCGAGAGAGCTCAGAAATTAGGTGAGTGAGCCGGCCATGCACGACTTCTGAAATCCTCAGCGACCCAATGATCATCAAACGGAGCTTCGAAGAGCGAGCTGGAATCCGCTAATGGATCTCAATTTTCTTCTAGGCATTCCGACCGGGATTCCAGTCGCAGATGCGCCCACAACATCAGAGCTGCCCAATCTGAATCCTGTCAGCACATCAAGGATCGTCGATCAAATAAAGCAGAGGAAATTGCTTTGGGCGAAACCTTCAGAGACCTCAGAGGATACCGGGGCCCCAGCTGTGGATTGTAGCAAAAGCTCGCCCGAGCAGTCGCGTCCGGGATCCGTTCAGCACTGGGCGAAAGCTACATTTAGAGGTGAGGCTTCTGGGTCAGCAGGAATCCTTGGGTTCCCTCGGGTTTTGTTTCTCCGGAGAGAGGGAAATTTTGCTGCCAATCGAGCAATTACTTTAACCAGTTTGTTATTGTTGTCTTGGCGACTGGGCAGATATTCGAGCCGTCGAAGGGCCTGACTGAACGAAGATCTCATCTGTGGTAAGTAAGACATTCCCGCTGGCGCAGCTCACCACCGAAGCGCTCAGTCGATAACGAGGATCCGAGGATTAAGGTGACACAGCCTTCATTTGCGAACGGGCGAATCCAGCGGTCGGGATGAAAATCATTGTGGAGAGGGTGGTCGTCGGTTTTCCGCTTGACTGACCGTGGGCTTTATTGATTTTAGGTGATGATGGCTCCGTATCGGCGAAATTCAGGAAACTGATGGGCATGAAGGAGACGGATGTCAGCGTCAAGCCAGCGGAGGGGGAGGACGTCCTCGCCGCACAGGACAAGCTTTTCCGGACTCTCGATCAAGAATACCAAAAGGCCCGACAGAGCACCCACACTCAGCGAGGAATGGGCTTGGGATGGGGCCACTGAACGCGTACACGCAATACCATCCGGCTGTACAATGAGTCACGAAACCCACCACGAGCTTTGTTGTAAATAGAGAGGATCGCGATCGATCGATCAATCGATATATAATAAATGATAAAACAAGCACAGCATTCCCCCTTACCTCCTCCTCCACGATCCATATCGTCAAGAATACGGAATGCGAGTCCGAGACGGGTCCCGTTCGAATGCTTCGAGTCCGGAGAATCCGATGCGATCGACAGGGTGCTGAACCGTGCTGAGGATTCGGGTCGAGTCTGCGGTCAATGCAATGAGGAGTCGCGAATCAGAAAACGCCTCGGGAATGACGGCGGCGGCAGCGAGTAATCGCTTTGCGCAGTCAAACTTCTGTATCTCTGTCCAGCCCCGACTTGATTGACCAATGCAGCTCCTCCATGATGCCTTTCGGTACACTTCGGATGCAAGAACTGTGTAGAATGTGTTCGAGAATCGGAACGAGATTGGTTTCCGTAATCATTTCCCCTCCACTCGCAATGCGGATGCTCTTCGTGCTCTTGTCGTAAACTTCGTTTACGTGCGTCCTTTCCGTTCAGAGCAGATCCTCTGAAACCGATTCGAAACGATCTAAATTCTAGATCTTCCATGATCATAGACCATGGGCTCTAGTTCTGTCACATGATGAGGCGGACCTTCTGCTCGTAAAGTTCGTATACTCGAAACATATGGTGTTTCTTCCCCTAAGATGATCAAGCTCAGAAACCGAAACTGAAGATCCGATCAACACTCGGAAATCAAGACAGAATGAGTCATGGGAAATCGTATTTACTGCTCGCAGGAGGGTGAAGAAGTATATATAAACAATTTTGAACATATGCGACGCTCAAGGTCGGGATACCACGATCGATTCGAGACTCCTCAGTTTTTGTTCTAGCTGTTTGCAGTCTGAATCCAATTTGAAAGCTGCCTGTTCAAGATTGCTGACGTCCTCCTCGATATCGTCGAGTTGAGTGAGGATAGGAGCTAAATCCTTATACTGATCTTCGGGGGCCTCAAGGGCGCCTCCAATCACCTGCAACGGAATGTTTGGAATGAGCCTCTTGCGGGGTGGGGGGTATTGGGCGACACATCATATGACTATCATTCTTGCTTCCTACCTGCGTCGTTTTCTTCAGATCTTCATACTTGTGCAAAACGGCCTTATGCATCGCTTTTAGTTGTTGGAAATCGTCGACAACTGCGTTCACTTCCGTTCGCAGAAAGTCTGCAGTCGAGCTGAACATTTTATCCGCTGCTTGCTCCATCCTTCTGAAAAGGTGCCGGAGAATTCAAGCTAGATCCTCTCTGACTCAATGTTGCCACCGCACTGAGCTATATGAAGCCGCGAGCCGTCGTCCGACTGGAAGAAATATCGAATGAGACAGTGAGATTCGCATCCTCAGTCACAGATTCATCTCTCCGGGCTGTCTCCTCTCCCACTCAACGATATTGGTTATTGTACATGTCGTGTAGTTTACGGAAATGGTGGTGACATTAGACACCGTAGGGCTCGAGTCCGGAAGTCGGACAGAGCTCATCCAAACAGGCAGCAGGCCATCGGAAGAAAACGTATGAGAGACGATTTTTTGTGGGTCACTCCTAGGACTAGAAGAAACCTCGAAATGGCAGAAACAGCGATCCTCGACGAAAGGCTGAAGACTGAGGTGAAGGCGAATCTGAACCGATTGATTCCCGTCTTCCGTCATAACGAAGAAGCAAACGAGTACTTTGACAACTGGATTGACCGATGGGGGAAAGTCATCGAAAGGGACGGCGTCCACCTAACGGAGGCTGAAAAACCAGCCATCATTATCGACAAATTGGGCGATAATGAACATTCCCAGTTCCGAACGTATATGCTGCCCACCGATATCTACGAGGTCCCGTTGAAACAAACCCAACAGGTCCTGCGATTCTTGTTCAAGCCCACAGTATCGCTCTTCTCGCGTCGTATAGATTTCTTCCAGACGCGAAGAGAGGGCAGGACCCTCACGGATCAGTTGGGCGTCGTGAATACTAGATTCGAGAGGGCCGAAATGGACGAAAATACTTTCACGACGGAACACCTGAAGTGTTTCATTTTCATCTCTGCTCTGAATGACCAAGGGGACGCGGCGTTAAGACAGCGAGCGATCGGGAAAATGGACGAACAGCCAGACACGCATCTAAGAAGTCTCGGAAAGTTATGGCTGAAATCCAGAAAGGTGGATTCCGTATCCGGATGGAGAAATGTTCCTTCCTACAAAAGCAGATCAAGTATCTCGGGTTCATAATTGATGAAGACGGCAGGAGGCCCGATTGACCAATGCAGCTCCTCCATGATGCCTTTCGGTACACTTCGGATGCAAGAGCTGTGCAGAATGTGTTCGAGAATCGGAACGAGATTGGTTTCCGTAATCATTTTCCTTCCCCTCGGAGCGCGAATGCTCTTCGTGCTCTTGTCGTGAACTTCGTTTACGTGCGTCCTTTTTGTTCAAAGCAGAACCTTTGAAACAGATTCGAAACGATCTAGATTCTAGATCCTCCATGATCATAGACCATGGGCTCTAGTTCTGTCACATGATGAGGCGGACCTTCTGCTCGTTGAGTTCGTATACACGAAACACATGGTGTTTCTCCCCCTATGGTGATCAAGCTCAGAAACCAAAACTGAAGATCCGATCAACACTCGGAAATCACGACAGAATGAGTCATGGGAAATCGTATTTACTGCTCGCAGGAGGGTGAAGAAGTATATATAAACACTTTTGAACATATACGACGCTTAAGGTCGACATATCACGATCGATCACTTTGTCTCGAGACTCTTCAGTTTCTGTTCTAGCTGTTTGCAGAATGAATCCAATTTGAAAGCTGCCTGCTCAAGATTGTTGACGTTCTCCTCGATATCGTCGAGTTGAGCGAGGATAGGGGCTAAATCCTTATATTGATCTTCGAGGGCCTCAAGGGCGCCTCCAATCACCTGCAACAAAATGTTTGGAATGAGCCTCCTGCGGGGTGGGGGTTAGTGGGCGACACATCATATGACTGGCTCCCTACCTGCGTCGTTTTCGTCAGATCTTTATACTTGTGCAAAGCGGCCTTATTCATCGCTTGTAGCAGTTGGAAATCGTCGACAGCTGCGTTCAACTCCGTTCGCAGAAAGTCTGCAGTCGAGCTGAACATTTTATCCGCTGCTTGCTCCATCTTTCTGAAATGGTGCCGGAGAATTCAAGCTAGATCTTCTCTGACTCAATGTCGCCACCGCACTGAGCTATATGAAGCCGCGAGCCGTCGTCCGACCGGAAGAAATATCGAATAAGCCAGTGAGATTCGAATCCTCAGTCACAGATTCATCTCTCCGACCTGAATCCTCTCTCACTCAACGGTAATTGTACATCACCGATAAGTGATTGGGCATTTCGGACTCTCAGAATATAGCCCGTCATACGATCGTCCTAAGTTCCAAAATCATTTGGGTCCAGAGGCGCGCTTGGCTGCGGAGAGTCGATCCCTTATCTGGAGACGATCGTGCTCGGAATCTTTGTCGTCCTAACTCTCTGATCATCGTGCCAGAGCTTGATATCCCGACGAGAACCAACACAGCGATTGATAAAGAAATCTCACCGTAATTAGGAGCGCCCGCTCGCCGACTCCGTCAGATGGAGGAGAGATTATCGAACGCTCGAGTGACAGGCCTCTCCTGCCTGCGGGCAGCCGCAATAACAAATACGAAGGCGATCCATATTGTGTGTTGTTCCGAGTTCCGAGCAAAAGCTTAGCAGACGTCAAGCGGACGAGGGCGGTTCGCTGCTCTCGGGTAAAAAGTTGAATAATCGATTAAGAAGGCATCTCTGGAAGGGTAACGAGAGCCAAGAGCATAAATTCTTCATGACGGCGGACTGAAAATTCCATTCCCCCATTCAAGCACCGTGGTTTCTGTCGGAGAAACATTTCCTTTCATTGAGGAGGGGTTCCGCGGTCTAACAATATTTTCGAAACACCACCTCGTGCTACTCTCCATTTTTTCGCGGCGGCCCATTCCAGGCAGCATACGCACCACCCAAGCGTAAGTCCCTTTCGGCTCGCTTCTCGCGCGACTTATCTTCGGTTTCTGCGCTACTGGCTCCTAATCTAAAACCAAGGATCTCCGGTATGAATCCCCTGATTCACCTCTTCGAATTCCTCGTGTCTTGGATCTCAATCAAAGCTCGAAACTTGCTAAGTAACCCTAACCACCACGCCGCGTGCGCGAGAGAAAGCGGAGTCGCGTTCCTCGTCTGCATTTTTCCCCCGAGTAATGGGCCGTCGAGGTACTCCATACCGGAGCGGTTTTCGGTGGGAAACTCCGGAGCTTTCATCGCTCGCCGACTGGGAATATCCACGATCACTCCATGCGAGTTGGAGAATCGCGTTTTCCCTTATTCGGCTTGAGCCTTCGACCGTAGTGCGGCCCCCTTATTCAAATCGAGCATCCGAAAGCCCAGCTTGACATCGCTAATTCGGATGCTCATTCGGGAGCATTGCTCTCGAGGAGTTAGGTGAAGCACCGATGAGGAGCACTTCGCTCCGAACGGAGCGTCCTCGCCTCCGCCCGACTGCAAAGCGTGCGCACTCGCATCTCCGGTGCGGACATTTTTAATCGCATGCTCTGACTTGCTCGGGCGGCCTGACCGAGAATCTCGAGAAATTCGGATTTGGGAAGTGGAGAAAGTCCCGCGCGAACGCATGCCAATCTTACCGCGTGTACTTCCTTACCGGGTACCTGTGATCGGAGAATCTCATTTCCACAAGGGGATTCCGATCGGTAACAAACATTTGAATGCTGTTTTTTTTTTTCAGAAAATGAACCAAGAGAAGCTCAAAAAGCTCGCCGACACTGTCCGGATTGGAGGCAAGGTGAGTACAGTCTTTCGACGAGCCGAATATGCAGGAGTATCCAAACTATCGAGATTTGACAAAACTCATGAAGAACTTGCCTATACTGAAGCTCATTTTCCCTCCCCAGGGTGCCGTCCGACGTAAGAAGAAGGTTGTGCACCGCACAGCGAACACCGACGAGAAGAAGCTGCAGAGTTCTCTCAAGAAACTCACAGTTAGCAATATCCCCGGAATCGAGGAGGTGAATATGATCAAAGAAGACGGAACGGTCATCCACTTCAACAATCCGAAAGTGCAAGGCTCACTGCCTCACAACACGTTCGCGATCTCTGGACACGCTGATCATCGCCGCATCACGGAAATGTTGCCGGGCATTCTGTCGCAACTGGGACCCGAATCTCTGACACATTTGAAGGAGCTGGCGACGGCGCAAGCCGGTGGTGACAATAAGGATGGTAGCAACGAGGCTGAAGACGATGTGCCCGACCTTGTCGACAACTTCGACGAGCCCTCGAAAACGGAGGCTGTTACCGCTGTTACGGCCTAGGTACCGCGATTCAAACCAACTGGAATCGTGCACCCGCAAGGGGGTGCGGGGTGGCGACCGGGGTAACACGGTTTGTATTGTAAAGCACCACCTCCAGTAGACGGTTCAGAACAACGTCGGTTTACAATGATCAACAATTTCGTCCGCGGCTCCCCGTTACAATAAAACATCTATTTGTTACCGTGAATTGTCAAGGCTATCATACTTTCGGTGTCCGTTCGGGAATCGTTCTTCGTTACACGACGAATATAGGTTCGTCGTATGATTCAAGTCCGAATCCGCATTGGCTCTCCTTTCTCTCTTCTGAGCCGGTCAGCTCCCTCACTCGGCTCGGGGAGCGTGAGCTTTCAGTACGTCGGTATTAATCGCGATTGCTCCTGGAGATCGGAGATGCTTCGTCAGTGACTCTAGCGAAGAGCCTCTCCGGGTTTATAATTTGAAGCCTCTGATAAGCTCCCGGTCCAATCTGCGATTGAGAGAACTGATCTGCAACACTGTAGCGCCCGATACCATGCCTTCATCGAGTAGGCTGCTGCATCTTCGATATCGGAACTCGTTCCCGCGTCGGTGATCTTCTCTACTTTGGGTGTTCTAATCGAGCCTGACGAATGAGGAGATCTCGCATTCCGAGATTGGGGGCGATCGAGGTTTATTCACATTGACTGGCAGCTCAAATGGAATCTGTGAAGACGAGGATGGGGACGTCGATAGAGTGACGGACGACGAGGGAATTCTCAGTCTTACCCTAGACATTCTCGATTGTGCCTGAGGATATCGAAGGTTGCATCGCTACCTATCGCTTTCTGACAGTTTTTACAGAAATATCCTTCATTCAACTCCGAAGCTTCCTCCGCTGTGATCTTTTGGGAGCTCTTGTCGTCGAGGACACAGAATTCCAGGTGCGCCGCACATGAAACAAATGTGCCGTGAGTCTCATCGCAGATCGGACAAGAGAATTTCGGAATCGAAGAGCTTGCTGAAGATTTTCCGACATCCGAGTCATCGAGAGATTCCAGGCTGGAAGGAGGGTCCCCACGTCACAGTCATTCCTCTCGACAGATGAAACTCTGACTCATTGAATCTGCATTGCATTGTTCGTCACCGATGAGCTCACCTCCCGAATCGGAGAAACCCACAAATGCTGAGCGGATCGTTCACGAAGAGCGTTTTCAGGTCAGCTGGCAGCAACCTTTTCTGTGTATAACACAGATCTTTGAAATTGAGCAGAACCTCGCCCACATACTTCAGCAAACGACGTGACAACCGCCGTGTTTCACTCGATACACCTGAGGGTTGAATAGATTCCATCATTCTTTCTACATGTTGTAGGTGGGCGGGGGAACAAGCCGAAAAAATATCTCGTTCGAAAGTCACACCTCCTTCTCCTTCAGCCGCTTCTTGAGAGCTCTCCTGCAGCATCCTCTGGAACACCCTCTGGAACATGAGGCGCGCCAGTAGAACTCGGAGGAGCAGACCATGGCGCTGACAAGTCTCGGGAGATTCGAAGATTCGAACTTCCACCATGGAGTCGAAAGCCATCCTCTTCAGACAGGAGGAAACGTGTATCTCTCCTAGAATAGAAAAACTTTCAGACGACGCTCCTGGTGGCTGAGGAATGAAATTCGAGCTTGCGAGCGGCTCAAAATCTTACCCGCCAGGAGCAGAATGTACTGGAGAGTAGGCAGTCTGACGCAATTTACGAGATAGGGTTTTGTTGTCTCGAGGAGGGACATATACGCCAGCATCTGATGCTTCGACGACACACTCAAGCCTCCCTCGATAGCCTCGATGTCCAGGTCATCGAGTCGGAGGACGTCAGGATTCAGAGCGAGCACCGAGTTCGGATGCAGGGTGACGAAACCTATTCGAGGAGTTCACGATTATAAATGCTCATCATTGCTTTTCCAATGTTCGGATTTCTCCTTGCAGAATTGCAGGAGGGCTCCCGAGAGGCTCCTTGGCTCGACACCGAGCTAAAATTGGTTTACCTTTGGCGTCGGTATGGAATAATTGATCGGCGTCTTTCTTGTAGCTGTTATGGGTATCGCTCAGAGCAATTTGAGGATACAGTCCAGCCGTCAAGATCCACAGCAGCGTAGCCCTCTCCGAGGTACTGAGCTCGGAGCTCTTCCGGAGCAACCGTCGCATCGTCTTGGCTGGAACATCAAGCTGGGCTCTAAGGCTCGTGCCCGCTCGATGAGAGACGACAGCACCGCTCATTACGCGAATTCGGGGAAAAAACAGCGAGGTCCTTCAGAGGGAACATTACCATCTTGTGCGAGTCTGAAGTCGATATCTTTCACGTCCAAGGCATCGTCGTCTTCATCGTCAACGTTTGATTCCTCATTGAGCTTCCTTTTCCGACTCTTCCTCTCGTGCACCACAGCTTCCTTGCGGAGATCTCTCAGATGGTGAACTTCCCCATGCCGTCTGGCCCTCTCCGAGGAAGACATAGACGCCTCGGGAATATCGTAAAGCTTCGCTTCCTACAAGATTTCAACACAGTTAGGGGAACGAATCAGTCAGCTCACTCCTGAAGGGAGTCTCTGAGAGGAAAACGAGATTTTCAGATTTACCTTCAGGATCCGTAAAAACTGTCCCCTTAGTTTTGTCAATTCGTAGAGTCTCTGCTCCTCAACGCCCCTCCTCCGGCACCATCTTTGAGAAGACTCTCTGTCGTCGAGTTTTACTTGCAGCCATTCGTGGTAGACTCGCACGATCATAAAAGGATCACCACGATCATCTTCGAGATCTCTGAAGGATGGAACAGCCTACCTTAGCTCTAGCCAGCCTGCGACAACCTCCCGGAGTCATCCAATCCGCGCCGCCTCCGTAGTGTTCGAGATGGGAGAAGCTTTGCAGGTACACCGGGGCCATATCGGAAGGGGAATTCTTACTTTCTTCGCCGTATTGTTTCGAAGTCACGGAAACTTTGCTGGGAGAGGGCGCTCGGTATACTGAGAGCAGCTGCCAGAGTTAGCGAAGCTTCGAGGAGCTCTCGGAACATGCAGCCGAGGAGCAAAACCTACGGTAATCGAATTTCATCGTAAGATGGATGCACTCAGTGATTCGGCAGAAGTGCGGAGACCGAACACACCCGCTCGAAATCGGAACTCACTTTTCCGACGCTGAGATCTACGGGTAGTTGGGCGAGGATTTTCCCCATGGCCGTGAGTTTTTCGTCTGATGCTAGAGCTCCCTGTCTGACAAGCGTACATATGGAATGCTCCAGACTTTCCATATCCGGTTTTTCTAAGAAGGGGAACTGTCTGTAAAGCGGAAGAAAACGTGTCATCTCGGAATTCTGCGGAGCTACCATAGCAAATAGCGGAAATCGGGAGCGAAACCGAGAAGAACAAGTACCGGACATCGGCCAGGCCTAATTGCACGAGCTGGAGCACAAGAGAGTGCAGCGGCACACGACGAACCTCGGGCTCGCTATAGTCGTCCATCTCTTCGAATTGTTTTTCACTGTACAGTCGGAAACATTTGCCCGGACCCGTTCTCCCTGCCCGACCTTTCCTTTGTTGCGCCGAGGCTTTCGAGCACCAGAACTCCTGAAAGCCGGTGAGGGTCACGGATTCTATGGCAGACGATTCTATTAAACCGAAACATTTCGTATTGATTGGATCGAGACGTGACGCACCTTGAGCTTATGCATTCGGCACGAAGCGTCATAGGTCATTTCCTTCACTTTCCCGGAGTCTACGACGAAGCGTATACCGTCTATGGTCACGGAAGTTTCCGCAATGTTGGTGGAGAGTATGCATTTGCGCATTCCTGGGAAATCGAGCGAGTTATGAGAGTCGTCAGTGCCGGCTTCTCCCGCTTGGACAAGAGACGATCTGGAAGAGTCGAACTCCGAGCGAAACGAATAAGACAATCGCCCCAGACTGGCGAGGGGTATCGAACTCACCATCTGGCGCGGCGAGGAAACTTTATCTTGCTGTTTTATTGGTAATGCGGAATGCAGGGGCAGGAGTATCCAACCTTCACGCCCCTCTAATTCTTCTTGGAGACATGAAATCTCTTGTGCGCCGCTGAGGAATATCAGAACGTCTCCCCTCTCTCCTTTCGCCACAGTCTGCTCGATTAAACTCAGAACCTGCGAGAGAGGGAGCCGTCGTTTCGAACTCAGATCTACCAAGAGCTCTAGCCGACTTTCCGGGATTATTGGATTCCGTAGCACTCTGATTCCGTGGACGGGTGGACAGGAAACAGCTTGTCTTACCTTGACGAAGGGTCCTGGATCGATTTTAGACTTTTTCCTGGAGAGTCCCGAGTCCTTGTCACGATCCGGAGCAATGTAATTAACCTCCACAGGAAAGAGACGCCCTGGAACCTGTATCAGGAAATATGTACTGTTTCGTGATCATTGGGAAAATGCATTCGGGACGAGATTATGAGAATCGATGTCAGGAATCGGAGGAGATGCGAAGCGATCAACGGTCAGGTTTGCTTGACGCTTCCCCGTGTCCCGTGAATTGTAGGCTCGGAGAATCCGAACGAGCGGGAATCTTTCACTGGCTACTACTCCGTCAGAGAGGCTCCCCGAGCTCGTCTTCTTCCGACGGAAGGTCTCGCAGTCAGAGTCGGGGAATAACCTTTGCGGGAGTCGGGGAATAACCATGGCGGGAGTCGGGGACAGTGACTCTGTACTTGGCCCCAGTCAGTAAAGAATCGAACGAATCCAATTCAGAGAGACAGAGTGATCAGCAACGTCTAATCAAATAATCAGGCAATATCCTTCACCATTCGAGGAGGAGGCTGTCATCGATATTTATTCGGCGTCATTCAAGGGATTCTCATCTATCAGCATTCGTTCTGAGGGGGTTGGCTCACGATAATTCGTTAACTTTCCTTCGTTCCCATGAGAGTCGAAACCGCGTGCCCTTCCCTCACCAACCCCACCGTCCGTGGACTCGAAGTAACTCGAGGAGTAGCTCGACTGCTGGTCTTGCTGTTCCCAATCGAACGGGTCGTCGAACCGAACCTTGTTGTTCAAAATGCACCGACACAGGGCTTTTCTGACGTTTTCGTAATTTGGCTTCGTATGATAGTTCAACTGTTCTAGATAATTGTAGATGCTTTCGAGCTCCGGGAATTTCCCACCGAGTAAGCAGTTCGCCGTATATTGCTTCTTTAAGGCTGCCACGCGGCTTTTGTCCTTTAGGCGTTTCCACGGGAGGCTACCAAATAAGAACTCGACCGCCATGTAAAACAGAGAGATGAGATCGTCGTGCCGGCCAAGCTCTTTCTCTCGATGTGCGTTTAGGGATGCGTAGCGAACCGTGCCTCGAAACCCGACGCTGCTCCGTGGGCTCCGTAGTCTGCCTTGACTATCGATGAAGTGTCTCGCGAGACCGAAATCCAAGATGAAAACTTTTCTCGATGTAGCGCTCGAGGCGCCAATTGCGAAGTTTGAAGGTTTGACATCTCTGTGCAGGAAACCCTCCGCATGAACGGCCTCGATGCAATGTAAGGCTTCGTAGACTAGTCGTAGAGATGTGGATACGGAAAACTTCTGAGCTGGCTGGGCCCGCCGCAGCTCCGAGAGATTCTTCCCTTGCATTTGCATCACCAAATAATTAATGTTATCTGTACGTCCGCAGCCGAGATAGCTGCATGAGTAGGGAGAACCGTGGAGTCGTTTCAGAACAACCACTTCCATTCGGAGAACGGGCTTCGAAGCGTTTCGCGGCTCAACTTTGACGGCTACGAACTCCCGGTTGACTTCGTCGAAGGCTTCGTAGATTTGTCCGAATCCACCACCTCCGATTCGACCATTTATCGTCCATCGTCCTCTGAGGGTCTCTCCATTTTCTAGGAGACTAATTTCTGAGCTTGGATCCATTGGCGGCCAGGTTTGGAATGATCAGAATCGGGGAATGAAATCGTTGTTCTCCAAAAATATCCAATATTTACTTTGACTCATCGTCGGAGCTCCATGTGTGAGAACTGCACCGTGTTTCGCGCTCTACGCTTGACAGGATCCCGGACCGATGGATGCTCAACACGGCACTAATAAATCGACATCGACACGGGCAACCACGTTTTCTCCTCGCCTCTCGCAGATAGGAAGAAGAAGCCCCTATTCCGAGACTCAAGTTCATGAAATTCGAGAGATTCGTAGACTGTCTGCGGCCTGATGCAATACTCGGCGGACATGGACGAGGAGAGCCTTCTCCTCCATCGCCAAGCGAATTCTCGTCAAGTTCACGGGTGCGAGGCGGGGGAAGTTCGCGGTTGGCGCGTCCTCCAACGGTTGCAATCATAATTGACGGCTCGGTGTGAGATGCATTGTTTTGGTAGATTTCCTCCTTTCCGACCGAACGAAACGTTTTGTATTTCCGTTGCTTTCGAAACGAAAATCGCGGACTCCGTCAGGGCTCGAAGCAGTTCCGACTCGATTTCACCAATCTACCAAGTTCCCGCTCTTCAAGATTCCTTCTCCCCGACGAGTTCTTCCTCAAACCCGATTCATCGCGGCAGAGAAGCGAGCCGGAATCAGGCAACGAATCCGGCTCTAACAAGCCCAGATTCCAAGAGAACACTGCGCAAGCAGGGCCGGGCTGCTCTATTCCGATGGACTGATAAGATCCTGAGGGAGATTTGATCGGTCGCCTCTTCGACCAGAGCTGGTGGCGTACTCACCTCGATCACGGGACTGTTGTCGAAATAATTTGAGAAAAGTTGTAAATTCGCTGTGGCACTCATGAGGATGACCTTGAGATCTTCGTTTTGTGCGACGAGGCACTTCACCAAACCGAGCAAAAAATCACATGAAATGTGACGTTCGTGGATTTCATCCAGGATGATGACCTTGTGTTTACTCATGACTTCCGAGGGTGACGTGGACAGCAATCGCAGCAGGAGCCCCTCGGTCATGAAAGTCAGCTGGAACGCGAAGATGGCTGAATTAGCGATGCCCTGAGGCCTATCATTCTATTCGAGCATGAGACTGACCGACTGAGTGGGATGAGCGAACCTTCGTGTGTTTGCTGATTTTCCTCTCGAAACGGATCTGGTAGCCGACCAGGTTCCCCATCTCCGTACCCGTCTCAAAGCTCACTCTGTTGGATAGACTTCTTGTATAAGAGTCGAGAAATGAGTTGGAAAGGAGCGATTGAACGTGGGCCTTGGAGTCTCAACTAGGGTCGCTCACCGGGATGCAAGAGCGATGGCCGCTAATCTTCGGGGCTGCGTTACTATGATGCCTTCATATCCTTCGTCGAGCAAGTATCGGGGAACCTGGGTAGATTTCCCACATCCAGTGTCACCTGCCACCAGGATGACCTATGGAGGCAGGTTATTAGAATCGATACATCGCTGCTCGGCCGAGAGCATCTTCCGACATTTCGTGGAATAATCCTTGGCATTTGAAGCCAGGATTTGTGCCCACTCACCTGGTTTGTCTTCAATGAAGCGACTAAGGTCTGTCGGTATTGAGCGATAGGTAAGCCTTCTTGGAAATGCTTGAGTTTTTCGCGACGTCTCTCTTCTTGTTTCCTCAGAAACGCTACATATGTTAGCAGAGCGTCCCGAGTTATTTCGATGTCCCGCTCGGTCAGTACCCATTTTTCATCTTGGTCGATGACGATCCGGTGCAATAAATCCGAAGTCGATTTATCCCAACAAGGCACCGATGGCGGCTTCTTGTCATCCTTGAAACCTGGAGAAACGCCATCGATATTTTGCGAGAGATGATTGATTCCTTTAAAATCGAGAATCCCGTCGGAGGGTCGAAAGCCTCTCCGCTTTATCAGAGGAAGCACAGAAAACGGAAAGCGTCACAAGTTCCCTGATCGCTAATATCTGAAAGTTGATTCATGATCTGACCGCATCTTCGAATCTTTGTTGGACAGTCCCCGATGAGACATCCAGACCCTAATTCCACTTCCAGCCACAGCATCCGCTCGAGCAGGGTGAACGTCTTTCGAATGTTCGATCAGAATTCGAAATTAGGTTCACCCTCCCAGCGCTTCTCCATGGACTCTCCCGGAACAAGCTCATCTCTCAAGCCGAAGTCAACTCCGCGCCGATTAGCAGCTGGAGCTGAGCATTATCCCCATCCCCGAGTGACATAAGAGGAGTGACATATGCTTTCCGGGAGTATGTAATATATTTTGTCGTTGGAGAAGTAGTGCGCGGATTCGACGTCCAACGAGAGATACCGCCAGAATCAGCTATCGTTTGGCGGCTCCGGCCAAATACTCTACTTCGATCACCCTGTCCTGCTTCCTCACCTGATGATTCTGTTCGATCTTTGACTCGTTTCTCGAACTTCACCAGGAACTTCCAGAAGTTGTCGTACTCTTCGGAATGAACTTCAATCGGCGCATCTTTCGTGAAGAATATGCTCGTCAACTTGCTTTTGAACTTGATGAGGGACACGGTTTGTGTCGCCATCGTCATCCGCCTCGCAATTCAATAACTTCCGCACACATTCACATACGGAGAATAGCTCCGCTGGTCTCTACAGATTCACATGGGGAATTCCGTCAAGAAATTAGAATATTGGAATCTTATCGTACCGGTAGCTTTCTCCGATCAGCTGGTGCTGTCGCAGCTTCCGACGGAAGCCTCATAGAAGCTTCGTCCCAGTATCCGTATCATCGGAGGAGCGAAAATTCCCCTTCGGATTTTGTGACGCGTTGGGCATCACTTCACGAGGCGAGCCGCAAGGAGTCGGGGAAGTTGCTCTCCGAATGACTGCGACGCTGGATATTCATCCTGAATTCTCGTGACGAGACTCCGTGAGTTAATTCCGCATCCCCTCCATTTTCGAGACTGGGTGAAATCTCTGGGTTTGCATACCGTCAGTACGACGCCACCGGACCTCTCCGTCATCCCAGCGACAGAAACTGTGTTGCGCTGATAATAATAAAGCCCACACCTCGCAGTGTGAACAAGCTCCTCCGATTCCCTGAAGCGCCTCCGAATCTATTCGTACTCTGTCGACCAATCGAGACCGCCCAGCGGTGCGGGATCCGGCGGTATACCCCTCTAGAATTAGGCGGTCCAGATGTCGCCGATGTTCAAGCTCTCGGTGGAAGGAGATAACCGCTCGAATACTGTTCGTGCTCTGGGGTGGAGCAAGAAAATCGTCGGAAGCGACATCTGAAAGTGATCTCAAGACCGTGATCTCCGAGAAATGTTGCCTCCCGAACTAATGAAGACGGATCCAAACGACTCAACAGGTCCCCGGAGAACGAATCCAGTCCCCAAGCCAGATGTCGTGACGCCCGAATCGGTTGCGACATCTGGAGAAATGATCGCGTCTGGTTCTGGTGGATCGAACAACACTTCGCAAGCCCGAAGCTTTCCGAACCACTAGAAGTTTCTGCGTCGAGAAGCTCAAGGAATCGATTTCCCCTCTGGGAAAAGTTCCGCATTTTTTTCCGCGGCTCGTCACACATGTCGAAATATCAGAATTATTCCCGATGCCCGATTTTTTCTTCTTCCGGAGTTACACAGGCGACCGATACATTCATCGAGCAGAGGGTACAATGATGATGCTGGGGAGGTCGTCGGAACTCCGAAGCAAATCTACGAGCTTCACCAATGCATGAAGCATTCGACGGAACCATTCGCCGAGAGCCACACTGTCTGCTCGCGCGAACTCCATGGAAAGGAAATATCAGTCCCCGGGAAATATTTTTTATTCTCAGTAACCAGCTGACATATTGGAATCGTGAAAGCGCGAGAATGGATGCTCGATCTGACGTTCCTTGCCTAGACCGGAAGTTCTCGGGGTGGTCCACGAGAACGCCTCACACAGCCCTAGGAATAAATATGGAGGAATTTCACCTGTCTCTCTCCAATAAATAATAATCGGAATGTTCCGAGCTCTTTACATTCAAACATGAATCAATCCGACACCCTTCGATCTATGACAAGAAATTCGAAGACTATTATATCACAGAATGGAACAGCAGTATATACACCGATGACGCACGCGGAAACTACTTAATCACCTTCAGCATATTTCTCTAGAGCCTCCCTGAGGTTTTCGCTGATCTCTCTGAGCTTCAGATCGGACTTCTCTCCGATCTCTCTCCGCTTCCTCCCGGTCACTTGCGTATTCACCGGGATAGCGCCGTAACCACCGCCGCCGTATCCGCCGTAGAAACCGAGCGGCAACAACACCGACCCAAGTCCCATTATCGACCCGATGCCAAGGCCCAAGATGAAGAGTACGATAGCTTCGGAATCCAAATAACTTCGACCGTTTCTCCGTGATATGCGACGATTGTCGCCGTGGGAATTTCTCTCCTCCAAGTATTTCTTCAGCAGCTTCGCAAGAAGTGTAGTTGCCAGAACACCTTTCGTCGACACCGCCTGCGTCCCGAGCAACGACAATAAGATCGGATGAACAGCTTTCATGAGCTTGTGAGTGGATGCGGCCGTGGAAGACAAGGGAAACACTGGGGTTTCGGCCTCCTTACCGAGATCGTCCCTGTCAGCATCGTTTCCCGGTGAATTCTGCTCACTGATCGAATGTATCCTATGACCCCGCCGCGAGGTACTATCCTTCATGATGTTTGCCAATGTCTGGCCGAACGATGTCAGTTTGCGTACTCGAGGCTTCTCGGATGTGAAATTCGCATGTGTCAAACTGCTCACTCTATCCTGGATTGAGCTGTTGACGCAATTAGAGTGATTGGAGCACGATAGGACCGTGTGCACCACAAGAAACACCAGAAACGATGGCTCACTCCTCAACACCGTGTGCATCATGTTGTCGGTCTTGTGCGCGACTGCGAGACCTGGGAACAACAATGGAGCCTCGGTGCTCCACCGGGAAGTTTTATAGCTCACGGAAAGGGCGAGGCCCGCAGGAGGAGAAGTCTGTGATTCAACAGATTCAGCAGATATAAAAATTGATTTCACTCAAACGATCTACTGGAAGTCTGATTCCCCTCAGCTGGTCAGCGGGAAGTTCGTACCGCTCTGCAACTTTCTCGACTCGGGGTTGGGCGAGTCCTCGTAATTCATCATAGCTGATCAGGCCGTGATACTCTAGTTCTGTAATATCAGAGAAGGGACGTGAATACGGCTCAGTCAGACAAAGCTGCATTAGATCCGGATAAGCGCTGAGTGTACGCACCCCTCTCCATGGACCTTGCAGAGGAGTTCCGGGGGACTCTCGCGATCCGCCTCTGGCGAGGCAAGGACCGACGAGCGTCCGGTGGTCGGTGATCTTTGTGCAATGTACAGCGTACGTCGCAGACTCTCCGAAATCAACTTCCATGTATTCGATCAAGAATGTCCCGCGGAGTTGCTCGCAACTCATGAACTAAGAAATGGGAGGTCCCGGACTAACATTTTATCGAGAAAGAGGAGATCATCAGCGAGCGCAGGAGAGACGTCACTTCACTGCGATTCGGCTCCGGAAGCTACCCGAGAAGCTGCCCGCTAACAAGACCCCTCGAGGCTAGAACGGAGTGCGATGCAATAATTGTTGGCTCTGACGTCCCATGCTACGCCAACCAATCCTCCTTTTCCTCCGATGCAGAATCAGGGCCACTCTCGGCTCGGCTTCGGATCGAAGCGAGGTTCGGCCTGACTTGCGAAAGAGGCCGACAGCTTGTATCCCCGATCCGACAACTGACGAAGAAAAGGCTGTATTCATTGAGTACCTGCTCCTGTCAAGCAACATGTTATGCTGCCCGCTTGTCGGAGAGTGTCCTCCCGAACAGAGGATGCCCTCCTCGACATTATTCTCGGTCTAACCTGGAGCACAGCTTCAATTCACGGGCGAGACGCACATCCAGTATTGTGATCGAAAGGAGTGAGTCCAGAGAGAGTCCGTTCTTTGTCGGAAGAAGAGTTATCTGTGCCTTCCTTGTCCTCGGGTCTCAGACCGTAGCAACGGATGGGAAGAAGGAGAAAAGACATGATTGGCCGATCTTGACACCGAAGTTTATGGAATTACCTTCTCGAGAGCCCTCTTGATCCGAGAGTTTCCGTCAAGAAACAATACTCCGAGCTTGGGCTCCCGTAAGGTTCTTAAAATTGTCGCTGCACTCTGCACCGAACGTCGGGAGAGATGCTCTCGGGCTTAAAGAGGAGAGATCGCGGCTCATGAGGAGAGAACTCACGGCCCTCGAGGCTGTGCGGGTCAGAGATGTCGTGAGTGACGCGGCGGGAAATCGGATGCCCCCCCGAGTCCTATCTCGACGAGTCATCCAGTGTATTCGAGCCTATTCATTGGTTGCATGTAAGGTTCCGCATGCTGCATGGAGGAGAATTCTAGCTCAGTCTGCGGCTCACCGACTCATGCCCGTCGGACGTAACCGACGGGACCATCTGGCCCGTAGAAAGCTTCAGCCGAACTTTCCTTCTCTGGAGCTAAGTTAGACCTCCAGGCTTCGAAAATCAAGAGTACTTCGGCGCTCCTCTTCGCCACGGAGTTCAATCGAGAGCTCCGGGAACTATCGCTCCCCCATTTCATTGAGTAAACTCCTATGGTCGCTCCTCCCGCAGTTACAAGCTGGCGATTCCGATTTATTCTGCGGTCAGTGTGACTTAAACCGCTCAAGTCGATCCTCGTTACACAGCGATTGTAGAAGATCCCGTCGAAAGCCGACTCATTGGTGTGTGGCATCATTCTGCTTAGCACGCCCTTCAGCCATCGATCCGTCAAGTTTTGGCTAGTTTCCTGCAGAAGCTGTTCCCCATAACAAAACCTTGAGGGGAGAACGCTTTACTGACTCCAAAGATGACATTTCTGTATTGCGAATGCTGTTCCGACTGCAATCGATCGCGATCCGGCCACAATTTCTCCCTGACAGTCTCAAGCTGCATTAAGTTTGACATTTCGCTCTGGGTGGAGCGTGCCAGGCCATGCAGTCACTTTATATAGGTTGACCCATTCAGTTACAGGCCGGGAACGTTTTATCGAGACCTCTGAAGATCTTTTTCCAAGCCATGAACTTCGAAGGAAGCAACAAAAGGAATTCATTCTGGAACCATCTGCCTACTCATTCTGCCCCTCTCCCGAACAGTTTCCCTCCATAGATCGATCGATAAATAATTTCCCATCCCACGGATATGGAGAGGGGATTTACCTAACCTGTGAGACCAGAGTACGGGTGTCCCTAGTTTCCCAGGCTCCATGCTTCCCTTCCCGTACCCTGTGTGATCGTTCTATGTGTACGGAAACGCTCAGCTGGAACCCAGCTGTGCGAGACCTCTGACTAACTGAGATGGAGTCCTCAGCAGGGTCGTCCGTTCCGGAGATCGCTCTTCGGAACCCAGGATCAGGTCCGGTCGGAGCAGTGGTGTCTGCCAGGGCGAGCGGCAGTCTGGCGCCCCTGGACGTTTCCGTCCCAGATTTCACTTTCGAAAATCGTATCAGAACAGCTGCTTTCAGATCCCATCGTTCCCGGAGCGAATAGCCAATCAAAATTCAAAGATGATATGTGATAGGAAGGATTCGATTCAATTCGATCCGGAGGAGCTACTTCCGGGAATTCCTATCAGCGCCCGAGGAAAATGAGAAATAGCAAAAACTCTGCCATATCGGAAGCGCTCATCGCGCGCTTGCTTGTAAACGTCAATAGCGGCTTTCAGACCTGAGCTCGAGGCTCGATCATGAAAGCAGACCTCAGGCACGAGCAGGTCGGTCTGACGTCCGGGACGAGAACTGTCCGCAACCGATGGACGGTGAACTCGAGTGGGGGGAGTTTTGTGAACGCTCCTGGTAAGATCACCGAACTACCGCCGGCGGAGGTGAATCTTGTAGACTTTTACGCAATGAGTTCCAAGTAGGTGTGACATAAGTTGGTTCCGTAGGGGGGAAATGCTCGACACGCAAACCTTCTTCACGAAGAAGAATCCCAGCCCGCATCTGCGGGACTTCTGTTGCGTCGGAGAACAAGCACAGACGCCGGTGTCGGGAAAAGTGTCTCACACATGAAATCCGGTCTTCAGAAGGCTTCTCCTTCTATAAGCACCGAATCCAAAAGCGTGAAAATGTTGTCGGACGCTGACGTGACGTCGGTTTAGGTAAGCTCTTGCTTACTTCCGAGACGGCAAATGTCTCGGAGAAAAATGACGCGACACGCCTCGTGCTTCCTTGTCATGCACTAAAGATGCTCCTACGCACCGGATAGCAGTATTCGCCGCGGCACGGCGTCGCTTTGAGAACCGTTCTAACACCTTCTGAATGACTCCCACAGATTCTCAGGCTTTCATCCGACTCGTATGAAAGAGCTGGAACGAAACTGGCCGAGGGATCCTCGAAAGCCTAGGACTCAATTAATTGCAGAATAAGCTTCTGCCCAGGGGCAAAGGCGTGGCTCGCCTAGAGGCCTCAGAGAGATCATGCCCGAGGAAGCTGGGATTTATCGTAATGGTAATGGTTATGGTAATTTATTGACCTAGATGGGTCTTCTATGTATATTACAAGATGGCGCATCAGCCTTTCATGTCAGGCGCTATTAAGCAGATCTTTGGTCTCCTTCTCCCGTTTTTCTGGGATTCGTTTGGTTTTTGTCACGATCGAAGGGTCCTGTATTTCCTCTTGGAGGCCTAATCTTGAGACGAAATCTTCGTCCGTGTAGTATGCGTCGTTGCATTCGAAGATCACATGTTTTACGGTCTCTTCAAATGTTCCGCATCTGGGGCAGGTGTCCTCCTGCTGTGGGTCAATAGACCTACCTCGGCTTTTCGTTGGTAACATTCCCGCTCTGGCCGAGGCCAGGAGAGTGTCCCCTCTTCGGTTTCCGTAGAGGAAGGTTTGGATACCGAGGCTGTTCTTGCCTTGCCGGTAAACTTCTAGGCTTGATTTCAGCATCATGTCCTGTCTTCAGACGCTCTCCTGGGTGTCTCTAATTTTCTTTTTTATCTGAGAGTTATAGGTATTCAGACATGGTGCTCCCGAGACTGAATCTTCCCTAGATGCTTCCTGAGTTTCCCAAAGCAGGAGATCACAGAGGTCGAGGAACAACTGAAAAAGATCAGGAATATCGAATGACGTGCAAAGAGAGAGGCCCGGAGTCGAGTTGTCGGGGTGACCCTGCCGCGGCGTCGCAATCATGAGTTCACGGACGCTCCCCGCCTAATCGATCAAGCGGAACTTCAGAGTATTTCCCCGCAGCCTAAGCAATGTGAATTTCCTGATTTGTGGCTTGAGATCAGATATCCTCCAACTGCTCATGGAGGTATGCTCGCTCAGCTCGGAAATCTTGAATCATGAGATAGTTTCTCTTTTTTCAACATCGAGGAAGGGCGCTGCGGCTCCGATGTGCTCTCCAAGGAGAGCTCCGGAGATGCGGAGTGTCAGAAGTCTTGAGTTCGAGGGAATATTCGCGAATTTTGTCGTGGGAGCTGTCGAAGCATCGATTAGTGCACCCAGACTCTCGGGGCTTCTCGCAGTGGAGTCGTAAGGAGGGAGGAGCGAGAAAAACGACGCCGTCTCTCAAGGTGGCGCTCTCTCTATTCGGAGGCTTCGCTCGTATCCACGGGCGCTGAACGCTTGAATGTTCGTCAGTTTTGATTTCCCGGTGCCGAGTGCTTCCGGGGCCGAGCTCCGGCCCCTTGCCTTCAGCGATTCAATAAGCCGACTCTCCCTATGGGGTACAACCTTAGGCTCGTTCTGCAACACGCGATCCATTTTCTTGATCCCAGACTCGAGAGAGTTGAGGGTAGGATGGCAGCATCCGATATTCCGTCTCATCAGGCGGGGATCATTATGTGAATGGGCGTCATCGAGCGAGCGTTTCCCATTCTCCGCACAGCCAGCCGGTGTCGCGCCTTATTAGCGATCGCTGTGTCGGGAAGCAGCGCGTGTCTGGGACAATTCATGCCGATCGTTCCTTCGTCGAGCTCCACGTCATTTATCCATCCTCTCTACTCAGAGAAATGATGTTCCTACCCATCGAGAATCAGTGATCAGGCCTGTGCTCCGGTCGCCCATACTCCGAACCCACTGTCCAGAGGAAGACTCCGACTAGAGACTTGTCTCCCACATACTTGCGTCGGAGCAGGATGGAGGACCTCTATCACCGGACGAGATTGACCATCGAAAAACTCAACGGTACTTTCCAGAGGTTCGATACCGTGGGAAATGAGGAGGAATTCGATCGACTGGTTCAGGGGGAGATGGAGAATATTTTCACGAGCTGTGACAGGTCAGTGTGATTCTTCTAACATTGATTGCATCATTTGCGAAGCTATTCTTCGCTGACACCTGTTCCGAGCAGAGGGAACCGGAAGCTTTCTGAGCCGACGGAGCTGCATTCGAGCAGCTGGAAAGAGACCGCTTATGGCTCGATAGAGTTTAGGAAGAGGAGCATTCGATACGACCAGGGGAAACTTTTTGCTCCTCGCTGATGCGGAGCGCCGGCAGATGCGAGCGTTCGCAAGAGCGATATCTATGGTTCTTTGAAAATTAAAGTGGGCTAATCAGAAGCGATTCCATCCTCCCTTATAGGCTCGAAATCCTCGTCCACAAGGAGCCGGCTTCGCGCCGTCATGTTGCTAAGTTGAAAGTAGATCAGCTGAAGTATGACGTGCGACATCTGAAAGCAGTTCAAGAGAACCTACGGCGGAAACGCGAGGAGAGACTGATGCAAGAAAAGAACAGGAATGTGAGTATCTCTCTTTGAGACATTCGAGAGCTCGTCGGCTCATCATCGGACACTCCCGCAGAGACCCTCCGCTTGACTTCGCCTTCGCATCGAACTCCAGAGACTTCTCCCTCGAGCTTGTCTTAGATTCAAATTCTGACTCCTTGATTTCGATGTTTCTGCAATCAAAAGGATTACCAGTCTTCTCATTATAGGAATTGCTGCATCGGACGTTTCGAGCCAACGAAGATACCACCATAGACATGGACAGGATGCTGAACTTCCATTCGAGCGCGCAGAACGCGAATCGAGGCGTCGATGACCTGATCGCACACGGAGGGAGCGTGCTCGAAAACCTCAGACACCAACGATCCACCCTGAAAAGTGCCCGGAAACGAATGTTGGACGTGGTCAATAATTTGGGACTGAGCAATACTGTGATGCGACTGATCGAGAAACGCGGAACCGAAGATCGTTTTGTTCTCTTCGGCGGAATGGCTCTGACATGCATATGCATGTTGCTCATCGTCGTCTACTTGTACTGAGGAGCTTTTGCCGAATCGTAATAATTTTCTAACCATGTGCCCATGTATGATAGAATGTGAATATATCCCACAGCGGGAACGGATTAGCCAACGGATGAGATAAATGACTGCATTTCATTCCCTTCACGCACGCAATTTTCCTCCCATGAGCGTAGTACGGTGGTGGTCGATCCGGACAAGATGAGGACGAAGACTCTACCCACCGCTCAGGCTCAAAATGGGTCTTGAGTATCGGACAGCCGTCGGATATTGAAGCAGCGATGCGCACCGGTGTTCCCGCGGATAAGAGAGTCGAAAATGATGCGCGCTGCGAGCGTCTGTCCCATGTAGCATCGATTCCGCCCTCGCTTCTCTCTAATCGACTCCCGAGGAGGACCTCGGGAGTCCCGAGGTCCTTCAGGATCGATATCATTAGCTCACATTAATTCAAAATGAGAGCATGGGAATTCTATGAGCTCGCGATGCCGTCGTCGGGTGTCGGTCATATCTTCCTAAAGACCTCCCGATGGAGGCGAGCCCCGCTCTCTCACGTGTCAATAAGTCGGTTCGGGTAAGCTGCAACGTAGTGTTGACATATACCGCTTGTGAACATAAATTCTGCAGAATCACCGAGGCATCTCAAATATAGGTGTCAGAGCAATTTTTTCACTCAGTTCCGCAAATTGAATCTTGTGCCGAGTGGAAATGACTGCAGAGCAGGTAGTTGCCGCGGTTGATCCCGTGCAGTCAGCGAATGACGATGCCGAGCTCGAAGACATTTACGTCAAGTACATGAAATTGAAGCGGCAGCTGGAGTTTCTGGAAGTTCAGGAAGAGTACATCAAAGATGAGCAGCGTAATCTCAAGAAGGAATATCTTCACGCTCAGGAGGAGGTGAGCACCCAGGCAGACTCGATGTCTCTCGGACGGATAGCAGGGGTTCCGTAGGAATCGAGCAGGCTCGATCAAAGAGGGATAGAAGACAAGCGACCAATCCTCAAGCTCTGACTACAATCCTTCGCAGGTTAAACGCATCCAGAGTGTGCCGCTGGTCATCGGACAGTTCCTCGAGGCTGTGGATCAGAACACCGGCATCGTAGGCTCGACTACCGGCTCGAACTACTACGTCAGGATCCTGAGCACGATCGATAGAGAGCTCCTGAAGCCGTCGGCATCGGTGGCCTTACACAAGCACTCGAACGCTCTCGTGGACGTTCTCCCGCCGGAAGCCGACAGTTCGATCTCGATGCTGCGTCCCGATGAGAAGCCTGAAGTTTCCTACGCGGACATCGGAGGTCTTGACATCCAGAAACAGGAGATGCGGGAAGCCGTCGAGTTGCCTCTGACTCACTTCGAACTGTACAAGCAGATCGGAATCGATCCTCCACGAGGCGTTCTCATGTATGGACCCCCCGGTTGCGGAAAAACTATGTTGGCCAAGGCTGTAGCTCACCATACGACGGCGAGTTTCATTCGAGTCGTCGGTTCGGAATTCGTGCAGAAGTATCTCGGAGAAGGTCCTCGAATGGTGAGAGACGTCTTCCGTCTCGCGCGGGAGAACTCACCGGCGATCATTTTCATCGATGAAATCGATGCCATCGCCACGAAGAGATTCGATGCCCAGACCGGAGCCGACAGAGAAGTGCAGAGAATTCTGCTCGAACTTCTAAACCAGATGGACGGATTCGACCAGACAACGAACGTCAAGGTATCGAGAGGGGAAGAGACGTGGAAACTCGGCGAATACTTCGAACATGATCGCCAAATAATCTTACGGACTTGAACAATATCCATTATTATAGGTGATCATGGCCACCAATCGAGCTGACACTTTGGATCCCGCCCTCTTGCGTCCAGGTCGTCTGGACAGAAAAATTGAATTCCCCATGCCAGACCGCCGACAGAAGCGGCTCATCTTCTCAACGATCACATCGAGAATGAATCTTTCGGATGAGGTCGATCTCGAGGACTACGTCGCGCGGCCCGACAGGATCTCGGGAGCCGACATCAATGCTATATGTCAGGTGAGAACGATACCCCTCGTACGAATGCTTGACTTGACGCATGCCTGAGGTGGAACTTGTCAGGTTGAGATCGACATCGCCCGCCGCTCTCTCCGAATGAGAATCATTCGTTCGTCGATCTCATACATGAAGTATTTCCCACAGGAGGGTGGTATGCACGCTGTTCGTGAAAACCGCTACGTCGTTCTGCCGAAAGATTTCGAGAAAGCCTACAAGAACAACACGAAGAAGGACGAGTGCGAACACGAGTTCTACAAATAGAGGGCGGTGCTGATCCTCAACAAAGATGTCGAAGATTTTATTTCCCAACTGCTTCCAGAGGAGCAAGTTGGAAAGTATATATAGATAAACAACCAATGGTCCATCCTACCCGAGCGCCTCACTTCCAAGTACAGAGATGTGCGATGCTCTAGAATTTCAGAATCTAGTAGAGCGAGTTGCTCGTAATTCAGGGATTCATGGGAATTCGGAACCGACGATCATCAGATGATCCTAAATGGAGTTCAACAACCAGAGACCAGATATTTCAGGTTTTCGATTGTCCCAGGAGCGATCCGAATTTCATGGATGATCGACGAATGCTTCAGGGCCTCTCGGTGAGAGATTCCCATCTGGAATGAGCGGGGAGCCGGATAGAGGTCCGACAAAGCCCTAAATAATTATCATCAGCGGTTCGATACTCGCGATCTCGGCGATTCTCGCCTCCAATCTCCGGAGAATGACCCCGCGGCGGACACACGGCACGCGAAACAGGGCGGCCTAAGCGCTCGAGTTGTCCGCTTCCAGACAGAGGCCGGTGACTGATCGCTCATGTAACGCTCGTGCTCCGATCGAGGTCTTCTTATCATGGGGTCCCGGAGGGGCGAATCAAGAGGCTGGTGCAGATCTTTGTCGGAGCTGGGCCCTGTGTGCACATCGGGGCTGGAGGAGGCATCATTGCAAATGATGGCATCCGGATAGGAAATCATCTTCCTCGGGGAACCACATCGAGGTGAACTCTGTCGCCGTCGACATGCGTGAAGTCCCGGGGCTCCCCCGATGTCTCGCAGGCCTTTCAGGACTATTGCCGACAAAAATGGAAGGATGATTCTCTCGGCATCATCTCGATAGCCTGATCTAATTGATGACGAGATGACGGAAGCCCGTATTGTAGTCTCGTCTGAGATGTAGTGTTTAGTGATCCAAGGCCACTATCGGGTTGCTGCGCGAAGTATACGGACGCGCGTCCTCCGTCTGGAAAGCGCTAGCTCCAGCCAAATGACTCTGGCAGACGCCTATCGGAAGCGATCGGCTCCCTCGATCGTGCGTTTAGCATGACGACACTCGACATTCCGGCGATCGGCTTCGAGCCACCGAGCGGGGGAGGGAAGGGAAAAGCGAGGAAGGAAGAGACGATATCGATTTCTCGTACAAGACCGTTCACTGTATTTCTCCAGATTTTTCATCTCTCTCCAATTTTTTTGTTCGCGATTCTTACTTTGGGCGATGACGAGGATGTGAAATTCTCTTTCTTAACATCGGCGGATTTTTTGGCAGCCGACTGCCACCGGGGAACGTGATTTCCGATCGTTGCTATTATGGTTACACCATCACCCTCAGTCATCATTAACATCACAGACGTAGTTGTCAGAACCTTCGAAGTCAATGATCAGTCGTCATAAGCTACCTTAGTGCTCCGCGTTCTGCCCGCACAAGGTACGCGTGTTTGGTGTCGTTTCCATGTTTTTGGTTTGAGTAAATGATAGAACTCATCCTCGGGCATCCGGGAGGAGAGAAAAACAATGTCGTCGGACGAGCGACGGAGAACTAGCAGACCCACCAAAATTATGCTTAAATGGAGTTTTTTCGGGAAATACTCGAACGAACCGAGCGCTATAAAAACTGAGTGAGAAGGGGAAGCACCGTCTAAGATGGATTGTTTGAACAGTTGTAGTTGATGATAGGGGCCAAGTGATTGTTCTCTTTTATCTACGATAGCGGGGGAGCGGGGAGCGGAAGATTTCGGAACTACATGAACTACATGGAGCCCTCCTTATATAATCGCTTAGAACCGGCTCGATGGACGCATAGTGATTGAGTTTCTGAACTATAGAGGTGTCGGTAGCAACATGAGTTCGACCCAAACGAGCTTTGTATTGGCTTTTTCCTCACAGGATCAACGAATCTCCGTAAATAACAATGGGGATCCACCCTCGGGCCCATCCAACTGCAACTCCGACTTGGAGATGCGTTCTCACGAATGATTCAATGTACTCAAATTTTTAATTCGATTCATTCATCCATCTCAGAATCTTCATCGTCTTCTGCCGTCACATTTTTCCTCTGTTCCCGCATTCTCCGGACGGCGTCGAACTCATTGTAGTGCTTGCGACGTTTCTCTTCGAAAGATTTTCTCCGAACCTGTAATGACGATATCTCATGATCTAGCTTGTCCGACTCTCGCTCAGCGAGATCCGGTCCCGACAGGACCGTTCCATGAACCCAGTACCGCATGGAAGGAGTGCATCGTAGGGGATTAACTTACTCGTTCTTCTTCGGTAAGAAGCTCATCAGGCGTATCCCGATCGATTGGGGACCGCGGCCGCTCGGAATCGAGTTTTTCGGCGAGTTCCTGGACGATAAAAATAAGAAGATGATCCAACTGATATTGTAACCGTCGGATATTTTTCTGCGGTGTCTGTTGCTGGAGGTTTATAGTTATCGTGTCTAAGCTGTCCTCGAAGTTACACGTTTTTGTCCTCTAGGCCAGGTCATTACCGTATCCTCTACCAAAAAAAGGCATGTACGTGTGTACCCTTGAAGTTTCGGATTCTCCAGAAGGCTCATGGTAACGGGGAAACATGAGGGGCTCATTTTGCTTCGTCGGACTGTAGACCCGAATGTGTGACCCGAATATGTTTTATTCGTCACTGTTGACAAACCGCAGTCAAAGAATCCTGCATATTCGTTTTCGAGATCGCCACTATTCGTTACCGACCGCGCGAAATATTTCCGTCCTATGCAACTATCAGGCCCTCATGCTTGAGGGGCCAGACTATTAGAGGAGTAGTTCTCACTGAACCATAGCCGGCCAGCACCCGAACAGTCGATCTAGCTGGCCGCAGAGAGAGGAGCGACTCATCGAGAGTCGAATTCATCACATCACAAGTGCGACCCGGGATGAGGTTCTTCCCCGCTCGTCTCTCAACAGCCATGAGAGACATATCCGCAATCAAAGAAGTGCAGATGTACAACAAGGAGATTATCAGCTTAGGAGGCTGATGAGGAGCCTTGGACGGATAGATGTCGCGGCTGCCAGTTCGGCCGCCGAGTGGCGTGTCTGTGAATCTAATTTGACTCTGGCAGCGTTTGAACGGGGTCATGTACTATATATCCATCACGACGGAAAGAGCGAGTCCAAAAGCGGAGTAGGTTCAATACCGACCTCTGGATCAATAGCTTCGGTACGGGGAACGATCTCCTCCCCATCGACACCGTCAACTCCGTCATACGAATACGGTGTTTTCGGCTCTTCGATTTTCATGTGACCGTAGTCTTTATCCGGAGGGTGGTATGTGGCGAGGATATTCTGTTCATCCCATTTGATGTCTTGAGTACTCCTGGAAAGCAGGGACCGGTGTCAGTTCTGTGTTTAACAGCGAACGAAGACCTCCTCTCTCATTTCAATTAAACCCCCACGGCTCGTTGAGCACTGCTGCTGCTGCTGCTGCTCATCCGATGAGCATTCGTTTTCTGATAAGCAACGTAATTCACTTAGACGCCAGGATCGGTGGAATGCCCTCGCCTGCTGATGATCCGGGACTTGATGCACATCGTGATTCGACCGATGGCCGTCGTATGCAAACACAGTTGCAGATGCCCCCCATCACCGAGTCTGCTGCCGAAAGGACGGGAGCCCTCTCGGATCGTGATCATCATTAGATGAATGCGATTCCGAATGTTCTTCATTCCGACTTTGTATCCCTAGCGTGACCTGAGCTGTTTCCCACCTCTTGTTGATCCTGCAATGGGACTGCCATCCCACAAAATCGCAACCGCAGCGTCCGATTGTAACGAATGCGCATATGATCTGCAGTTGTGGATATCGTACGGTTTTCGCCACCGTCGACGTCGCTTGCGCCGCGCCGTACCGCCGACGACGACCACCAGCCGCGTGCAACCATGAGCAGGAAGCCGAATCGTCTTGCCGGCTCAAACTCTTTGCCGTTCCAAATCTCTACTCGGAAATCGATAGACGGCCAGCTTGAGAGCGGCGGCGTGTTTTGCGAGCAAGAAGCGGGCAACGACCGCTGGACACTTACACGCTAGATCACGACAATAGAGCTTCCTACTTTGTTGGTCGACGCGTTCTGGATTGGATGAGTGCAGATTCTTCACTCGAGAATGGGGATTCGATCGATATTTGTATGAATTTCAGCAAAGCAGATGAAATAGCTTACTGTCGGCGTTGATCGTGGTACTCGAAGCTTCCGCTGGCCTTGAGAATTCCCTTCGTGGGTCTCTTCACCAGACTGCCGTCTGCCATATTCCTGTACCGTTGGAGGTCGGAAAAATCGGAGCAACTTTGAGCCAGAGCTCCTCTCGGGTGCAACAACAAATCTTTTTCGCTCTTCGGTGAGAGATTCTGCTGCGAGCTCACGTCAGCGTGAAGGGACGAGCGAACAGCTGAGGCTCGAACCCAGGCTCCTTCAACTTCGGAATCGTCCACCGAAAAACTCCAACTTGAATAGCCAGCGAGGCTTTCACACAATTTACAACACGATACAAAAATTATTATCCTATTCCGAGTCAACAGCTCTCGAGACTTAACCAGTAAGCGAGTAGGTAAACGAGCCAACTGCTACTTTCTCCTCTTCTTCTTTTCGATGCACTCTCTCACAGTCTGTGGCCGCCGTTGCTACGAGCAGCCGACACCGAGCAGACGGTTTTACCAAAAATCTCTCTCTCCACTCTCCAGTCTCCAATGTGTTTTTCCCGAAATTATTTCCGATCTGGCATGGGAATTCGCTGGCGCGCTAAGGTTCCTCGAAATTGAGAACAGGGACCATCGGCATTCGAGTTAGATCCCCCCTTCGGAAAGACGACGAAATCCGTCGGCACAAGCAGCAGTAGAGCGACGACGATGATGTCGACGATCTTTACCCGAGTAGGATCGGGCGGCCTCAGTCAGTGTGTACCTTCATCGAAATCTATCGTCGGCCGGGGAAATCGCATCGCGATTCACTCCGACTCGCAGATCACACCGACAAGACTGCGATTATAAGGGATATCATGCTGGCGGGGGAGCGTTTCCTCCCGAGGGAAGGTTATGCTCATGGCGAATCGCGCAATCACTGATCGCTTCTCAAAGGGCATGATGGTATGGTGCCGGTTGTCCCGACTCCATCGCTCGATAAACCAGACTGACTCTTCGTCAGGTTTCTGAATCTAGGCACTTTCTAATCAGAACACACTGAGGGCTTAACTCGGGCGCTGCTCCACGGAGCCAGGGCGGTATGATATACCTTTCATACGAAGTTACAAGCCACTCACTCGGACGGAAACTTCAGCCAGCGGAAAAACCTTGGGCTGTAGGCGAGTTATGCTGCAATCTAGCGCGTCAATGATATTAATTGACGAAGAACACAGTTATACCTAGCTCAGCCCTGATTGAACGGGGCGGAGCGCCCGATTCGTTTGATGACGCCCATACGGATCAATGTCATCATCGCTCCAGACTTCAGGATTTGACGACGACGGACGACCACGAACTATGATGGAATCAGGGGCCAGAAAGTTTCATCTCGTTGAGAACTCGGAAAGTCCCTCATAGACTCGACATAGAATCCACCGTGCGAGCCTTCCAGATTTTTCCTATCTCACTGTCCGTATCGAGTCGACTGCCAGTCGCAGTGTCTCCTGCAGCTGCCGACGTCGAATGTCGAATTTTTTCGCCGAAATACTTGAGGAACCCAGACAATGACCCTACCGCCCGGAGATTCTACCACGAGCCTCCTCGAGAAACGCTTCCCGGGGCTTATGACGGAGCGTCCCCGTGCCGTCGTCGAGCACCGGTTCCTTGTGTGTTATTGCGTTTCTGCACAGGCTATCATCAATACAAAGCTTCTATGAGCGGTCCCTCATAAATCGACCCTACTTCGAACGTTGCTGAGATTCGACTCGATGGCTGACGGGATCAGGCGGGAAGGAATGTGCAATTAATGCTCACAATTCGTAATCCCTCCTTGGACTGAATGAACCCGATAAGGTCATCATCGGCTGCAAGGGAAGATTTCGGAGGTCCATAGAAGCTTCCCTCCGGATCAATCATCGCGTTCTTGATGCGACGACAGCCGAGTGTGGGAATGATCATCTGACCAAAATCCAGGCTGAGGCAAAATGCAGTAATTATGTGTACGCTGGGCGTCTACCATTTTATTGGTGCCTAGGATACTACCAGACTCCTCTGGAGACTCTGAGGGTTGGTTTCCTTTCGGACAACCCCTCCGCCGTGACCACAGCCTCTCCGTGTGCAGTGACTCCCGGTCTTGCGTAGCAGAGATCTTTGCGAAGAAACTTCTCTACTTCGACTCATGTGCTTGTGAGAGCTTTAAGCCACCCCTCGGACCCCCACGCTCCGAAGGGAATGTGATCGCTATCCACCTGTGTTCGGTATTCTCGGCGTCGAATATTGAATCTCCGTAGGGTGAAACTAGGTTGAGGGATATCGAAGCTTCAAACAAGCACCCAGTCTCAGAAATCAAGAATGGAGACTTCGCAGAATATGTCCGCCCTGGTGGAAAGTGCCCGGAAGCTGGTTCTGAACCTGGGAAAAGACGATGAAACGCTCCAGGATTTGCACACCGATGTAAGTTTGGATGAATTCTATGCATTGAGCCCATTAGCTCGCGTTAACTGTCGCTGTCATTGACCGATCCTTTCTCCTCAAGGCAATGTCAATTTTACGGAAATTGGAAACCATGAAGGAATATAATGACGAAGTCGCAAGCATCGAAAACGCTGTGAAACCATCCCATCCGAGGAGCGCTCTAGTTGCTGCGATACAGCAAGAGAACCGCCAAATTAAGGTAAGTGCTCCCGATCCGACTCAAGGCCAATATTTTCGTTCATGAAACAATCAAATAGCATAGTTCTGATGCTACGGGAGTCCTCCTACTCCGTCGCCACAAGTCTTCAGTTTTTCAGTCGGTCAGAGTGCGACGAATTTGCTCTCATCTTCCGTGAGTCGCTCTGTCTCGACAGGCTGTCGACCATTCCAGTGCTCGATGAGCTCGACCCCGATGCTGTTGAGAGTATCAATTGATGTCCAGCTAGTTGATTGGAGCCAATCACTGGTTTTCCCCTCTTCCAGGATCTTCAAAGACAGAATGTGGAGCTCGTGGCCTCCCTCGAAGAGCATCAGAGTACCCTGCAGATGGTCATGTCGAAATATAGGTGGGTCTTCCGGAATTCCGACGCTGGCGCTCGTATTCGCTAAGTCTCGGAGCATCAACGGAGTACCGTCGCACCCCTCTAGTGGCCAACATTGCTTTACGGCTTTCGTCCACGCTTGCATTCTGAATCACCAAATCCGTGAGCTTATACAGCTTTGGGACATTCGTCAGCCCTCTCGAGAGTTCTCTCAGAGTTCCGCCGCCAAAGGCGGTCTTTTCTCGGGAGCAACTCCCTTAAAAAAGTCCCAAGATCGGCATCGGAGGTCGGGGGAGATCTCCTAGAATGAGCTCGGCAATCATTATTTGTGGGCGCAACTCCCTAAGGATAACTCCCGGATTCTCCGATCCGTGCTCGGCGTGTCATGAGAATTCCTATGAAAACTTTGAACTAACCCCTCGTATCATTGAAGGCAACAAGTTCTTGAATTGACCAAAAACCGGGAAGTGGAACACGCCTGCGCGAAACAGCTCAACTCAACCCAGGTGAGGTTTCACCCGACTTAGAACCGACGGGTCCGCATTCGGATCACGCATTCGGACCTCAAGCCGAGCATAGATAAGAATGAGCTCACGAACTTGTTTTCATCTCCCCAGGACATGCACCGGTTGGCTGATAAGATATCTGAGATGGCTGAAGTGATGCGGCTCGCAGCTGACATTGACGAAAACAATTCGAACTGCGCCGAGGAGAAGGTGGCCCACTATAAGAAAGAGAATGAGGTGACTACATCTTTCGATGCCTGCATGCTGATTCATGCTCGGAAATTTGTTCAGATGCTAATCCAGGCGGGACTTCCCTCAGGTCCTACGAGAGCTCCTCCAGATCGCGAGTAGTTCGGGATCCTTAAACAGAGAATCGATCGCCAACGGGTACGCGACAGTCAAGAAGAACGATTTCGCGCATCAGAGTAAAGACGTAAAAACCGAAAACGGGACCGTAATGACGCCGACAGAATCGACGAAACAGGATGAGGAGAAAGATTGTAAATAATATCAAGAGCGACTCCATCGCCCTAACACGGAGATCATATCTTGGTCCACCGATCGTCCTTTTTATCAAACTGTGAATATCTTTATTTTCCGAGATCGGAATGAGTCTATGCCGATCGAATAAAGGAGTGAGATTTCGGAACAGGGGTCGTTCATGGTGACCGTAAATCGGATTCTGTAGAACATCTGTTCGGGCGAAGCATCACGGACTGAGAAATTCGAAAGGGAACGCCATTCATGCAGTCGTGCGTGAATACACTTGCACTTCTCCATCCGACGTGCATCGATAAGGAGTCACATTTGTTGCGCCACAGTGACCTAGATCGCCGTGAGAAAACGGTACAACGGATAGACCGCTTCTTGCTTGGAAGATCTCAGTGGGGAACGCCCACAGTTCTCTTCCTGACTCATTCAGTGACAGACAGGCTGTCTGACTGGCTGAACGTACGGAGGCACACCGTCGGATCGAACGAATTGAGGAGGACAGAAACGTATAAATTCCTTTTTCCAGGGACAGGAAGAGATTCCCTTCCTTCTTCCGCCCCGGTCCTCCCCCAAGTCACGTCAAGCGGGTCTGAAATCCGATCTTTGAGGAATCTCTATGGGTCGCTGGCTCCGCCAGATACGACCGGCACTCTCCCGGATCTCGAGGATCCTCCTCCTAGTCGGGTCACTCCCCTCGAACTTGATGATAAGCCACCGGGCGGTGTCGCCAAACGATGAGGGAATCCCCCGCATCGAGGGTTCCGCTGGACTTCCCCGCAGTTTTCGAAGCGCAAAAGGAACTAAATACGTCCACGGTATTCCTTCGGGTTTGATCATCAGTCCATGGGTAATTTTTTCCGTTGGTGAAATCTCGCTCCGTTGGGATCGTGGGAGCCATATCGAACAGATTACAGAGACAAGCTGTCATGAGGGACCTTGGTCCCTGGAGTCCGCCAGGCCCCCTTGCACTGTCTTCAGGCTCATGGAATTATTTACGGGCTCGGAGAGTTGTCCCGTGAGGGCCGACATCGTGTCTCGAGCCGCTTCGGGAGCGCGCACGGCTCTGTGTCCAAGTCGTATGGAATAAATCCGAAGAAGAAGAATGCAGATTTTCACTGAAGCAGTGAGCGTCGCGCTGTAGCGACGTTCGCAAGTAGTATTCCATGCAGCGCCCACCACGAACTGGTTCGTACGTAGGAGTTATCGAAACACGTACAGCCCTCACTCGTTGGCTCGCTTGCACGTCAGAGCGGCACAGGGCGATGACTTCGGAAAACTTGCCAACTCTCTACAGGACCAAGCGACAGCGATGAGTAGAGGAACATTCACATCTGGACTGCGAATCGTCAACGGGGCGCCCTTGGCATCGGCGAGCTTCGAGTCGGGGCAAGGAACAAATGCATGAGGGATTTCGTAATGCTAAAACGAATGGTCGAATAACTCAAGACGAGAAATACAAGCCACACAATCGGTGATCCATCCGCCTGGCTAGAACGACAGCTTAATTATTGAGGACACGTCTCTTCCCAAGTTCCATCGATTTGGTCTCCAACACTTTATTATTGAGTGAGCCTATATCGTTCTTCACTCAGACACACTATAACCGATGACAGTGTTTGGACTCCCACGAAAACAGAGAAAGAAGTACCATCACTTCTCTATTTTACATCTTACATATTTACAATATAGTCAATGAGCGCGCGCGTCTAACTTGTGCGCGCCTAGAATAGGATCTAGGTGAATCTATGCATCCCAGTTGAAACATTCCATTTGCATCAGCGAGAATTGCGAAAATCATGTCAAAAAAGATCACCCGCTCAGCTAGACGATAAGGACAACAGTCGACTCTGCTTGAACGTAGTCGGGGCTCAAACCGCGGACGCAAGCTTTATGACATCGAAACTGACTCTTCACAGCTCTCAGCAAGGAAAAGCAATATGAGATATTTTCACTTGGCGGGGAGAGCATCGAAGAGGATTTCCCTCGTCGATTCGTTGATGGAATCAGGGAATTTGATGTCGAAGGATATGACCAGATCTCCTCGTTTCGAGGGGTCCTTCGGATACGGGAGACCCTGTCCATAGAGCTTCTTTATCGTGGTCGGTTTGATCACCTCGTTGTAGTTGAGCTTGACGGTACCTCCCTGCAACGTCGGCACGTCGATCCTGCATCCGGTGAGAGCTTCTCTCAACGTCACGGTGGCCGTGTATTTGATGTCTGTTCCATCGCGTTTGAAGACGTCGTGGGGTTTGTCCTTGATTATAAACACGATATCGGCGGGAGTAGTTCCAGGTGCTTGATCTCCCTCTTTCTGGAAGGTGATTTTCGTCCCAGCCTTCCAACCCGGTTTTACGTTAATTGTAAGAACCTTCTCCTCGCGTTTTGTCGCGCGTCCATCAGGCATGAGAACCTTCCTGGAAATCTTCATCTTCTTGGTGCAACCCTTGAGGATATCCTCCAGGCTGACAGATAGGTCGTACTCCACTGGGGGATCTTGTTTTGCCGGCCTCCGTGTGCCCGCGGTGAAAGATTGGGACCTAAACGCGTTATTCCTTCCACCACCGAAGAGATCGCCCTCAATGTCCATATGATCGTCGAAAGTGGAGAAACCACCACCCCGTCCGAGATTGAAGAAATTCTCGAAGGGGTTATCCGTTCCGAAGAATTGAGTGAATGTGGACATGGGATCGGTGGAGGTATAGAAGCGCGTCGAGGTCCCGCTTCTGCCGCCAGCACCATTGCCGCCTACTCCTCCCTGTCGAAGACCATCCTCGCCGAATCGATCGTATGTGTCCCGTTTCTCCTTGTTTGAGAGAACTTCGTAAGCCGAGCACACCTGCGGAAATCGAGGAATCAAGTTGAGTCCAAAGCACTAGAATTCTCCGCATCAGAATAAAAACTCTTCGCGGGAACGGATGAGTTCCTTTCCTCATCGCTACATTACTTACCTCTCGGAATTTCTCGGCCGCATCGGGACTCTTGTTCTTGTCTGGGTGGTATTTCAAGGCGAGTCGTCTGTACGATTTTTTGATTTCTTCCAAAGACGCAGATTTGGGCACTTCTAGGACTGCGTAAAGATCTTTTCCCATTTTCTGAAAGTCAACGAACACACAACGGTTAGAGGCAGAGTCCTTGAGCACAAACGATCTCCCGCTCAGTCAGCTAAGACCTGGAAACTCACTACGACCATGGCTACGCCTTGTTCGACAAACTGTCTCTTGACTCGGGGTGTACGCTACTATGAATATCGGCCAAGCGATGTTCGAGCAACGTTGCAGTTTTGAGAAAGGGTTCACGTTGCACCGGAGAGAGAGGACGGGCTGTGACTCAGTTTCTGAAACCTCGTGGGATATTTCTGGCGAGCAGCGACCAGCCGTCTGTAAGCCGAGGTGGTCAATAGCACCTCCAATGACCTCATTGAACGTCACGGATCCGGAACCTCGACGTCAGCTCTGGATACATTTTGGCAAGAAAACATCATTCACAAACTCGAACCTCTAGCGAGCGGCGTCATAAGTGAGCTCTGGAAAATTTATGTGCCGCTTCTGCCCTATATCCCTCCTGACATATTTTTGCTCCGCGATACAATCAGGTAACGTTCCCGAAGCTTCCGGGAGGAATCGGCACGACTCCGTTATCTCCCACGCACAAACGCTGAGCCACTTCATGGTTTCTAATTCTGGGTCAATCGGACCGGTACAGTATCCGGCTCATTATATCGCTGATGATATTCCGGTACAGTAATCATGTAGGTATCGAGGAGCATAGAATCGAGAAGTCGTTCCCAACCGTTCCGTCCGAACGCTTCACGTGAAGCAGCTAATTTGCGCAACGAGGCGCGCCGTGAGTAACTCGTGAGAGACCAGCATCTCGGGGTGGTGGCGAAACGCTGTGTCTTCTCTGTTTCGAGCAGCCATCGGGGAAGAGCCCGCCAAACAGCTCAGACGTCAGAGTTCGAGTCGGTTGCCCAAAAAGAGAACTACGACCGGCGGACTGAAGCAGAGGCACACAAAACGCAGTACATACAGCAGAAACAACATCTCGAGGTTCAACTGGTCGTCGATCACTTCCCGCGAAGCACCCCGAATGGGTACTTCTTTATTCATCGGGGGCGACGAGCTTGGAATGCACTCCGTGTGTAAAGGAAAGATCGTAATCGAAGCAGCCACCAGCTGACAAGAGGAATGTTCCAGAACGTGCTAGCTCCATCCAGCGAGAGATTGGCGCTCTGTACACTGTGCGGGTCCCAAAGCGCTCCAGCTCCAACGAGAGGGAATTCTCTCGATGAAAGCTCGCGGTTTATCAGAACTCTGCTGAGTCGAATTCGCGGAAAAATGAACTTGAGCGCGGGACGTGCTAGAATCCCGGCTCCGCATCTGAGTTCGACCGATCACTGCCTCCTCAATCGACCGCGGAAACCGACGATCTGAGCGTCCGGATCCCACTCCAGAAATCGAAATAAACTTCAACTCCATCCTATGGTCTTTCCAGGCGCTGATGTCCATGCTTTTCTCCGCCGATTCGTGGTTGGAGACACACCTGAGATTCAAATCCGTCTCGAACGTGGCTCGATCGACTACCAGAAGGGCTTACACCCGTCGAGAACAAATAATCAAACTGTGTCCGTCGTGCGCGCGAAGCTTCAGTCTGATGTCTGAAGGCAAGCTCTAGAGAAAGCATGTAGGTCGCGCTGCCTTCCGAGCCTACAGCCTTAAACAGCGGTTCTGGACCACTGTCGTCAAATGACGTCAAAGAGACATTCGCCACTCCTAACGGTGTTTTGCTTCACCACATCTTCGAGCGGTCTGCGGTTTAGCAAAAGGGAAACCGCGTAACGCAAGTTGACGGAAGCTAAGCGTCCCATAGTTCAGCATCTTCGTGCTTTGATCAGAGGATGTTCGATCGAGAGCAGTGAAAGTTGGTGACTTACCTCTTCAGAAAAATCGAATCTTCACCAGGATTTTGGTAAATTAATGCTACGGTGAGAAAGTCGCACAGAATATTTCCTCGTGACACTGAACGGATATTCCCAAAAACACCGTTTGTTAAACGCGATTTTCACTTCTTGTCCCGAGACCTTGTATATCGAAAATGTGTGACGGTCGTAGGCAGTAGCAGACTTCTATGCTCTTCGAATGTTCTAGAGCAAAACACTGGACAGGTGGCTCCACCTGGGGGGCGAGACACGGAACTCGGATGGATCGCGCGCGAAGCTTCCCGACACGTCGAGCGCATTCGTGATTTTCAGAGGATTTGGAGGAGCGCAAAATGCGCAGAGGAAATTTCCGACGATCGTTTCTTGACATCCGTTCGTCCTGATGAGTCAGCTCTTCGATTGAGCGGGGATATGACCATCCGGCTTCGAGGGTCCACCCCGTCGGAGGAGCATGACCGTGGAGCTCCCAGGGTAACGGTGCGTTCGATAGGTCAAGGGCCTTGACTCAAGGCCCGAGTCATGAGTCAAGGCTCCCGGGAAGGGGCCCCCACTGGGGGAGTATGAGCAAACTTGAGAATGGGCGGTCAGAATATTCACTCATAGAGACGAGGCCTCGAGCAGAATTCTATGTAACATCGAGATTTTGGGCCGCGAAAGTCTTCCCGTTCGCGAAATCCGACTGGCGCGGGGGAGGAGCTCCTTCTTCCCGCGAGTCGGCTTCGGCGCGATGATGGTCCTTCCGGATTCTAGATGTGCTACGAAGCTTTGGAGGCTCTTCTGAGAGCTCTGAGGTTTCCCGAGTAATAGGGAGCCGAGCAGAATACGGAGCCCTTTTTGGGACTGCCACCTAATCGCGCCCCCAATTGTGCTTTGATTCCGAGACAAGGCTGAGCGAGAGAGCTTCGACAGCCACGGGATGTCAAGCGACTCGGGCGGATTTTTATTTCATGACCTTGAACAATTCTCCGCAGGTTTCTTGTGACGACAGGGAACTGGGCATCTTGCATCTGTAGATGTCGTTCGTTATTGAGAAGCCTTCGTCAGAGTCATTCATGCGGCCGGCCCCCACCGAAGCGGTCCGCAGGCGGGAAGGTGCGCTCCTCTCTAGGTCTAAAATCACGGACCTTAAAGAGTTAACTGTGCTTTTCCAATCGATCCAAGAATTCACAAGTACAAACGTCCGGATGAGCAAGAGATGAACGAGCTTGATCAGGTTATCTTGCATTAAACTTTCGAAAACTCATTGAGTTCCCCGGCTTCCATCAGCTAAAAATATTTCGGATTCCCCAACCAAGCTAAGCTCACCGAAGGCCATTCATTAGGCCGTCGATGCTTGAAGCATGAGCATCGATGGATTTCTCCTAAGCACAATTCATCTCCTTCAGTTCTAAGATTTCACGCGTCAAAAGAGTGTATCGCGCCGCGCTGCTATCGGGCCGCTCTTGTTGGGGTCCTCCACGAAACGAAGTAATTCGGGAATAGGGGAGAGATAAGAGTCTGATGTCAGAAGAAGCAGAAATTCTCAAGAAAGGGTTCTTACTTAGTGTGGGGGGTACGAGGGACACGAAACCATTTCTCGTGCCTAGCATTTCCCCTGATGGCCGGAACTCGGAACCCATGCTTTTAGCAGGTGTTGTCGAAGCTCTCCGGTTGTCCGTCCCGCAGATCCGTCATGGCTAGGGCCTGTGAATTTTTCACGGACCGCCATATTTTTGCAAGTCCCCGCGGTTTTTCTCTGATACTTCATCGAGATACAATAGAGGCTGCGAAATACCCTAGACTCCATCAAGAATCAACGCGAAGAATACGCACACTGGCACGTGGCAGACTGACCAGTGATGTCGGAGAAAGGAATTCATCTGAACATTCTGGTAGATTGTCTCCATCACATCTTGTATCGGGCCACAATCTCGTGAGTAGCCGATATCTCAAAGAGAACGGCATATCCCCACATATCATCTTCAAGCGCCCTCTCGAGTCCAATTTTTGGATGACGACTTTCCAAGGTCTTCTGACCTCCCAATTCGGTTTTCCGTGGACCCCACCCACGCTGGGCTCCTGAGGATCGATTCTCCGCTTGACTGTCCAACTCGAGGTAGATTGCTAAGGAAATGGTACATCGGGAGGAAGTAACTCGATCATCGCGATGTCCGCTGCCACCGGATTTCAAGATCGGTCCCCGTCACATGGGCTTAAGCTGCATCGGAACCCCCTTCGAATGATTCAGTAACGGGCCCGAAGCGAGAGAGGGAGATCGAAGGGATTCCCGAGTAGAGGATGGATTCCAAGAGGATCGCTCGGCCTTCGCAAGGTTACTGGTCAGCGTATTCCGAGGGGAGTAACAATAGAAGGAAGGAGCTCGCCAATTATCATTATTCCAACCCTATGCAGTCTCCGAAGTAATCCACCGGAGAATGCCGCGCCGGCGCCGTGGAGGGCGAGAGGAGCTCAGCTCATCAAACCTCATCTGCCTAATTGGTGAGAGGCGTGCTCCTACGATTTCGAGCATGAGATAACGATCTCATCTGTGCTTCTTAGACGAGGCACTAAGTATCCACTGTTCATCCAGGCGCAACATGGGAGAAGAGCATAATGTCAGCGATACCGGGGACAATCAGCGAAAGCTTCAGCACCTCAAATTAGGCTCCGAAGAATTCACAGCTTCATGAGCCAATCATTGTTCGCGAGCTCTGGTATCTACATCCGGTTGGTATCAATTATACCACTGGTTGGCGCGGAACATAAGCCTTGATGTCTAATTGTGGGGTACTCGATTTTCGTTCGGCAATAAATTGGGAAGAGTAAATTGTTCACAACGTCATGTGTCCGATTCACGCATTTATTGAAAGTCGATATGCTCTCGCGATGGTCATTCAAGCAAGGGGAAAATCGGCGACCATTGTCACCGACTCCCCGGAAGCAACGCTAGATGGAATCATGATATCACGATATACTCGCTATGCCAGACCGATCATGATCGAATGGTTATCATTGATTTCAGAGCTTTTGCCAAAATCAGGATTCTATGATTACGAGTGCCGGATCCAGAACGGATCAAACTGCAAACGATATACGGAACTTCATGACCATGACGATGGCATGATTTGGACATCAACATTGACACGGGCATGAGAATGACCACGCGCCCATGATACGACCATGATAAGACCTGGATTTTTCCGAGGCTGAGGCGCGGAACGAGCACTCATCGTTTGTCTGCGTGTGCTGCGAGACTTATCGTGCTGCATGCGCCGGCTCGGAGCTAGTCGGGTCGGCGTCTCTTTGAGCTGCGCCGGAATGCTTCATGGGCTTCAAAACGGAGAGAGGTACCGCGATGCCCTCTGACGGCGACCGGGAAGCCAATGGGACCGCTAGTATCCACGACGAGGGGGACAAAGAGAATGAGCTCTTTAGACCGAGCGTCTCAGGAGGAGCCCACGTTCCCCATTCTAGGCTTCCGTGGCTATAGATATGTGTGCCCTGGGACAGGGGTGTCGGACTTAAATTTTTGGTGGGCCACATTCGACCGCTACAGGTACCCGTGGGCCACGTTAAAAATTTACTTCCTCATAAAAGGAGAACATATGCCTATGGTCCATGGAAGTATGCTTTTCCACCCTCCGGGGATCGAGGCAAAACTCGTCTGTTCGGTCTTAGGGAGGGATTCATTCCACCGACCTCATTCAATACTCCCGTGGAGCCTTGGAGACGGCGGATATTTTCTTATGGAAGATATTTTCCCCCCTCGCCTCCTGGAGCACGTCTGGGAATCATGTTCCAATTGATGCGTTCCAGCCAGTCCCAGCGCTCGAAGACGAGAAGATGGGCACTGACGACTGGGCATTGAAGTACCTACGTTGTGGGAAGCGGGAAGAATGATCACTATTCCGAGAATGAGACCCCCCTTGTTGAGACTTGGAGACGAATGATGATCGACGCTACCACTGCAGATTCTGGTGATATCGCCCCCCGATGTTTTGGAGATAGTCCGCCTTCGCCGGTAGATCCGCATGGCCCTACCGTGACACGCGAAGGAGCACCGATGATCGGCGCCGGGGGAGAACGTATCTGAAGGTGAATCTGACTCATTCAGACCCAGGACATGCTTTAAAATGTACATTTCCTGAGCGGGGATGGCCACTGAATCGGTGTGGCGGGACCGCATGCGACAGGACTGTATCGCTGAATGTTTGCGATCACCCGCTGGATGTAGGACTAGACGGATCTTATGCAAATCCACGGCAAGAATGTAGCTGCCGACCGACTGAGAGCTGATCTGCAGATTAAATATCGGTACCGGAACCATCGAGAAGCCTGAGCGAACTTAGATGGTGAACGATTTTGGAATTGTCGGAAGTCCACGAGCCCTACGAAATATGGCATCATAGTCCCCTAGAGAATGCCGACTCGAGCTACCGAGCCGGAATGGCACCAGAGCTCGCATTACTCAGCCCAGCGGTATTCATTCTTCAGGAGCTCCGGCGCAAGCGTAGCCGATCCTCCCGGGTTCTATTTACGCAGACCTCGAGGCTTCGAGTCAGGATTAACCAAAACAACCAACGTCAAGTCTAAGAGATTTTCGATTCTCAGGGGATGGTGCACTATTCCAGGACAAGATGAAAGGGCTGTCTGGCTCACGACGGCCGCGGTCCCAAGGCCCAAGACCGCGGGCTGTCCCAAGGGCACCGACCCGTTCCCGTTCTTTTCCTCTTTGGCTGAATCGAATCTCGACTTTTCTTCACTCCCAATCGCTCTCCGCCGACGTGCAGTTGCGTGAGGCATTCAGGGGAGCTCCATACTCGCACACGCCTAGGGAGGTTTCGCATGATCATCACCTGAGAGCGCGATCCGGACGACACGAGTGCATTTTCAGGCGTCGAATCGGTCCGAATAGGCGCCTCATTCGAATTGATTGGTGAGCTTTTCTCTCGCATGGGCATGCAAGACTCGGAGTCTTAGAGTCCGATTCCGACTTGAGAAGCCTCAACTCAACGCCAATTTTGAGCTCTGCAATGCTGAAAGCCGCGCCGTGATGGGGAAGAACCCCAATATTTAATTGTTCGAGGCAATGTACATATGAAGGTGATCCTCTCGTTCGCGTTGGTTACCGCTAAGACGGATGCTGAGCCCAAGCCCTCACGAGCGTTTCCTCGAACATTGACGAAGGTCAGACATCCGATCGGAGTGGATTACGAAATTATCAAGCCTTGAGCTGTCCGATGTGGTTTAAGCTTTTGGTCGGGGGACGCGGATCAGCTACTTCTCTGCCAGCTATCTCGAGCTATACCTTACGAGCGACGATTGCGCACTGTTGGCAGGACTCCAAGAGCCTCGTGGGTTGATTTTCTTGCGATGATGGAGTCTCTGTCTCGCACTAACTTTTGATCTGGATCAACTTCGATGTTGACTCGAATGCTCGCCGAGCAAATTTGATTTGTTCGGATGAGAAGAGGGGCACACGATTTGTCCCGATATTAAATCGCGTTCTATCCGAGTAAGATCACGACAAGTCGAAAACTCAACCCCTCAAAGCAAGACTGAGTTTTCCTTGGTCGATTCCCCAAAGCAGAGCCGCAAGCGGGTCCTGCGAGAGAGAAAACAATCATAAACACAATCAAGCCGATCACGAATGACGGACGGTCTAGTGACCTGTGAGTCTGATCACGCGAATCGTCTCGCGGACAATATGCGGCGGAGGCGAGACGCAACATTGCGGGAAGAGTCTCGGTCAGGGTAATGACCTGGGTTTTGGCGAGGCACACCGTCAGGGTTTTCGCCCGGGCTCCCGTCCGAGTTTCCGTCATCCCAAGTCATCCGAAAATAATTGATGCTCTCGCGCGCCACTTTGCTCCGAAATTTTCGCATTGGATGCTAGTATAAGATGATTGGCTGTCAGCTCTCTCTGGAACATCCAAGAGTTGCGACGTCACGATAAGATCTAAATTCTTGAAACTCGGCGCTGTAACCTGACCTGGAAGATTCGAGTCGACACATCGGATCCCACAAGGTCGCAGCAGAAATCGAGCCGTATGATTCATCATATCAAACTCTAAATCCCCGTCGATCCGATGTACATCATCAAATGAATCATCTTTTGAGTCGTACGTATTCGATGGCTTATCGGAGACTTCTCTTCAGCTCGGAGCGTCTGATTTCTAAGGCTTCGACCAGTGCTCCGCCTCCTCCACTCCGGAGGAATCCTCTCCAGCCTCGGTTGCAGTCGTGAGCTTGAGCTGAATGGACCTACGCATTTCCGAGAAACAATGGGGACCCACGAGCAATCCCTGTCATACGTACCTGAGACTACGTCAGGATGTCGCGCAATGGTTCACTGAGCTCCCAAGGAAACAGCAAGAGGAGTCGAGATCGATTTGATCGAGAAAAAAAATGTACCGCTTCCTAGCGCACCTTGGTGCATGAGCGCGGCAACGACTATTAGCGGAAGGTTTGAGTTTTTTACAGCCACCAGAGAGCTTGAATTCGTTCTCCCAGGCTCGGCCAGAGCCTTTTTAATTAGCCTCCCTGCAGAATCTTGCGTAAAGTTCCTCGGAGAAACCCATCTCTGGCGCTGTACGGCGAGCGCCTCACCGCTCAGCCCGCCGTTGTGTGTTGACCGTGCAGGATGATATTAGGAGCTATGTTGCAGGTGTCTCCTTTTGCCCTTCCAATATAAGTGAGTGTGTTTTCTGTGCGTACCCTCACCCTCCTCTTGAGGGACCTCTCCCGGCTGCGAGACTCTCCGCCGTTAAGCTCTTCGAGTCTCCGAGTTCGAACGTTCGCTGCTGGGAAGGCCGCGGTCGCATCAGCTGATTGTGTTGAGTTAGAGGCTTGGAGTGCGATATTTTCACCATGTCCGTGTAGTCGAGCATCAATGATGTTATCGGCTTTGAGGAAGCTCGCGGTGTCGCTGCCTGCGAGCTTCGAGCCGGCTGGTAGGCGTTTCTTCAATACGTCGTGTATTGTGTTCTGCTCTGAGAAACTACCGGAAGACGAGGAAGTTTTAATCACAAGGCATCAAGCCAAGGATCTCATCTATCGACTCCATCAGAAAGAGCGAAGGATCCTCCTGGAGGAACTGCAGCGATACAACACGCAGAACGCGCAAGGTGAGGCAAGGGTAACTGAGCGTCTTTCCTCTCGAGTCGCTCCGCATATCTCCATTGCGGATTGAGTGAAACCTCTTCCTCTCAATCTCACCTGTGTGTTCGATCAAGCTCGGCTCCCTCTAATTGATTAGCCGGATTCCTCTCTCGGAACTCGATTAAAGATCTTCAGAGAGTAGATGTTGATAAAAAGAGGGAGGGCTGTAATGAGATGCTTATCGGAGGTTCACCCGACGAGGGACATGTGTGGGGCTCGATCTGCTCTCAGGAGGGGTGAGAACGCGCGCTCGTTCGTATCTCGTTCTGTTATTGCAGATTCGAATATTTTTCCGCAGCACCCAGTTCCTCCGGGGTATTCGAACCCACTGCCGCGCCAGAGCCGGTGCACGCGCTTCAGGGTCGAATCCGCTGACGGAGCCCGTGATCATGACGAAAGCCTCCTCCAAACAAAAATTCGTGCCATGTCTCTCATGCACCGAATCGAGCTGTCATAGTCAGAGGTGACACCGAAGCCAGTCTCACTGCGAGCGTGAAGTGAAATGAGAAAAGAGTAAATAAGAGAGTCATCGAGTCAGCGCGCCGCTCTGAGAGTGTTGGTATTCCCGCTGCCGCCAGGCTCTGCGCTCTCGGTCCCTCCAGAGATACCTCAATCGGTAAAATGGATCAGATTATCGGGAACTCAAATGTTATCCTCTCTGAGGTGCGTCTCAATCAATTAGAGTCGTCAGCATCGGATCCGCTAGCAAAACTCCGGAATGCGTCGTGTTTCACAGGAAATTAATTTTGGAAGTACAACCTCGTGAGATTCCTTGTTGTTTATCGATGCGCCATAAGCATTCATCGCCCCGATCCGGTCCTGAGTGACGCGGTTCCGCTCCGGCTTCATTCTCGGGTCTTCTTGCAAATGAGTGGAGAATTCCGAGAGCGAAAATGGTAGGAGTTCCATGCTCATAATTTCCTCTCAATGGAAGGGTCCTTGACGGCGAAACAGCGGCCGACGCTAGTTGGAAGTCAAGCCCTGGGTGTTTATGGTTGTTTCTGAAGCAGGCCGTCGGTGATCTATCGCGGTGCCCGGGAGGAACATCTACGGTCTATAGGCAGGGAGATGTCCTTAACTTACCACCCGAAACCTGCGTCAGCAGGGTGACGAAATCTTGAATGAATAGGAAATGCCCGACACTTGAATAACATCATGCGAATCCACGTTATTTTCCGGAACTTCAAGGGTCGATCACGGCTTCGGAAAATGGCCTGGTAGAGAACAAGAAGCCCATCATCTCCACGAAAGTCTCGAGGGTCGGATCGAGAGAACCATGCCTCGAATTGAACGCGGAATAAAATGGCAACATGGCCTTCCGCGGGATGTTCTTCCAAGGATCTTTGCTCTACGAGCTCCTTACTCTCGATAAGCAGTCTGTGAGGTTCCCGACCCCAGAACCCCGTGAGATACACACTCGTACCGCGGTCTGAAAAAGTTCCCTCGCTCCGGAGCTTCGCGGGAGCGTCGTCTGGCAGGAGGCTCAACGGGGCGGGATCCGCTCTCGATAATCCGAGACTTCTAAGGCCGAATGGAAAACTTCGAAATTTCAAAAGGTTCCGATCCTATCGACGAAACCGACGGCGGAGCAGTTCCCGGAGTCCAGCTGGCAGATCCGGAGAAGCCGATCCGAACCTCAAGGAATTCAGCAATGGGCGGGAGACGTGCTCAGATTGGGATCTGGTGAGGATCGGAATCTGTCCGGAACGAGGGAAACTGCTCTCGGGAGAACAGTACCCCATTCCTTCTGAAATGAGTATCACTCTCGAACGCCGGCTCTCGCTCGTGTTGTGTGCTGTCGTGAGGCGAGGACGAACGCCTACCTTCCCCAAAAAGGCGTCCTTGCGCGTTGGGAGAGTATCTTTTTCTTGGTCTCCCTATTGGAAACCGGCCTGGAGCAGGATGCCACTCACCTGAATACATTTCCGCTGAATCGAATCTTTTGAAGAACGATCCTGAAATTGAGCGACGGCCTGTCTGTCCACGGGGCGAATGGTGGACAGGAATTTCGTTCTTCGTCCAGAAACACTAAAAGTGTCACACGGGAAGCTTATCGGCGAAGGCGGCCCCTTTCCTCCGAAACTTTCCTCCGATTGGATGCTCAAGATTCGGAATGCTGTCAGGAAACGGAAAAGGGCTGGGTGCTGCGCCCCGGATCCGAGTATCTCTGAGTAGATCCGAGTATGGCACCGATCCGATAGTTTTCCATCCCCGTCGAATGCGAGGTCGCGACGTGAATATTCCTGAGGACCCTTCCGACCTATTCCGCGGCGCGCCGGGGGTCCTTGGGATCGCCGAAAGTCCGCCACCGCCGCCCGTTTTCCTGCCCGCTGCCGCCGAAAATCCTTCAGCGCACAGCTCTGAAACGGAAAGTAGCAGGCAGAAGAATCTCTGGAGTCAAGGTCCCTCGACGTGAACGCTCGCCCGCAATGTTCATGTGCGATGGAGCGTTCGGGGGGCGTTCCGTCATAGCGCACGTGTCGCGTCGGGATACGAGAGGGAGCAATACGGATGGATAGATTTCTCCTTTTCTGGTTTCGACTTGATTCTCATGATGAGGGTTCTCTCGTCTCCGTTCAATGATGGAGCGGAGGGGAGAGCCCGTGCCGTACGACTCCTGTTCCCAAATTATCCGCAGAGCTGGGAACGGCCTCCGCTCAAGGTCATTTCGTTCATGAAGCACCGGCCTTGCTCCTGGCGGAAACGGAATATTCAGCTCCTTGATCCGGAAAAGAGCTCGTCGTGGGGGTGGACATTGTGTGGCGCGAATGGGACTTCGGGGTCCCCTTTTCTGCAGGAACGAGATGAAGAGATCACCCGAGGCCAAAGTTTCCAAATCTGTCGGAGCAGTTGTCTCTTGGACGCAGGAATACCGTTTCGGCGGATACGGATGAGAATCTTCGCCTGCAAACAACGGGCAGACCAAAGCCGGAAGCTCCGGATGTTCAAGGCAGAACCATAGGGTAGATTTCGCGATGAGCAAGATTCCTCAAGTATCCGTGTTGATTACAGAAAATGTCCTAAGCAAAAAAATACGAGGAAAAAAGTTTAATCAAAGTCATCTCCATCCTCTACAAAGCCGAAGGTTTGCGACATAGTAGGTGGATTCTGCAGCCATTGTAGAGTCTTATATCGCCCAAAAACTCAGGAGCTGAAGAAACGACCAGTTGACTGTTTTCGGAGCACACCATTCGGCTGAATTTTGTGTTCTGCCTAAGGCTGCCATCCGAATGTCCAGGAAGACCATTGTTCCGATTGCAGCTCGCAAGCTAATGCAATATTATGAGACTGTTTCTCTTCCTCGAGGCGCGAGTCTATTGCGCGTGAGCATTGTTTCTCGGGAATTTTTCATCGTGGAGCAATAGAGGAGCTTGACCTCGGCGGTGCCCCCGGATTTCTTCCGACGACTCACCATGGGACTCATGCTGGAACGAAGATGACTTCCCTTTTGTGACGTTCCGCGTCCAAAGCACAAATCGTATCTGTGACAGTACACTTCGGTGCCAAAAAATCCTCTCTCTCAACCTCTCGAAGGGAAAATCGGGACAACATTGTACATCGAGACATCGCACTAGTTCGTGAAAGCGCTTTTCCAATCTTGGCAGAGGAAGATCGGTTTCGACGTCCGAGGACCAAAGCTTCGTGAGAATTCCTTCGAGTGAATTCGTGCAGTCCGGTTCGTGGAAATGATAAGTTTCCGATTCAGCGCAAGCTCTCTTGACCTTCATCGAGGACAGGGGCTACACGGGACGGAGACTTTTTCCATGGACTCGATTCGGCTCCAGTCCACCGCAGCTGCTCAATCGAGTCGCGTTTCTTCTACGATCTTCTCGGATGCTCACCTGTGCTCGCTTAGGAAACTTTGGTGAGCCCCCCGGATCCAATAACCATTATTCTTTAGGTCCTCATTTCGAAACTTTGGAGTCCTGCAATTCCGGCAGACGAGCGAAAATTAGATGGGAGTGGAGAGCAAGAGGAATCGGCCTGCTGCATTGCCCGAGGAGGCTGAGCTTCCGTTCGTGGATAATTACAGTGTATGTCTCTTGCATTAGCGCCCGAGACCATTTAGATGAGGTGCTCCCCCCAAACCTCCTAACCCGTCGGACCAGCTCCCCCAGTCACCGGGTTGGTCTGGGGAATGTTTTTCAACTGACGATTGAGAGCTTGCCCTTCCGGCTCGCAAAAGCAGATGTAAATTTTTTTCCCGGAAATCTCCTCATCGGTACGTGCTCGGGCCAGCCTTCGCGAGGCTGAACGACACAGCATTGTCCCGACTCAGCACTTGCGTCAGCCGCCCCTATGGTCCCTAGAGCGGGCGACTGAAACCGCGATCCCTCATCAAGCGTTCCGCGACTTGAGGCTCGAACGACTTTTTTCCTTGCGGGACCCTTCCCCGAACCGCTCGAAGCGTTCCGTAGACGAGTCGCATGCTCTTGCAGCTAGAGGATGGCAGATCGCGAACCTACCCGACCGAGGTCGGTAGAGTAATCCTTCATCTGTTCCTTACGGCTCTGAAATAAGTCCACGGAAATTTTCACAGTCAGTCGGTGCCGCCGGGACAGATCATAAATGAAATGGTGTGCGAAAGACCGCGGGTTACGGTTTGTCTCGCTCTCTGCGAATGAATTATTGACTAGGAAGAACCACGGCAAGCGGATGCCTTGTGAACGCGGCTCAGGAACAAACAAACAAGCTCCCTCCGAGGGGTCGTAGGCGGGCGACTGGTGTTCCCACCAGGGATAATTGAAAGCGGAGCGTTTTTTGCGGAAGTCGAGATCCAATCCCCAGTAGCACACACGAGAGGGCCCGGTGGATTCGCGGCGTTTTTCGTCACGTCCAGTTCGAGTTATTGCACACCGTCAAGTCAGAATTTGTCGTAACTCTGCAAGACCCGGACGCCACTCCAAGCTCGGAATTGTTTCGGCAGAGTCGTTCTCGGGAGCTGGATCCCGGGAAAAAGATCAGAACGCCTCGGAAACGTATTTCCATCTAAACTCATTTTGTCGAGTCCAGTGCAGAGATCTGCTCGAGATTATTTCAAGCGAAGGGTGTGCGAAATTCCGCTCGTTTCCGCTGCTCATGCTGCTGACAGGTGTGCTCTGACAAGCGAGCTACGCTTTCGGCAGACCTACGCTCTCGATCCACCCTTTGCCCACAAGTTACCGTCAGAGAGATTCCCACGTAAATGTCTGCGGCCAGGTCGGCTCGCTTCTTCGTGGTCGCAGTAGATATGGTGCACCGTATCTACTGCGCTCAGAGCCGCCATGGGGACCACGATGCCACGTTAAATGTCGCGAAAGCGTATGCGATTGTTCTAGAAACACCGTGGCGGAGCGTGTAAGGCTCGAAGAATGTGAGCTCGGCAAGCGACTTTGGCGGCCTCAATGGGCAGAGGGCAGACCCGTTTAGCACGAGGGGCATGACAGCGTCGCGTCGTGCACACGGCGAGGGCGATCAGAGTGATTCGATGGAATCTCTAGGCGGCTCTCAATCTTTTCCCATATATCATTCCGTTGCTCGTCATCTGGGGAGCAATCGGGAAACATTGAACAGCTCCGCATCTCTCCCATTGCCCTCCCTCCTCCGCGCGCAGATATTGACGGCAAATCATTAAATGTCTGCCCGTCCCTGATGGCGGAGCTAAGCCGAATACGAAGGTCGTTAAGTAGCTTGTTCATCTGAGAGCGACACTTCTGAGAGGAGGTACGCTATACCATAATCGTCTTCCGTCACGCGTAACGTATTGGACACCGACCCCTCGCCGATGGCTTCGTGCCTCGTGGAGGAGGCTCTCGTGACGAGCATGAAAAATTATTATCGAGGCGAGTCCGCTCAAATTGTCGCCTGGCTTCTGGAGGGAAGCTGAGACGATGAGATGCGCTCCTTTGTAGGACTCGATGAGCGGCGGATAAGACTTCCTCGGTGCGACGCCGACGTCCTGTGAACTCCGGGAGCTAATTGTGCCCCTTTGCTCACAGGCACCTATTGGATTGTTCTGCTCGATCGGGGAATCGATCTTGGACGAGTGCATTCGTGTTTGCAGGCGTGTCTCGTCTCGATTGGGATTCTCAGTGCCGATCCGAAGTTTCGCATGCAGAGAAAGTTCCGCCTCAATCGATAAATCCCTTGGGGCTATGATCAAATCACACAGGAATGATGAGCTCGACGAAGATCTCTCATACATATGTACATGCGACATCTCAGGCATACCGGAGCGAGGCTCGATCAAGAACTGTCTCTCAGCGAATATAGAAGGTCCAGGCTCCGTATGTTTGACCTGTTATTGCATGAGCTTCCCTGGGACGAGTCCCTCTCTCTATTCATGCTTCCGCGTAGTCACCAATCACCAAGCTCCGAGGGCGGGTCCAGTAGATGTTTTGTAAACAGCAAATGAATCCGGCAATCATCACTTGTAGGGATTGGCTTTGATCCAACGCTCCCCGAGCAATATATGGCGCTTTCAAGAGAGGCAGCGAAACTCAAGCTAAGGCCGGAACGCTGAGTTAGCCCCCTTGATGATATGATTGCCAAAAGTCTCTCTCGCGGCCGGCCCCTTTCAGCTCACAGCTTCATCTCTTTGCACAACACTTGCGGGTGACGCTTTCCCAGCGGGATTTGCGCAGAGGGCGAAGGCCCAGCAACGTTCTCGCATGAGCCCTCCGAAAGAACGAACTTTTCCCGATCCGCAATAAGGCCAGCTCGCAATTCTTGAGTCTTATAAATATTCGAAAGCTCACTAGTCGAGCTCGTTCTCTCAGGGAACCAAAATTATCCTAATGAGCATTTTCCATCACGGGAGTCTCAGCCGCCTGGAATTCCCTACCCATACGTTCCCAGAAGGGAAGTCTTTCCGAAGCAGACTGCCAAAACGAGCTCTCGCCGAGATTAGATTCCGACATAAAGTTTTCGATTGTAGACCTGCAAAAGTTGTGCTTCACTTCGAACCAGAAATCGGGGCGGATATCGGTCTCCCGAGGCATGAGCGAGAGATGGGGATTCGGGAAATGCCCAATTTTTCTCCCGCTGTTTTTTTTTCTATTGTCTGAGCCAATAGATCTGAGAGAATTGTTCCTCTGAATTCCCGTCCTCATTTTCACGAAATGAGCTCTTAGACTCTCGACGGAGGACGCAAGCCCCGATAGGGAGCGAAGCTCTCTCGCGTCGGTATCTCGGAGAGGGAAAAGTGTTTCATCTCTCGGAGGGAGAGTTAAGCATTGGATTCTAAACTCGCAGCACATCGCGGTCTCAGATGGACTCGCTCAGAGAAATAATAGGGAACCTCAGCTTGCCCGCGGAATCCTTGTCGAAGAATCGAGGAGGAAGGGGGAGATATGAGCGAGCACGAGAAAGATGTACGCATATGCTAGAGCCTCTCCGCGGAGGCTGTATCAGAATAGTTTCACCGAAGCTAGACGCAATACAGTTCCCTCAGGATCGAGACCCAGATCCAGCAAGCGGACTGGAAAAAGAGAAAACATCGTTCAGCGGTATCCGGTTCCGCTCAATCTGCTGAATGATGAGTCCCCCATTTGCAAGAGCTTTGACGTCTTGGCGCTCTCCTGGAGTTTCGGAAAGTTTTCGTAAAAATTCTCGACAGGTTTATTATTGAGCCCACTCCGGGCTATCGATAGGATCACATTCCCTCCACCTTTGATGATTCCCCCACCGTTCAACCAGGGCGTGAATACGTCGGCTGATACCCGCTGATTCTACCCTCCATCGCCTCCGAGGCTATCTATCAGTGAAGAGTCTCGCTTCGGTTTGGGCTGATTCTAGTGAGGCCGAGCTTCTAATAACTTGCTTGATCAAAGAGCTGTAGCTCCGATCGGATTCTGGGCCCGAATTCGGACTGACTGTGTTCTTGAACGTCAGGTCAGATCCGAAGCTCTCTCACCCCGCAGCCCCCTAGGGGGAGAGATTCCCCTATTAGGAGATTGAGTCAGATGCTGGGCATGCTCAGCCGATTTAGCGATTCAGTCGTATACCTTCCTCTGCGCACCGAGGAGTCGATGCATCCTCCGGAGTCCTCCTCTGTCCCGGGCTCGCTGTGAACTTAAGACAAACCACGCGAAGCGCTAGATCCCTCACAAAAAGCTGCCGGCCGAAAAAAAAATTCACAGTATGCTCTGCTCAACTTGATACGAAGTACGACTTCCCATTATCAGACCAGTAGTTAGCTATTGATCCGACTTCCGAACGGGTTTTCGGACATTAATCGCGATATTATCGCTAATCGTCTTACGGGAAGAGATTTCATCATAGCCCTTGCACAGAATTTCTGAGATAATTTTCGCCACCAACTGATCGGACAACAGCCTCTGGTCACGGTTAATGGAACGTTTACGTTGAATTTCTCCACCGAATCTTTGCGGAAGCGCCCCATATGTGCAGAAGAGGAAGTCTCTCCTCGGACGATAAAGACTACTTTCGAATTTTCTCCGATAAGATTACCGTTTCTCGTCGCCCTTTGTACGCAATGTATTCCCGGAAGTCGACTTCGATACGTGGCCGAGCTGATATTGAGTCATCTCGCGATACACTGTCTGCCGTCCTTTGGATCCGTTGTTCGTCTATCTGGCAGCGATTCCACTGAAAATTACGAAAGAGGTCAGGGAGAGGAGCGGGCCCCACTTCCGCCTCTAATCCGGGAGTCTCCTCGTCGCCTCCGGGGCTTACGAATGGACTCGGCAGTTCCGGAGGAGCGGAAAATTACACCCCTGAATAATGAGATTCTCAGCCGGACAAATGATGTTTTGAGCGACCTTGGAGGATCGCGGAAGGATTGATGCTTATGTTTCTAGAACGGATGGCTCGAATATGGATACATTATCCCTGTTGCAGGTCAAGAGAAGCACGAACCTCCCACTGCCGCTCAACTCAGGGCAATCATCTTTCACAACGGCCTCCCATTCATTGGATTCGGTTTCCTCGACAACTTCATCATGATCTGCGCGGTGAGTATCCACATGGGATCGTCATTTCCGCACGTCTCGAGTATTGACCGGAATTCTGAAGCCCGAAGATCTCCTTCCGAAACATGCCGTCATCGAGCCACGTCATTTGCATTCGGCCGAGCTTTCTGCGGCACTGCACATCGAAGCGGTAGCAAGCATTCTGTGCTTCCTGACATAGACCTTACAGAGTTGCGTAATTGATATCCGAACGGATCAGCGGCTGATGCCGGCGTCAGATGATTGGCCGGGAATCCGCAGAAGATAAACGCCGAAGCCGTGAATCGAGCGAAACCCATGTCGAAACATGTTTTGGAAGTAGCTTTCGGCGGATGCAACAATTAGCACGCGGAAACCCACGAGCTCTTCGGAGAATTTCTTCGAGAGCCCAGGTAATTGAGTCTCGGGTCACGGCATCCCTCGAAACATCGATTCAGAATTTCCATTGCGAAAAGTGACGTCACATCTCTTCCTGAACGAGGCACGATGACACGTGACCTACGGATGGACCTCGATCGTGAAGTGTCTTCCGAGGAGGAGTGCAAACAAGCGGGTAGTTCTCCAATGGATCCCATTACTTCCGATACATGTAGCCATACTTCTAATTCGCCGAGTGACCTCTCCATGTGCGAGTTTTTGGTGGGACGCAGAGCGCCTGCACTGCTCGTCGAGAGGGTGATCTCGCTGGGGATAATCCCGCTCTAGTCCGAGGTTCCCGATGTTTGCGCTTGGAGCGGCAACATACTCAGATCTCTCGATCGATTCTTGCAATCTGGAAACTATGGTATCGTTTCTGCTACTCGAGATGTCAGCGAAAGATGAACAGCCGGGCCCTTGTATTACGATCAGTCTTACCAGAAGCCCATTTTGGAGACATTATTCCTTCGAGATTCCATCCTGACTCGAGACTCGACGGGGAACTCGGCGTTCGACCAAGCATCTTGGGGAGCTCCATCCCCCATCGTTCCCTCCATGCCGTGTCCATGTGTATGGTCACGGTGCTCACAGGATGACATACTTCGATGGACATGGCTAGCACGGACCGCTAGCTCATCATCGGCTCCGTGGGAGGTTTACTTGTTACAAAAGAACGGATGTAGTCAGTCCAGCATCGGGGTCTGCAATCTGCGAGCTCTTTTTCTGCGAATCGAACGCTGTTCAAATACTGCAGACGGTAGCAAAGCGACAAGAGTCAATAGATTTTTTCCGTCGAATGACACGATCTGCTACGAGCGACGACTCCGGAGGCAGCGGCATGCAGCGACGCATGCAAAACAGCCGCTCCACAGCAATATCTTACGACTCTCTCTCCCGATGTATTCTTATCAGAGGAATTACCTCTCTGTCGCCACGAGAGCCTCCAGCCTCTGGCTGTCAGACGCAGACTCGCCGGCAAAGATCAAATACCTAGCATACGACTTCGAGGATCAGCAGGGCAGAAAATCTGGTTTTGACTTTGAGCGACACTTTCGCCGAAATTCTCCATAGAACGGGCTTCGGAAGCGATCGAGACGGAAAGAGTCGATCGGGAGAATAGAGTGTACTCGGTTCGGGATTTCCCCGCATTTAGGGTGGAGAATGACCATCGTCGAATCCGTGGATACTCACGACGACTGTGAAGTTGACGCGGAGCCAAGGTCGCCGTGACCCTTGTCTGGTGTCAAACCTATCAGAAATACACCCTCTTTTCGGACCGGCCAGTGACGTTCACTGGCTTTATGCTGTCAAAAAATAAGATTCGTGACGCAGCTTTGAGCATTCTGTATCGCAGCCACCAGCTCTTAGTATCGTTTGTGAAGAGCTTTCATGTCATGCAGAGAAGAAATCATTTAGGAATAGAACAACGACGACGATTAAGCTCTTTGATCAGGATTCGGATCCAGACGAATGATTCGATTGCGATCAATACTGGAAGAGCTTCGACAGAATTCCATCCGACATGTGGGAGAGACGCCTTGAGAACAATAATTCAAAAAGCCACAATCGTCGCTATCAACGGAAACGGACCACCGATTATTATCGACATAGCCAGAAGATGAAACGCTCAAGATGTGCGCTGTAATTTTTTTCTGAAATATCTGAAGGTTACTGCGAATCATATCAGAAGATTACTGCAGAAGGCGAAAAGTTACGCAACCAAAAGGATTCGATCCGGAACGATCGCGAGATCCTCCGATGAAAACGGAAGAAAGCGAACCCTGGGTGGAGCGGAGGAGCAGTAACATTCCTGAGGGTCCGATAGCCCCCGCCCCCCTCCCCTCCCACTCCCTCTCCCTCTCTCTCTGACAGCGACAACGAGCGCATAGCTCAGAACAATTCAGCGATGAGCGTTCTCGTTGACACGGTATCGATATCATCGGACATGGGAAAGACATTCCAAATCAATACGCAAAAAACAGAATGGCATCTCATCGCATCTGCCGCACGGCGCGTTGCTTCGTATTGAGCTATAGCTGTCGTGGGAATCCAGGGATTCGATTTCCGGTGATCCCTTCGCGGCAAGCTTGGTCGGAGATCCCTCGTGAGTTGGTCGCTCGAATCGGTGATCGACCCTCGAGCCACCCAATGCAAATAGATTCTGTCTCTTTCGAATGAAGTTGCGAGAATTCGAAAGCGCTTTGGGGGAATTGCTCGGAATGATATTCATCCGAGAGAGAAACTTCATCTAGACGTTCATGATGATCCCGACTCACATCTCATAGAATGAGCTCCCTCCTCGGTAGATCCGGCAGTCGATTTGAATATTTCCAATACAATGAACTTATCGTATTGACCGTCATAGCACATTTCGAGCCAGGGGGTCCTGGGACCTCCCGGTTTCTCGGGAAATTCGCTCCTTTTCTTCCAAGGGAAATGCTTACAATACTGCTCTGTACAAGCTTACGGAATCTCATTATCACATACAGACAGTATGCCGATCCTCTTCCCGGTCGGCTCTCCTCTTGACTTTCGGATGATCGCGAGCGGACACGAATCATATCAATCCGCTCGAGCGGAAGTCAGGACCCCTTGCTCAACGTATAGAGAAAGAGCTCTGCCTCTTTGGCTGAGGAAGAAGCTCCCACTATTCTGTGTTTTCCTCGCTCTGCGATGATAATCGGGACTCTCTCGCAGATCGTTCTCGTGAGGCACTGATCGGGCAGTGCGGCTGGGTGGTCGAACTCTCGGGGAAACGTGCTCGACGCTTCCTGCTTCTTCACTCTGGCGACCTACAAACCAGTGGGTCATGGCCGAGCGCGTTGCAAAGTCGGTCCAATGTGGAGCGGTCCAGCGACGCACTCTGCGGAAATCATTGACTCTGTTGAATTCTATTCTCGCTTTATTTGCTCTCGGCTTCCCTGAGTTTGTCTCGACTCGAACTCAACGACGCATCGGACAAATGGAAAGACGGGGACTCTCTTTGGGATTGGATGAGAAACCGAGGCTGGTTCTACCCCAGGAGACGCCTTTCTGTTTCTGCTTCTGCTGTTTTTGTCCCCGGTAGCCCCGGGAGGTTTTGACTGATGAATTCGCTGCAGGAGACACTGCGACTCGTTTTGCCTGCCAGCACTGGCCTCGGAGGGCAAAAGTTCCAACCGATACTTGTTGTACGTGAATTCTGGTTTAGTGACGAGAAAATTCGTCCCCATTCATTTCCACGGGGACATCGGACGAGGAAACCGAACGCCAGGCTGTTGAGCGGTCCCACTCGGGATCCGGCGCACTCGCAAGTATGTTGGTGTCTGCAAAACAAAGCCCACGCACACCGTTTGCTGGGTGCAATGGAGGTGGGTTATTAGTTTTTCCCTCACAAAAGGTTAGACGTGTGCTGGGTTCCGCGGAGGAGCCACATTAGCGAAGGAGCTCGCTCTTCCGCTCCTAGATTCAGCGAGCATTTGCGGAATATGTTCGAAGGTACGAGCGGGAATCCACGCGAGCACTATTACGAGCGGCAATAATGTCTGCAACATGTCCACTGAACGTGGTAGAGCGATGTTGCAGCTACGGCTCTAATCGCCGCGATGCGAGCTCCACCGTGGTGGAAACTTGATGTCGCTGGCGCGAAGCAATCACAAGGAGCAGGTCCCACGATGTCTCTCACGACTCGGTGACACTCCGCCTCCATCTCGATCGAATCTGGCACTCGGCGGTGCGCGACCCGGAACAGTGGACTTGACGTCCTCAGCCGAACAGACATCTCAACTCTGCAGGGGGACGGGAATCGTCCGGCGCTGGACCGAGGTCTCCCATGCCCATGATTGCCGGGGGGCTTGCATGGCGTGGGAATTCTTATTTGATTAGCTACCTAGGCGGCAGAGAATCGAATCACCAACGCGTCATTCTCGCGGAAGGGCAACGGACCCGAGCCCACTGAAGCTCTGCTCTATGGAACAAAAGCCGGAACGGAGCTGTGCAGGTAAACACAGAGATCGAGAAGGGCTGATACGCACTAACTATCGTGGTGAATTTTTAACGCAGGGAAGAAGAGCTCTCTTCTCAATGCAGACAAGCCCGCTGCATATGCACAGATGTTCATAGCAAACATTTCGGACGAGCTTTAATTTCCTGGGGATGGAGACGACACGTCATGGAAAAGGTCATCTTGATCGCTTCTCACATCAGTATGAGCCGGACATGAAATTCTGATCAAGGATTCAATGCCGTCATTTGCGACAGCTGGGGGCTATGCATTCTGAGGTGAACAGAAAAATTCATTCGGCCGGGCACAAAATTCTCGCAGGGATTTTGTACCCGATATGCCCGGGATACACCGCGCTCGCGACCTCTGGAGAGGTCGTCAAGTAGCCGATCCTGATTATTTCGATCCGTTCTCGTGATCGAGGATGTTTGATAGCTAGTCTACCGTTTTTAACCCGATTAGATTGCCCCGATAGGGGTTATGGCGATTCAAGCACCCGTAGGGGGGAGGACCTCGAGGCTAACTTCTGGAACTTTGTCCCGCCGTGCCATTATCTAAGTTCTGGCTTCTGGCTCGCTGCACTCTGATTTGGGGCTGAGGGGGCGGGGGGGGGGTTTCAGCTCTGGAGTCGAGTGCATTCTCAATCTGTGAACAAATTAGATCGCCCGTCTTACGGAACATCGGTGGACGGAAACTCGTGCGTGCCGTGCGGCGGCGATCGAACCATGGGAGTAGCTCGGATGATCCGCTCAGAATCGTCCCAGTTGGAAGCGAAAAGAGTGGTTTCGTCAAACAGAACTTTGGTTCCCGCGGCTCGAAACGGTTGATTGAAGCTTTTTCATTGACAAGGCCCGCGTGTCACACGGGTACTCCCTCGTGAAGTCGACACTGCCGTGTTGTTGCTTACTTAACGACATTTACATGAGATCAAGGTCGTGACGTACTGCTTGGTGTCTTCCCCCGAGTTTCATTGGAAAAACATACTTCTACACCAAGTGTCTCCCGAGAATTGTTCGTCTTCGAAGCCGACTTGATGGAAAATCAGAACGCAGGGATGCAAATGCTCCGGGCCGAAGACTGCCCATTCGATGCGCGTTTCCGAGGATTGATATGAGACTAACCCTAGAGCCGAGGGGTCAGCGAGAAAAATCAAGAGAACAGAACTTGGTTCCAACAGAGTCGCGGATTCGTCGGGACTGGGCTTCGACGTTCTGTATCGCTCAATACGCTATCCGGTCGGAGCCGAGATGAGCCCCGGTCGACTCGCGGTCGAGCGCGTCATCGGACTTGGAAACCGCATCCTCCGACGCTGCTAGGTTCCGACGTAGAGAAAACGCAGAGATAAACCGAACTGGCATTTTAATAAAATAGATTACAGTGGGAAACACATTTCTAGCGAGTACCTAAATTGTTGTGTGTCGGAGCTGTGGAAACATAATCTCAACGCAACGACGTATCTTTGTATATTTTCTCTCCGCTCCCGTCGGAACGACAATCGACTATTCGACCTTTTTCGGAGACGCTTTCAAATAGGTTTTTACGTAGAAGTCGCTGAACAGGTACGCGAAAAGACCGGCCTCGAACACCATGAGGGAGGCGAAGTATCGCGGGAAGTTGCAGTCATAGACCAGGGGGACGGCCCCGTGGATCATCAGCATCAAGAACTGCACAATTTGGAACTGCGTGACGTATTTTTTCCACCAGAGGTTTGGCCGCATATGGACGGGCAGAGCTGAGAGTCCGTAGTAGGTGTACATAACCACGTGAACCGACGTGTTCAGGATGGGGAACAGAGCCACCTGGCCCGAGATGCCGAGGTTCAAGTCCAGCCACACGGTCCAGAGAGCGAGTGAATGATGCAGCAGATGCAGGAACGAGATGTGAGTCGCTTTCTTCATGAATACGAAGAAGACCGTGTCGAGCAATTCGCCAACCTTAAGCATCAGGTACCACCATCCGTAATGGAACATCTTGTGAGCCCATGGGTTCGTCCACGAATCATTTCCGGCGCAAATGAGCGAGTACTGCGCTTTGAAGTAGGCGTAATACACTGTAAGTCCGCAGAAGTAGAACGACGCGAGGACCATGAACACATTGTAGGCTATCACAATCGGTCGAATGTTCATCGGTGGCCTATCTTTCATCAGATACGGGCCTAGTCTCGTCGAGAAGAGCAGGTAGAATCCGATTACCGAGAGCACTTTGAGCGGAGATCCCATCAGGCCCCAATGCATGATGCGCTGGTCGCCCATCTGCCAGAAGTAAGTCCACATCTCCGAGGCCGAGTACGCGGCCGTCGCACTTGTGTTGAGCGTTGTCATTGCGTTGACGGAGAACAAGAGGACCAAGATGAAGACCGATGATACGCACAACTCAAAGTACTGCAGCTCAATGCGAAACGCTACTTAAGAAGGGGATAGGGAGAGGGCCATAGCGTCCACTTCGTTGAGGGCAGCAGCTGTGAATGAAGTCGGCGCTGGAAATCCGCCGCGGCGATGGTACCGCCGTGAATGCATGCACTTACAGCTTCGGAACGACGGCCACCGTGCTCGAGAAAACCATCCAAACTTCGGAAATGTCATGAAGACGTCCGGTGACGTCAGCGACGACCGCAGGGACGTCCGTCAGCGCGAAATGAGCTTCGAACTGGGGGCCATATCGGTGGCGATTCTTTTTTTGACCATCTCAGCGACATTGACGGAATCTCCGGATTTTCGGCCAAGTCCTCGGAATTACGACGGAATCCAGCGGAGCGTTATATGATACTCCATCGAAGCGAATACGAGGGAAAACACAGAATATCTTTCTTCGGATCTCTGTCCGGCATCGTTAAACTCAAATCTGTCCCGGAATCGTGCTCACGTTCGCTCTTGTCGGAGGAGTCGAAGGGTAAATGCCATGCCGCGCGAAACTTTCACCGCAGATTGACTCTGTTATCCGACGAGATCTGGGATGAATTGGATTCGATATTGGCTCCGCGCGTCGTCGGGGAGCATTCGGTGTCGATTTGACATCCATCAAGAGGGTGAATTCCGATTCTTGAATAGCCTTGAAGATTTCCGATGTCCCCCGCCTCGGTAGGAGTTCGTATTCGATCGGTGACTGTCCTTAGGCTGGAAAAACTCGGAACCCCCTCCCCGAAGAGCATGAGGTCCGTGCGCAGCCTTTGAATTCTGTGACGTCAGTCAAGTTTTGCAGGAACGAGGAAAGAGGAACAAGGAATTTCAATCGATGATTCTGGAGGACCAAGACGGGTGGGGGCAGATCTGACGTCTGGGCTGGAAAAATTCCCGGAGAACCTTATCGATTCTCAGGGATGAATTATAATTTAGAGGATCATTCACGACGTCAATAGCTCGGCCCCTCAATATTTCATGTACGCTGGCGAGCCCCTCCAGGGCAATTCCCGAGGCTCTTCCTCCTGTCCCCGACCCGCCCCAGTCAGCCTGTCTCGAAACCGCCCTTTGGGTTCGATGTATTCGGGATTCCCTCCTTGAACGAGTGACACTCGACCGGAACCGCGTAAGCGGCATATCTGATGCTTGTAAGATCTGGTCGGCGTACATCGACTCCTAGTTCCCGCGGAGGGGAATTCCCCATAGACTACCGAGGATACACTGTCGATTCGACTCGGAGAATTCTACGCAGAAAGCTGTCAGCCGTGCCGGTCGGAGATACGCGCAATGAGACACGCTAAGCTGCCGATGCAGAGTCTCATCTAGCTGCTCGGTGTCGAATTCGACTCGGGAACATAGACCACAAACAATTTAATCGGCCGGGAAAAGTGTCGGCGCCTTGAGCTCGGAGTTTTCACGCTGGTCCCCACGGGCAATCTCCGTAGGAATGCGTATATGGTGGTATTGGGATGCCGTGCGCTGCTTTGGCTCCTCGATCGTGATCCTCGATTCTCATTGTGGATATCATGGCTCCCCAACGGCCGTGAATAGATGCGCCTCGATAACAAGCGCTCGGACGATATCCATAAAAGAGGGATGAGCGTCCCAAACGGCTCCGGTATTCTCCAAAGGGACATGCAGGGCCTGGAGTGCCGAACTTCCAAGCCATCTTCGCTCTTTCTTCATCCCTCCATTATCTTTCATGGAAATCCTCCTCTCATCGAAAAAGCCGTCAACAAGCTGCGAATTCTCAGAATCCATCGCGGGTACGACAAATTGCCAGCTTAGCCTCGATCTCCATTCGCCTCTCCCGCCCTCCCCCATAAGCTCTTCGGCAGATATCGAGTCTGGCATTAGCCGTGGAAGTCATATTCACGGGCAAACCCGAGATGGAGCCCGAGGAGCTTCAAAGGAAGCGCGAGCGGAATCCTCTTGTCAGAATTACTTTGCTCGCGCCCTGGAGCCATCGATCCGAGACGGTGGCCAGCAGTTATTTCACGCGAACACTCTCACTTTCTCTGCGCTGCCATGGGTCTCCGAATTTTCCACTTGAGCAGATCTGTGCTCAAAGTTCGGTAAGAGCGTTGGAACGATCTTCAGTGCCGGTTCCGAGTCTAAAGATAACGTACCTGTGCGACCGGAATGGAACGAGCCGAATCTCGAGAAAGGTGAAGGTTGACAAGCCTTCCGGTGCGGATGACAACCCTAACAGGTTCCGAAACAAAAATTATCGGAACGGATTTTGGAGATACCCAGAAAAACTTCATTCATTTACTGCCGGTAATTTATGATTCGATTGCGTAACCTGCGCACTATTTTTTCCATTCTGGGGAGAAGAGCTGACTTCTGGCCCGTCGGGGAATTTTTTCAAATGCCTTCCAGAAGAGAGACGGCCATTGGGAAGGTGATGACTGAAGCCGACTCTGGTGGCGATGGCGCTTCTCTCGGAACCAGTCTTGAAGTCGTGGTCATGAACCGTAATACGTAATGAAGCGCAATACCGACCTATGTCGTTACCACACACCGATCTACAGAAGTTTCCTTCGACCCATCTCAATGGAAGCAGAAATCTCTGCGACTCCGTCGGTGTCGAGTTCCGGCACGTCGGAGATTTCTTCCGCATCCGAAATACGGACGGTCGATACACATACGTACGAATGCAGATCGTCTCAATGAGACTGCGTGTCCCGCCGAGTCTCCCTGGACAGTCAAGATTCCGACACAGATAGTCAACGGTTTACAATGTGTGGATTATCATTAGAATTGCGATATGAGAGGACATTTATTTCCCGAAAAAAGGACAATGTCCGCGCGGACATCGGGATAGAAAGCGGACATCAGAAGCGGACACACTACCATGTTTTTTGCCCTTTCCATGGAATTTATTTGACTCTCCAACCAATCTCCTAATAAGCAATATTCGACCGAACTTCGATGCCCAAACGATCGTTCAGAGACAATTTGCTGAGATCAAAATTTCCGACCCAGCCCCCGGCGCCTCTGGCTCACCCTTGTGCGGCCAAGACCTCGGTACCTCGGCGGAAGAATAGCGCAGAAATTCAGTTTTTTCCATTGAATTTAGCGGTGTTTCTTTGAAAATTCCGGAAAGCGGACATTTCTGAAATAACTCCAAAAAGCGTTCAAAGCGGACAAAAAAGGACGTGTCCTCTCATATCGCAACTCTAATTATCATTCGTATATTCGACTGGATCGTTGAGCATCGTGCAGGCACAGTACAAACCCATGACCGAGCCTCGCCGTCCTCAATGATCCAGAACACACTATAGCGGGTTATTGCATAGGCAGAAACCGGCGTGATCTTCTGCCGGGAAACATCGTCCGCGCTCTCGGTGCCGGACTTAGCTTTGAGTCCTGAGCTTCTTCTGCTGTCCGGCAGAAGTTTTCGCGTAGCAGAATACATGGATCCCCGATCGAGCGGTGGACGGGTGTTATTTTCTGGTCGCTGTGATCACTCGTCGTGTGACATTGTGATTCGAATCTCGATAGCGTTCGGCTGACCTCAGATGTATCCGACTTTCAATCAGCCCGGAGAAAGGGTCGCTATCTGGAAGTAGCTGCAGATGCCTATTATGCATGCGTTCGGTACACGAATATCAAGAGACTCCGGTGAGAGCAGGTCCCGATCATTAGAAGGGGACACGCTCTTCTCTGACGGAATGTTGCCGTCGGATTCGCTCGTACGTGCCACCAATGATCCGTGCTCGGAAAATAACGATCCGATCGAGCTCGGGTCGGGGACTTCCCGCGTGCCCGTCACCCGATCGAGAGCAGGCGAAGGCGAGAAGCGAAA